AGTGCAGACACATTGCGACCACTCTGCAAGTGGAATGTTGGACCCCCCACGCGGGCACAATGATAATTACTACAAATCTCAAACATTCTCCAGTTGAATTAAAAAAACACAAAAATCGGAACGCACTCGCCATGCAAATTCATGTAAACCTATTTCAACTTCATATCTAAATGTTATCCTCTGATAATCAAACATGGCAATGGACATTTCACAAGTTAACAATGAATATCCTCATTCAAAGCTCCATTTAGTTCCGGTATTTCCCAGCCAGCCATGTTTGATTAACGTATGGTAATATCACATAATTTTTCCCATGAAATCTCCCCATTGTTGCCATTGTTGTTGATGAAAAAATCACCATTTTTCATGGTTTTATACCCATCATAAAGAGCCATTCCAATGATGAAGATTCTCATGATCTTCCCATTTACTCTTGGTGAAATCCCTATTTTCACATCTGGTTTACTGCTACACCTTAGCAAAAACCGATCTTTTTAACAGTCCAAGTTGCTGTGTCGAGGGTACTGAGAACTGAAGCAGCAGCTGCGCCATGCTTCTGGCGCGCTCCAGCTGGCTGGGGAGCAAGTCGCACACCTCGCGTCAATGGTAGGTTGCTTTATGTGGTTTTATGGATTTTGAGACTAACCCAAGTAGTGTTATGTATCCCAATTTGATATAATACTAGCCCATCTGAAAAATCATGGAGTGAAAGTCAGTTGGGATTATTGGTACCAATATATGGAAAAATAAAATTCATGTTCCAAACCACCAACCAGTATGGCTTTTATGGCTTGGGATATTTCAGTGTTTTTGATTGAATCGATGGGAGAATATAAATATGTATGAATAAAAACAATAAATAACTTCAAATAACACGAACTTCTATACCTTTATGATGAACATTCATGGCAATTCTGAATATAATTTCAATGGATAAGTATGCATTATGACATGCCATGTATATATTTCCAATCGTGTGCTGATTACTGATAGGCACAATTCAACATTGATACTTTACACATCTTTAGAAATGGAAATAAAGGTTGTTATTTTCCTTACAATAATCATATATATATATATATCTTTAACTTTATATATACATCTTGTTGTATGTCGCTATATTTTCCAAATGAATACTTCGAGCTTAGCTTAGCTTACCATTTTTGCCCGACTTTCTGGGGTGACTTCATCACTGCAGCGAGGCAAGCCCGGCAAGTGACTGCTGTGACCAGTGCACTGACGCACTCGTTGCTGTAGGTCTTTGATGACCTGGGGATCATCGGATCATTTCCCATGAATAGATTATCATGGGATTGCACATGATGATGAACCACCATTAACCATCATCAACCATCATTAACCCTGATTTATCCCATTTATCCCATTATAATCCCATAAATTACAAATTATAGTGACTAAATGTGATTACCCGGCCTGGTTATGACTGTTACATAGCCATGGTATGTAAGCCATGGCCCTAATCGAAATAGATGCTTTACCGTTCTTAATAGCATGGTGATTTTCCATGGCAAACTGTTAAATAACCAGAGGGTATATATATATATATATAGTAACCCCCAAACAAAACCAAAAAATGAAAAAGTAAAATACTACATAGTGATGACAGTGGTGTTTTTGTTGGGATTCCTATATGGTTATCCTCCAGTAAACTAAAAAATAGCTATGGAACATAGCGAACTGGAACATGGATGACAATGGCCCATTTAAAAATTTAGTTTTAGATGATTAACCTATATTTACCTATTAAAGGTGGTGGTTTCCCATAGCAAACTATTAGTTTACCAATCCGGGTTTTTCATCAGTTACGATTCGTGGGATGGTCCTCCAAGTACCAGTTAAGGCTGGTGATGTTTGGCGGCTGATGTAACTACCATCTGGTTATGACTAACAGTTTGCCATGGAAAATCACCATTTTTAATGGAGGTTTCTAGCTGGGAAAATCATCTATTTCTATGGGCCATCTATACCATGGCGAACTGTAACAGTCATAACCAGAGGGTAATACTCACCAACAATTCCGGATATGATGGGGACATCCTGGGATACATAACCAAACTGACATGATATGGGTGTTTCTGAAAAAAGGTGTATATATATAATTATATATATGGCATACCTCCCCAACAAAAAAATGCAATCAATGATAATCATTATCATGATCATAGAACCGACGGATTTTGAGACTAACCCAAGTAGTAGTGTTATGCATCCCAATCTTAAATCAACCGAATGGATGCATTTAAATGCTGGTTGGTGGTTGACCTACCCCTCTGAAAAATATGAGTTCGTCAGTTGGGATTTTCTTCCCAATATATGGAAAAATAAAATATGTTCCAAACCACTACCAACCAGAATGGATCCTTACATGGGGATCGGGGGTTGGTTGATCATTTCACCCCAAATTCCAATCACCGACTTGGGTGCACTGGAAGAGTTAGCAAGTCATGCACGCTTTGATTGCATGTTTTTGATTCGGATTCTTTGGACGCGTCAATCCCATCTTGTCAGATTCTTGTCAATGTTTCTGAGCTTAAGTGATCATAAATAAGCAACTGTCCGCAACAAATTGGCAAGTTTTAGTCTCTCTCTCCATTTCTCTCTCATTTTTCTCTGTTTTCAGTTTTGCAAATCCAGCTTTTGTTGGTTGAAAAAAAGTGTTTCATCCATAAATCCATTTTGTTGGGATTGACCTCAGTTGAACCTCATCTGGTTGGTGGTTTTAACCCGTCCCAACAAAATGCTCGTCATCTCAACGGCTCAATAACGTGAAACCATTAGCCATGTTTTGATTTTCCAGCTTGCCACGTTTGATGACCAAAAGGGCAAACCTCAAATACGATATTGCTAGTTGCATTTCATACATCCCCATGCAATCCCATTAAATCACCATTTGGCTTGGAACATCTATAATGTGGTTAAAACATTAATAAACCACCCATGACTGGGAATGGATTATACGGTTATACGACCCATAAACATGGTGATTTGGGGGATGCTTTACTATTGTTTTAACCACGTTAGCAACTTTCCAATTCCAAAGGTTCTCCAATTTCGAAGGTTTGATAAGTAATTAGGTGAGCTAACATCCACTAACATCCACTAACCAGATATGTCTTTTTTAAACCTCCAACATCGAAAAACCTTTCGTCAAGACACAGTTCCTTCTGCCACTGCTGTGCCCAAACGGCCCATGCAGAGCTGGAGGTTCCTGCGAGGAGAAACTGGGAGCCGCCGGGCGTGGGTACTTCATTGTAGTTTAATAGAGTTAGCTAGTTGGTTGGTTGGTTAGCAAGTTTGTTAACTAGTTAGCTAGTTAGCTTGTTAGTTAGTTAGTGACTTAGTGACTTAGTTAGTTAGTTAGTTAGTTAGTTAGTTAGTTAGTTAGTTAGTTAGATAGAGACATAGTTAGATAGTTAGATAGATAGATAGATAGTTAGATAGTTAGATAAATAGTTAGATAGTTAGATAGTTGAGTGAGTGAGTGAGTTGGTTAGTTGGTTGGTTAGTTAGTTAGTTAGTTCGTTGGTTAGTTGGTTGGTTGGTTGGTGAGGTTAGTTGGTTGGTTGGTTGGTTGGTTTGCTAGCTGGCAAATTAATTCGTTAGTTAGTTAGCTAGGTAGTTAGGTAGTTCGTTAGTCGATGTTAGTCGATTCTGCAAGATCATCATTAGTCCCTATTCATCACGGTTACCCTCTGGTAATTTGTTACATAACTATTGAAGCCATGGCCCAGTCGAAACAGTTGATTTACCCAGCTATAAAATGGTGGATCTGTCCATCGTTGTTTGTATGTTTACCAGAGGGTAATCACTACCATATATAAGGCCTATATAAGGGCTAAATTTCAGGGGATATCCCCCAAAATATGGCCAGAAATATGGTACTAACGTACCTCCATTTTAGGATCCTGGAATTCCCATTGATTATCAGGATTGAACCAACAAACACGTGGATATGAATGGGACCCTCCGTTAATTTCACACAACTATTAACCATAATATGGGCTTTTCCATTTAACCCACTATAAACCCACTACCAGAGGAAAATCACTATCATCATGGCTTCCCACCAGATCTGTGTCCTCCCAGCAGGGCGCTCTGCAAGGCATCCAGCGCCTCAGCAGCACTGGGCGCTTGAGGCGCCGCGAGCGCCAGGCGCCTCGGTGTCCGTTGGTTTTGTCCCTGGGAAATGGCGATTTCAACATGGCGTGGCTATGAAAAATGTGGATTTTATGGGATGTTTAGCCATGGACAAATGGTGATTTTATATGGATTTTATGTGGCTATGAAAAATGTGGATGTTTAGTGAAATATGGCGATTTTATGGGTTTTTTAGATGAACAATCAGAGTCTTTTCATGTGGCATCACTATTTTTTTGAACAAACACGTTTTTTTTTTCGAGGTGGATTGTTGATGGACAATTATTCAATTTTACGATGAACAATGGATAAACATTCAAAGTAACAAATCACCAACTTCTACCTACGGTGAAATTTGTTGTTTGTTTTTTTTTTTTTTGTGGAGATTTGACACCATTTTTCATGGGAGAACAAGGCTTTGTCTGTTGTACTTGTAAAACATTGCAAGCACAATGCTTAGACATTTCAAACCATGATAAACCATGGCCGCCATCGGGTAAGACTTAAATTCAGCTGGCTTCCACATGGACAATGGGTCACAATTAAAAAAGTACAAGCGGCTCAAAACGGGATAGGCATGGATAATAAGATCATATTGATGGGTTCTATTGGACATGTATTGAAGTATGGCCAAGTGATGTTCATATGCTACATGGCTTATTGTCCTAATTATATTCATTTTCGGTGCGCCAAAGATGTCTACGATTTCCTCTATGGATCACGGATGTTCACAGCAGTTGGTGGCTTAGTGCACCCCAGACAGTTGACTTTTTACCCTCTGGTAAACGTTTACAGTTTGCTATTGAACATGGCTATTATTGTTGATTTACCCAGCCAAAACATGGTGGATCTTTCCATCGTTTTTTGTTAACGTTTCCCAGATCGGGTCCCATCTCCTGTTCCTCTTAAACGTGGTTTCATCATGTTTAATCCCTTCATCCACCATGGGAAACCTGGTACGGCCACGTGGGAAGGGATCAATCATAGCTGGGGACAGGAACAAAAACATTGTATCCACATGAAGATCCCATTAAAAATCACTATTTACTTAAATGATTTTGACATGAACATCCATTAAATTAAATCCCTATGTTTCATAGCTAAACCCTATCATGTTCACTGTTAAAATCCCATTAATTCCTATAAAATCAAATCAACATCTTATAAAATCACATAAAAATCCATGAAATCCCAAAGCAAAGCACAGCTCCAAACCTCGAAAGCCGCCCGCCACCAAGGCACTTCACCAAGCCCACCGCCGCCACCAGGGACTTCCCGGGCTCCACCTCCGCCGCCGGCTCCGGTCGCGGCGTCAGGGAGCGCAGCGTGGTCAGGGCCCCGGACAAGGCCGGCTGCAGCTGCTTGGAGCTGAGGACGCCCTGGAGAAAACGGAGTTGGGCCCGCCGGACCCCATACCCGACCTGGGAAACTGTCCCAACCACGATGGAAAGATCCACCATTTTATAGCTGGGTAAATCCACTCGACTGGGCCATTTTCAATAGCGAACTGTTTGTTTACCAGAGGGTAACTAGTAAATGGGTCAGCTTAAAAACAGAATTACATGATATTACATGGTGCATACATGGAATCAGAAAACCCCAACTTCTCGACAAACCCGCGGATGACTGGGGAAGCTACTTTGGTTTCCTGCCACCCACAGATGGCCCAGCTTTCTCGCTGGAAAGGGACGTCTCTTTTGGTTTCCCAAAGTCCTTAGGGATCCGACTGTAGCAGCCGGATCCTGATCATTCCTGATCTGTAGACTTTCTCCAATGTGTGCAAATACTTTAAAAAAACGAGTTGCAAATGGCTTTGACACATGTTTTTTTCAACATGTTGTGAAAAACCCACGGATCTTGAACAGAGTCTTCGATTTTTTTTCGAACGCGTAACCTGCGTCTTTTGCTGGGAAACTGCTAAATTCTCTTCGTTTCGTAGGGATGGAACCACAAACCAATTCCCGCAGAACCCTTCGCCGTTCGCCCAACATGATTCAAATCTACCACGATTTAACGCCTGTGAAAAACATCTCATCAATACAGTGTACAAATAACATAGCGACATGGTATCAATCTGCCCTTCTCAAACAAAATGTAGAAGGGTATAGTAATGAACTTACTGTTTAAAACAAACATAGATAAAGGATTTATATAAATCTGGTACTCCGTAAAACAACATGTAGAAGTACATAATAAATCATATAATTATGCATTTGACCGGCCAAAACGCCACGATTCAGGTTTCCCAGCAACTCTCTGCAACAAGCCTTCGCAGACTTCGTCAATGTCCGTTGATTTTTCTCCAAAAAGATCCCATCAAACATCATTTTTTACACATGATTTTCCCATGAAGTCCCGGTAAATCCCGATGTTTCATAGCTAAACCCTATCATTTTCACAGTTTAAATCCCATTCAATCCTATAAAATCCAATCATTTTCAAGCCATACCTGTCCTGGTTGCGCCCCCCCTGTCTCCACCCACTGGGCCACGCCTCTGGTCTCAGTTGCAGCATATCCTCGATGAAAATAATGGACCCTTGGAGACCCCATCCAACAAAGGCAAGGCTGCTGCGTTTCAGTCATAAGTTACTTTCTAAACCCGGTAGCTAGATAGATAGATAGATAGATAGATGGATAGATAGATAACTAGATAGATATATATGGGCTATCTCCAAAACTCTATTGCCCCAAAATGGAATATCTATTTTTCCTTCGTTATAAAGGGTCACCTTCGTTTTACAGGGGTTTGCGTATATGTGCCATGGGATTATCTTAAATGGCTAGTAAATGGTATTTGAAATTTATATATTCTTTCAAGGACGATCCATTTGCCAACTGGTCAGTGAACTCCATGAAAGTGGAAAACACCTGCAACATGAGAAAAGCACCTTTTCCTCAAAGGCTGATATCACTGTCATCGGGCTGCCATGCTTTGTATTTCCGTTTCTTTTTTGCCAAATGGCTGGCCAATTGGCGTTCGTCTCTGAGACACAGGCTTGCCACTGTGCGTGCTGGTTTCTTCTTCATGTCTGGACGAGTGGATGGCCGATCTTTTTGACTTTGGTATTTTCTTGTGATTGCGTTGTCGCAACCTAATTCCAATGGCGGTTTCTGCCAGGATGGGTCCTGGAAATATCCTTTTTTCCATTCTGCGAATTCCGGTGCTTTCTCCTCAACAGAGAAATTCAATCTGGCGAAGCTCCCAGAATCCGAAAAAATCCAATTGCGGATCTGCACCCCGCTGGCTGCAGACTTGGAAAGCAGGCTTTCAAAGCAATAGCTGCGATTGATCTGGCAATTGTGCATAGTGATCACTTTGGCGGCAGGTCTTCGCGCAGGCAGGGTAGGAACCTCGATCACCCATTCAGGACCATCAGGATTAGCAGCTTGTTCTTTGGCTGCCTGTTCTTTTAAAGCAGCTACTACTTGCCGTTCGTTCTCCGCAAAAAAATCAGGGCGTAGGCAAGCTTGTTTCAGAAATCGCCTCATGGGGGAAAATATTTGAGCATCACACGGTCCTTTTCCATGTTTTTCCACCAGGTAGCGGGTAACGCAGGGTTGTTTGTATTGGAGCGGGATGTAGATCATGGTATTGTGCGCAGCCTCATAAGACCTAAAATGATTGCCTGCGTCAAATACGAAAATCAATTTCTTCAGCTTGCCCTTGTTCAGAACTTCCTTCTCCACCGCCTTGCGAATGAGGAGCGATGCGAACAGTGCGCTTTTCTCTAGGACCTCTGACACGTAGAGAACGATACGTGTTTTGACTTGGTTTTCAATCCATTGGCGCAAATAGACGCCAAATACTGACAAAGTTTTTCTAGCAGCCCCGTGCCACATGTCACTTGTTTCTTCGTGAGCAATGGGCACACCTATGTTTTCGCTGAAGTCAGCTTGGAAATAACATGTGCCAGGCTCCAAAGTCTCAATGCTCCTTCTCATGGAAGCTTGCTCGCGCGCAGCGGCGAGGATATGCCATTCATAGGATTGAACAATGGAAAGATGCAACTTCAACTCTTTGACTAGTTGTCCTTCTTCATGTTGGACCTTCCAAGGTTCGGGTGCATTGCGGTGGGTGGCCGCGTGATCCTTCTCGTGCGTGACCCATAAATACGTCTTCAAAATGTTGAGCTTTTCCTCTGTTTCAGAAGAGTTCATGATCCGCGTGTGGCGCCTGTTTGACCAAAATGGATTCCAATATCCAGGGCAGACTGTGGCCATTGTGTTTTGACAGCGCTTGATGAAAGCGTTGACTCTAGGCAAAATCTTGTTCCTATAGCCTACGCAATGGTCACACAAATCAGTTTTGCGAAATCCCTTGCGAAATTCTTGACAATGACGACCGACAAGACAACGGAACTGAGTTTCTGCCAGGTTCCGGTAAATTGAAAGATTGGACCTGTAAATGGTGCTGAGCTGGGCTGTCAAAGTTCGTCTCTGTTTTCTCATGCGCACAATGGTGCCATCCGGTTGTTTCTCTTTGACAACGCATGTACGGGAAGCTGCAACGGAGGATTTCGCCAAAGTAGCTCGAACAGCCTGAATGCACAGGGGGTTGTTTACCTTTGATGGTCGGCCGGCCTTCTTTGGCGGTCTTTTGCTCGTTGATTTCTTCAAATGCCATTGTCGCACACGTTGGTTAGAAACGTTGTAGCCCAAGGCCCGCATTTGCTTTGCAGAAGCCAAGCCGCCAGAACAAACTGCATCATCCAACAAGGAAACAAGTGACTTGGGACTATTCAGCCACGTGTCTCTGAGTTTGCCTAGGGAAGGAAGCAAAGTTCGGCAGCAGCAGTCTGCATCCTTGCTCAGCTCAGCTGCAACTTTGTCAGCGGAACCAACGCATGTTTTGTTGACTTTTTGTATTGCCAAGAACAATAATTCTGAAGCTTCCTCTGGTGTACTGCAACACTGCAGAACTATCTCTGATATAGCCTTTACTCTGTCAGCCTTGGCTCTGTCACCAAACTCACCCCAGGTTGAACTCCGGGATTTACGCGTCGAATTACTAGGCTGACTGGCGTCCGGGCTGGGGAAAAGCTCTCGCGGCGCGATGGGGCTGCTGGCTTTTGTGCTTGGCGCTGGCGCTGCATGCGGGGAAACTACTAGAGGCGAAGTACTTTCTCGCGTTGCAGGGGATTGTGCTTGCAATGGTCTGTGCTTGCTCTTTGTCAAGAACCTCTCTTGCTCCTCCTGTGACTGTGTGGGCCACCAAGTTTGGGGCAGCCAGGTGCGAATGAACAAGCGGCGCTGGTCATTGGTGAGGGCGCCAACTCTTTTCCGGGTTTGTGGAAATCTCTCTGCTGCAGCAGAAATCACTTCTTGCCGGGCTGTTTGATCATTCAAAAGGTGTGTGAGACAATCTTTGAAAAAGGAATCATGGTCCCTCATCTGGAGCCACGTGCTTTCAAGAGGTGTTTTCGTGGAAATGACCTTCGTTTTGCCTTCGTTTCAGGTCGGCTCCAGAAAACCAAATCTGCACAGTGAAAAACAATATAGCAAGCAACCGGTGATCATCTCTTTTTCGCTGCTACACAAGCTGCTGTCAACGTCGCACGGCGACAATTTGGAGACTGGACTTGCCCCGGACACGGCGCAGAGGCGCCAAGTCATTGGCCGGCCGCTTTGCGGCAGGAGCCTCAGGCGCTGGTGTGCAAGCAAGGCAGTCACAGAAATCCAGGTTGCTTTCCCGGAGCTGATGTGCCTTGCGAGCTGAAGCCGCCCGAAGTTTCTTCAGGACTCCTGGGCATTCCTTTAAGACTTCAATTTGCCAACCGCAAGACAATTTCAAAGCAGCATGTTTGCAGGCATAACACCACGATCCACACGCGGAAGTGCCTCTGGTTCCCCACCGAGTCTCCCACTTCACATCGTGCTTCTTTCGGTTACAAACACAACACTCCAAAGATTTCTTAAAGTTGGCTCTGCCAATGTTTCCCCGATTCTGAGGGACATGTCTGGCCCTCGCTGCTGCAAGGGCAGCCAGCTCAGCCGGAGTCAAGGTCGTTGCAGCGTCCTGCACACAAGAGATGAGTCAAGGGATGCAGGGCAAATGGTGAAGGACGTGTTAATCACTGAAGAAAAAGTACCATAAATCTAAGTCAAGCATGGTTCTGAGCAGCCACCTCCTGCCAAAGGAAAGTATGACATGACGCTGGCACATGTTGACAGCTGCAGGCGCCATGCCTGGATCGGCTCACCCTGGGGCATGTCTTGGTTCTCAGCAGCCACCTCCTGCCAAAGGAAAGTATGACATGACACTGGCACATGTTGACAGCTGCAGGCGCCATGCCTGGATCGGCTCACCCTGCGGCATGTCTTGGTTCTCAGCAGCCACCTCCTGCCAAAGGAAAGTATGACATGACACTGGCACATGTTGACAGCTGCAGGCGCCATGCCTGGATCGGCTCACCCTGCGGCATGTCTTGGGTCTCAGCAGCCACTTCCTGCCAAAGGAAAGTATGACATGACACTGGCACATGTTGACAGCTGCAGGCGCCATGCCTGGATCGGCTCACCCTGCGGCATGTCTTGGTTCTCAGCAGCCACTTCCTGCTCTTGGTTCTCAGCAGCCACTTCCTGCCAAAGGAAAGTATGACATGACACTGGCACATGTTGACAGCTGCAGGCGCCATGCCTGGATCGGCTCACCCTGCGGCATGTCTTGGTTCTCAGCAGCCACCTCCTGCCAAAGGAAAGTATGACATGACACTGGCACATGTTGACAGCTGCAGGCGCCATGCCTGGATCGGCTCACCCTGCGGCATGTCTTGGTTCTCAGCAGCCACTTCCTGCCAAAGGAAAGTATGACATGACACTGGCACATGTTGACAGCTGCAGGCGCCATGCCTGGATCGGCTCACCCTGCGGCATGTCTTGGTTCTCAGCAGCCACTTCCTGCCAAAGGAAAGTATGACATGACGCTGGCACATGTTGACAGCTGCAGGCGCCATGCCTGGATCGGCTCACCCTGGGGCATGTCTTGGTTCTCAGCAGCCACCTCCTGCCAAAGGAAAGTATGACATGACACTGGCACATGTTGACAGCTGCAGGCGCCATGCCTGGATCGGCTCACCCTGCGGCATGGCTTGGTTCTCAGCAGCCACTTCCTGCCAAAGGAAAGTATGACATGACACTGGCACATGTTGACAGCTGCAGGCGCCATGCCTGGATCGGCTCACCCTGCGGCATGTCTTGGTTCTCAGCAGCCACCTAAAGGAAAGTATGACATGACACTGGCACATGTTGACAGCTGCAGGCGCGATGCCTGGATCGGCTCACCCTGCAGCATGTCTTGGTTCTCAGCAGCCACTTCCTGCCAAAGGAAAGTATGACATGACACTGGCACATGTTGACAGCTGCAGGCGCCATGCCTGGATCGGCTCACCCTGCGGCATGCCTTCGTTCTCAGCAGCCACTTCCTGCCAAAGGAAAGTATGACATGACACTGGCACATGTTGACAGCTGCAGGCGCCATGCCTGGATCGGCTCACCCTGCGGCACCACGCCCTGCAATTGGGCACCCCGCCAGCTTGGCAATGCATCAGGTGCTTGGTGCCTAATCTTTGCTTTTAATTATAATTAACGTGAACATAAAGCCTGCCTCCTGCGCATGCATTCCCCGAGCGGCAGTGTCAGGAACTTCCCCCAGTTCCTGGCGACAAGCGCCAGCAAGGGGCGTGCATACACAATTTCTACTTCACGCCAGACCTTGCCATGCTCCCCGGCATTCGCCATTGATGAAGATGCTGCAGCGTGAGCACCTCCACTGTCCTGCAAGGACAGCCACCAACCGTCACCAACCCCACCCACCACCAGCAACACCAGCAGCACCAGCAGCACCAGCAACAACATCAACAGCAACCGCAACAGCACAGCAACAGCACAGCAACAGCAACAGCAACAACAGCAACAACAACAACAACAACAGCAACAACAACAACACCAAGCCAAGGAACATCTCCGCGGCATCCTCGAAGACGATGTAGGCACCTGGCAGCGAGACGGCTGGCAAGCATGAGGTAGGGGAAAACAGCAAAGCAGCAGCACCCAACAGCAACGCCAACAGCCACCAGCAGCAAACCCACCCAGATTCCACACACACACACATTTCGCTGGCTCCTTTCTCTGCGGGGTCGCCACATGGTTTGGACGGCCATTTCGCTCAGCCTGCAACTCAGTGGGCTTAACCCACTACAAAAAAAATGGGCCACTACCACTTCACTTCTCACCCCTGTTGCAAGTTGCATACATCTTTTAGATCCTTTCCAGATATCCCCTTGCCTTAGGTGGCTTCTTTGACAAAGCCTTCAGCTTATCCACGTCACTTTCCCCGCTTTCTTTCAAGATGGTCCGCAAGGATTCGAGCTCAGATAGGCTGGCACGTGAACAAATCCGCGGGCCACGCTTGCCATTGGGTTTTACCTAGGCACGCTCTTGGCTGCCTCTAAGAAAATCCTTTCCCTATAACCTAAAACGTTTAAAAAAAAAGTAGCTGCTAGAAGCCAAAGCTACCAACCAAAGGACGTGAGCATTCGACATTGTGTCATACCTTACCTCTTCCGAAATGGTAAACTCCACCATGGCCGCGTGTGATATCGAGCGCACAACTCAGAGCCTCAAAGCCTAAATGCTGATGACACAAATTCTCTAAGATCATTTCAAGCTAGACCACTCCGGGCACTTCGATTTGTCTGCTGGTTAGGACCATGTTTCTGCCAGTGATTCAATCTCACCACTCTTTCCTGACGCTTTCCCTTCGTTATAAAGGGTCACCTTCGTTTTTGGAGGTTTTGACCTATATTCCATTCCAATACATATCCCTTACATAGACCTTTTTGGCGGTAGCTCAAATGGAAATACTTCCACTTTTGCTTTGACTTCAACCCACCGGGTGTTGTCCAGACTTCAACTCACCGGGTGTTGTCTAGGAATCCTGAAGAACCTGCATCTGGGCCGGACCGAAGCCTTTTAGATGTCAAGCGGCACAAAGGTGCGTCAGCTAGCAGCGAGGTGGCTGCTTGGAGTTTTGGGGAAACTTGGTTTTGTTTTTTGGGTTGAAACATTTCTTTTCCGGTTGGAGTCGGGATCTCAGTTGCTGTTCAGGGTTCCAGGACGGTTCACTTGTTGGCATTGGGAGGCTTCAGGAAACACAGAAACCATGGAAACCGTGCAAACTATGAAAACCGTACAGAAATCTTTGACAACAGGGAAACCATGGAAACCGCAGACAAATCATGGAAACCATGGAAACCGCAAAGAAATCATGGAAACCGTGGAAACCATGGAAACCATGGAAACCGCAAAGAAATCATGAAAACCATGGAAGCCGCAGACAAATCATGGAAACCAAACCATGGAAACCGCAGACAAATCACGGAAACCATGGAAACCATGGAAACCGCAAGAAGAAATCATGAAAACCATGGAAACCGCAGACAAATCATGGAAACCATGGAAAACCATGGAAACCGCAAAGAAATCATGGAAACCATGGAAACCGCACAGACATCATGGAAACCATGGAAACCGCAAAGAAATCATGGAAACCATGGAAACCGCACAGACATCATGGAAACCATGGAAACCATGGAAACCGCAACAAGAAATCATGAAAACCATGGAAACCGCAGACAAATCATAGAAACCATGGAAACCATGGAAACCGCAAAGAAATCATGGAAACCATGGAAACCATGGAAACCGCAAAGAGATCATGGAAACCACAAAAACCATGGAAACCGCAAAGAAAGTATGGAAACCATGGAAACCATGGAAACCACACAGATATCATGGAAACCATAAAAACCATGGAAAACCGCAGAGAAAAATAGAAACCATGGAAACCATGGCACAGAGTGTGTCGCGTTTCAAAATGAGTAATAAAGTCGCGTTTCAAATTGAGTATTATCCCGCGTTCTAAAACGAAACCTTTCCCTAAAAAGTGCCTCAAAAGTCCTCATTCAAGATTTCTGAATGCGGGTCCAACATTAGAACCAACATCCAAAATCATCACCCAACAACCAGCCAGCACCAACCAATTGCTGATCTTTGCAGTCAATTGTGGAGGACTGCTCGCCTGCAGGAACTGTTGGACCGTGGAAATCAAAGGCTTCCCCCCAAAGGAACGAAAGAAGGCCTTATGAAGGGGTGATTACCCCCCAAACGGACGGGCGAAACCGGGATGCAGCATATGGCGAACATCAGCGAATAGAACAGGCCTGGCATTGCAAGATCTCAGCTGTCGGATGTTTTACATTTTTGACAAACTGTGAGCTGAAAAGCGAGTGTAGTCCACAAAATCAAGTTTCAGGCACAAATGGGCAGCATTCTGAGGTGGAAGGCCTCATGAAGAGGTCAATGTTGACATCAATGCCAACTGGCATCAACTGGCCAAAGTGCTTCCTTGAAATTCATGGCCCGCCCACCCCCTGAGCCCACCTCAGAAGCTCATCCAGCACCCCTGTAATGGGTCCCTACATTGCCACCGCAGATTCATCCAGCAACGACCTCGCACAGCTCAAAGGTTATCACCATATCTAAACCAACTTGTTTGCCACAGCTGCCAACAATCTGACGCAAATACACCACTGAAAGATGTAGCTCAATCCGAGGCAGGTCAAATTTCCTTGTTCATCCTTTCAATCGGTCTATCTGCTTGCTCGTAAAACCTAAACAACAAACACTAATGAAGGTGATGTGTTTCTATCTTTTTGGGGGGCTCTTCAGAAACCCGTATGACTGTACCAGTGGCAGATGTGGCAGTGGCATCAGCATCTTCTGCGTATGATGAGGCTAGTACTGGGCAAGTGGGATTATTTTTGGATTTACAGTAAGTAAAAAAGGAAAAGGATGAGCCTTTCTCAGGTCCCTGTTTTTCCTCAATTCTACTGGCAGACCATGGAAGGCCCATAAGAAACTGATCATCCTCATACTCATCCTCATCCTCATCATCATCGTCATCCTCCTCCTCCTCCTCATCATCATCTCCATCTCCTCCTCCTCCTCCTCCTCCTCCCTCCTCCTCCTCCTCCCTCCTTAACCACCATCACCATCACAAGTATCATCATCATCATCATCAACATCAACATCAACATCAACATCAACATCATCATGAGCAGCACCTGACGGAGACCAAACACTTCCGCATACTTTTCTGGCCAAGAATATCCTCCATGGTGAGGTCAGTTCTCATTCTCTTTCTGAGAGCTGCTCTTCTCAGCCGTTCTTCTCGTAGACGTGTCCTGTTCAAAGCTTCCAGCTGTCTTCGTTCCTCTCTGGCCTTTCTCCGCCGCGCCTTCCTCTGCTGCAAGACTCTGCGCCGCTCTTTGTCAACAAATCTCGCCTCCAGATTCAACATCCGCCCCCATCTCACAAGGAGCCGTTTCAAAGCCAGCTGAGTGCTGGAACGATTCTCAGAAGGAAATTTTCCAAGATTCAAATGCTCTTGTAACTTTCTCGGCCGATGTTTGTTCTTATCTTGCAAAGCCATCTGCCGTCGCTCCCTGCGCTCCAGGTGGGCCAAGACATTCCTTTGTCGTAATTTTCGGGGCCTGTGCTTGTTCTTGTCTTGCATTGCCATATGGCCCCGCTCCCATCTTTGCAGCTGTGTGGTCCGCAATTCACTTCTTGCCTCGTGCAAGGCACGGATCTTCTTCAGAATGGCCGCGCCATTCACACCAGCAATCTCCCATGCGTCAGCAACTGCTTTTTGGAATCGTTCCCAAGCATCCTGGAGATGGGCTGGGCTGTACTGCCAATAGATGTTTCGTGCCCCAATGTTCTTGGCGTATTGCCGGAAAACCTCCAAGCAGCGGCGGGTCCTCCCGAGCTTCTCGATAGTGCGAAGGCTGGGTGTTTTCAAGTCTGCTCCAATGAAGAATCCAGCAGCTTGCAAATTCATAAAACTAATCTTGAGATCTGCGGGATCCTTTCCGTGCTCTTTGGCGGATGACGCTAGAGCATCCCGCAATCGCTCTTCAAAAGAGACATCTGTGGCTGCGGAATCCCGCATTTTTTGTTTCACTGCAGTCAGAACCATCAAGAACTCAAGGCCAGTTTGCAAGTTGCAGTTTCTGGTGTGCATCTCAATTGAATCAAAGCAGATTTGCGCCGTGTACGATGCGCGGCCGTTCTTTCTCAAATAGCCACCCTTGCTGTGCATCTTTCCATGAGAATCTCTTTTCTGTTTTCTCATCTTACGCTTGGCACGCTGCTTTTGAGATGTTCCAAACGTTGCTGGGCTGCAGTTCATGCTTGTAGCTGGCAAAGCGAGAACCTTACACGTGTGATCTGTAGGATCAAGGATCTGCAAAGGTCCCTCATCTTTTCCTCTCGGTTGCCCTGATGAAGCATCCACCATCCATTTCTCTAGAATCAAGCGCTGCTTCTGGGAAAACTGCTCGGTGATCACCTCATTCCGCACATCTCGAGGCAATTGTTTCAATAGATCACGGATCTTGATCAAGAGCTTGGTTTGCTTGGACTGCTGGGTTTCAGGTGCTGCTGGTTCAGTTGAGGTGCCATCAGCCGTTTGCTTTTTCCTCGACTTTGGAGGTTTCTGCGGCATTGCAGTGTGATGGGCGCGTTTCTTCGAAGTCTTCTTCTTGTGTCCTGTGCCGCCCTGTGGAGGATGCTGTACAGCAGCTGGCTTGCTGGCAGCAAGTCCATTGTCGTACTTCCTGCGGGCCTCGGGATCAGCTAAGGTCTCAAGTGCTTGGTACACCAAGTGGAAGGCCTCCTTGCTACCACCTTTGTCCGGATGGACTTGCAGCGCCCGCTTTTTGAAAGCCAGCTTGATCTCATCTAACGTGGCATTCCGGTCCACCAGCAGCACGCCATACAGTGATTCTTGCGACATTATTAGGGGATATTGGACAGGTTCTGTTTCATCAACAAGTTTTATGGTGCAAGTGGCTTGACGTCCCATCACTCCAGACTTATTATATATCATCATTGTATATAGAATAGACCCTGGTTTTTCTCAGAAGGAAATGAGAAAACACATAATAATTGTGATTGCCAACTTCCTTTTGAAGCAACACAGGGTCTGAAAATGAAGTCGACCCGAAAGCTGAACATGGCTGAACCCTTTGTGGATCTTTGTGGTCTGAAATTCGCCAAAGCGTACTGTAACCCAATTTGAGGCAAATGCTGCAGCTTGGAGGTGATGTTGGGGTCCAGAGAGTCCAGTGACTTTTTTTTGATTCATGATCCAATGATCGTTCAAACATGTGACATGTTTTTTATCATGTTTTTTATCATGTTTTTATCATGTTTTTTTATCATGTTTGTTTATCATGTTTTTATCATGTTTGTTTATCATGTTTTATCATGGTTTTATCATGTTTTATGGTGTTTTTATCATGTTTTATCATGGTTTATCATGTTTTTATCATGTTTTTATCATGTTTTTATCATGTTTTTATCATGTTTTATCATGTTTTTTTATCATGTTTGTTTATCATGTTTTTTATCATGTTTTATCATGTTTTATCATGTTTTATCATGTTTTATCATGTTTTATCATGTTTTATCATGGTTTATCATGTTTTATCATGTTTTATCACGTTTTTATCATGTTTTTATCATGTTTTTATCATGTTTTATCATGTTTTATCATTTTTTATCATGTTCTATCATGTTTTATCATGGTTTATCATGTTTTATCATGGTTTATCATGTTTTATGATGTTTTTATCATGTTTTATCATGGTTTATCATGTTTTATCATGTTTTTATCATGTTTTATCATGGTTTATCATGTTTTATCATGTTTATGATGCGTTTATCATGTTTTATCATGTGTTTATCACGTTTTTATCATGTGTTTATCATGTTTTTATCATGTTTTATCATGTTTTATCATGTTTTATCATGGTTTATCATGTTTTATCATGGTTTATCATGTTTTATCATGGTTTATCATGTTTTATGATGGTTTATCATGTTTTATCATGTTTTATCATGTTTTATCATGTTTTTATCATGTTTTTATCATGTTTTTATCATGTTTTATCATGTTTTATCATGTTTTATCATGTTTTATCATGTTTTATCATGTTTTATCATGGTTTATCATGTTTTATGATGTTTTATCATGTGTTTATCATGTTTTTATCATGTTTTATCATGTTTTATCATGTTTTATCATGGTTTATCATGTTTTATCATGTTTATGATGCGTTTATCATGTTTTATCATGTTTTTATCATGTTTTTATCATGTTTTTTTATCATGTGTTTATCATGTTTTTATCATGTTTTATCATGTTTTATCATGTTTTATCATGTTTTATCATGTTTTTATCATGTTTTTATCATGTTTTTATCATGTTTTTATCATGTTTTATCATGTTTTTTTATCATGTTTGTTTATCATGTTTTTTATCATGTTTTATCATGTTTTATCATGTTTTATCATGTTTTATCATGTTTTATCATGGTTTATCATGTTTTATCATGTTTTATCATGTTTTATCACGTTTTTATCATGTGTTTATCATGTTTTTATCATGTTTTATCATGTTTTATCATGTTTTATCATGGTTTATCATGTTTTATCATGGTTTATCATGTTTTATCATGGTTTATCATGTTTTATGATGTTTTATCATGTTTTATCATGTTTTATCATGTTTTATCATGTTTTTATCATGTTTTTATCATGTTTTTATCATGTTTTATCATGTTTTATCATGTTTTATCATGTTTTATCATGTTTTATCATGTTTTATCATGGTTTATCATGTTTTATGATGTTTTATCATGTTTTATCATGTTTTATCATGTTTTATCATGTTTTATCATGTTTTATCATGTTTTGTCATGTGTTCATCCCCATGCCAATATGATCCAATATGCTAAGATATCCTGTAGTTGCTCATGAATTACCACCGCCCGTGTCATTCGTTCTGACCCGCAGAACTCGCGCTGCTTTTGGATCCAATTGGATGCAGCTCTCCCATGGCAAAGGCCTGCCATGTAGGTCTCACAATCCAGCATCCAACTCTCCCATGATGTGGCAAAGTAGAATGTCATGATAAGCCCATCGAAGTTTCGAAAGAGCACAAACATGCATTATCAATCATTGATTATCATTGATTACTTAGGATTTTTCTTCTATCCAGACATCCAAACATCTTCAAACTCCCAACATCTCCCAACTTCGGCTTTGGCGACGCCGGTGCCCCTGGTATCCCCTGGTGCCGGTCATGCGGCCAATCTCCGCCTGCACTGTGAAGCGCCTCGCCAGTGGTGCCGCCTCGCCAGTGGTGCAGCCGCCCCAGGCTTTGCTGCAAATCCTCTGGCAGGTTTTCACGCCACTCGCTGCGGCGGCCTGGAGGACTGGAGGATCTGGTGGATGGGGTCATGTGGAATCACGCTATGCTGGGATGAAAAGGTAAGCCCAACCACTTGGATATGGTTGATATATGTTGATATGATAATCATATATATATATTATATATAATTAATGGTAAACATGCTCTCAATATCTCTCAATGCTCTTAGTGGCGTTTAGGAGGTAAACCCAAACAATGGGGAGTTGAATTGGGGGTCGAAGTGATGTCGGTGTGCACGTCTTCAACCTGCCCTGTCTTCACAGCTGATGTATGCAACCTTTGACATCCCATTCAAGGAACAGGTGGATAAGAGAAGAATGCATGGCGAAAGGAAACACTTCAGAGGGGAATAGCACCTGCCCCAAGTTGTTCTTCATTTTGTCTCGCCATCTGCCCGAACAATGGGAGATGGAAAAACAATGAAAACCCCTGTCAGGTAACCTGCTATCCACCACCAAGGAAGTTGGGTCTGAGCTGCAGTCAAGGTTCCATCGGCTTCATTATATGCCTTGTAAGCTAGTCACTACTCACTACTCATCAGAGGCTATCAGATGGTGTCAGCTGGCGATGACATCTAGCAGCCTAAGGATCCGGCAAGGTGGTAACGATGCAACCAATTCCGCGGAGAAATCGCCCCATCTTCCGCAAGTGTTGCAAGAGCCTCATACAGGCTATCCTCGGACTACGCGACCCTGCGACCAAACATACCAAACAGCAAACAATATGTTCAGAGCCTGCAAACGCATCAAGTAAACTTGAAGTCAACTAATCTGCGGGTATGACTGGAGCAATGTTAGTGTTTATGCTGCTTCCGGATGATGAAACATCAAAAACCACTGGGAAACACTGCAGATTCTCCAAGTCACGTGAATTGTCGGGTGCCCAACATGGGCGAAGTGGCTGCGAATTTGATGCTGACGACCAGTCAAAATCCTGATGCGTGGGGCAAAGCTGATGATTCACTGACAACTACGGGGCAATGACAGCAGAAACCACACACACACAACTGCAAGTTGAACATGCTCACACGTTCTCTCGAATGACTATGGATAATTCACGACAATTCCATACAATTCCTATAATCTATGGCAAGACTATAGTGACTACAGCATTGAACAAATTCGGCAACTCCAAAGGGAAACAAACAGCTTGGCACCGGCCGAGTCGCTGGACGGCAGCCAGGGTGTAGCTGCGAAAGAAGTGCCTGGCAGAGCTTTAAGTAGCCCTGAAATATCCTGAAATGCCCTGAATCTCTGGGCGTGAACAGCTCATGAACATCTTCAAATATCACAAAGATCCTCAGTGAAAGATCTTTACTCTGTGTCGCTTCAGCATCCGTTCGCAAAAATACCTGTGCACCTTCAGAAGCAAAGAGTGCATGCTTCTTGACGTTCAGAATCATCTACAGCGCACATCCCAGCAAGAAAGAGTATGACATTTGACTCAATAAATACACCAACTGGGGCACTTCAAATCCACAGCACACATGGAAGTTCATCTATTTGCATCGTCGCATCGTCATCTGCAAATTTCATCAAATTTCTATGTTCGATCCCCCTTAACTTGCTGTGCCGTCACTACCGCACGGCAACCATCAACCATAAAAACTAGAAAGTCCATTCCATCATCTTGCTTCAAACCTCACATAAACACTCATGTTCCCTAGATTTGGCCCGTTTTTTGGCATAGATTCAAGCTAACCCACCTCCATCATCCATCATCATCCTCCATCCCCCTCCCCATTTTTGGACAATTCCCCCCTGGAAGGGCCTGAACTGCGCCATCGCCTTCACCCTGCTGACCGCCGGACGTCCGCGACCGCTGAAGGTCACAAACCCACGGCACCACAGCGCCGCGCGCAGCGAGCGACGCCGAGGCGGAAAGAGGCCGTGGCACAGCACCACCTGGAAGCCGTTTTGGGATGGCCATGGATTGGGGGGAATTCACCATGATTCACACCATGGCGGCGGGGGGCCACTTATGGCCACTTGAAGTGATCTGCATGGAGAAGAGCCATAGAAGAACCATAGCAGCCACACAGCATTTTGCTAAAAGCCGCTTTTCGCTGGAACTGTTCGCAGTGAACTCAAGCATGCGAAGGGGAATGACCAAAAGTTGGATGGAAGTTGATCAACATCCTGATTTTTCCAGCACGTGTGAACATTTGATCAACAAAACTGGGAATCTTCTCAACCAAAAATGTGAACGGGACCAACAACCTATTGAGATGAAGACATAAGTCTAGTGGGATATCTCATTAAACGAGCAGTTACTGCAGCAATTGTGGAGATGAGTCAAAACGTCCTGGACACTTCAGCCCACAAATGAAATTAGTCGCAAGATATCTCAAGCATCCTGGAAAGTACATGGAAGTAATTAGAAGTACCATACATATCCATTTGCAAATGGCTTAGGATGGTTGAAGTGAAGTACCACAATTTCGACAACTAACTAGATCTTCCAATGGGCAAGAAGCCGAAAACTCCCAGAATCCCTCGACTGGCGACTAAGCAAACAAAATCAACATGTCTATGATTGCATTTACCAAGTCACGTAATCACGAAGAATCTCCCCAATCTGCAGTTGAAGCTGAAGGTCCTTGGTTGGAACATGTTGAAACAACCAGGGGCTGAGTCTCGATGGGTTCTAGCATTACCCAATGCGCGTCATATCAAAGATTCAACTATTAAACATTAAACTATCCTGACTGGAATCCTCACACCGTCACACCCATTTGGGCAGCTACAAATTGTCCATGGTCTCCTCCTTTCTGCAGACCGTCAACTTGATGAGTCTCCATATGCCAAGATCTCCCCATCCCAGGTGAGGTGCATAGAAGGCCTCATAGGTCTTCGCCAGCAGAATGAGCCCAGAGCACGGAACATCGATTCGATGCAGGAAGCCATGCCTCAGCGCGATGCCAACGGAGAGACACAAAGGTCTATCCATCCATTCTAGTTGCATTTCAAATGGAGGTATCTAAGGTATCTGAATTAAGTATCTGTTAATCCTCCCAACACGGCACTATTTGTGAACTGCGAATCGATTTGCTGGGTACTCAGCCTGGACAGGGACGGCCCCCCCGGTCTCTGAGTGTCTAACCAGTGACGTGGATCTTTGAAGATGGGAAGGGATCCGAACCTCTCCTGCACAGCGGGATGCACGGCCAATCATGGCGGCCATCCATGATTTTCAATGGCTATGCGGCGGCAATCGGGGATTCCTGGTTCGGAAGAGGGAACCATCTTTGATCGGATATCAAATGTGCAAACGACATGGAATAATCACATACAGAATTTGCCATTGACAGGTTAGCAACCTTCAAGAAGATGGACAAGCATATATATATATATTTATATAACATTGGATGGTCCAGGTATATATATACTGTAATTATATATATTCGCTAGTTCAGTGCGATGTTGCTTTTCAAATCTGTTCAGTACTTTTCTATCCTGTTTGAGGGGTGCTGTACTATAGAGAGGTATAGAGAGTAAGTGAGTATAGGACGGTTTCAATCCGGGCGTCCTTGGCAAGGTCCAACAGTTGCAGCTCAGATTCGCCATCACAAACGCCCCAACCAGATGGCTTCAGCAGGACCACACCTTTCGAAAAGTGATCCAAAAGCATCAGGAAAATCTGACTCAGATAGACATCTTAGGAAGGGCTAAGGGGTGGTGATGAACTGGTGGTGATGGCTGTATATGGCCTCTCCATGCCTATCCCATTTCAACATCATTGGGGGAATCACCAACATTCACCAGGGGTCTTGAGGCGATGTTTGAACATGTTGCAATCCCACAGCTGGCGTTTATGGGGATTGAGGAGCCCCTTGGAAACTCAGTCACTGTTGAGTGTACTGGTCTGGCAGTTCAGTGGGATGATCCAGGAAGTCAGGCTCATCACATTACATCCGAGCTCCAAATGTTACAAAAGATGGTGATCCAATCACTTCCTGTTCACTAGCGTCAGGATCATCCCAGCATCTGCCATGGTTTCCGAGGGACGATCCGCTTGGAGCGGATGGAGCTGCCGCGCGTCCAGCAGTCGGCCAGCGTCTCGGAGCACATTGGCCACCAGCCGCCTGGGGCCGCTTTTTGCCATGTACTTCAACATACTTCAACTATCCCCTCCAAAAAAAAGGTGCAAACAAACTTGCATCTTACATCAATATACTGTATCCTGCAAATATAGAGTGTATATATATATATATATGTATGTATGTAATTACAGTGTATTACGATATTTAAAATGTCATGGCAATATCCCACACAGATGATACAAGGCATGTTGCACAAGGCATGTTGCGAACATGCAGGCACCTGCATGTTTCGGTCACCATGCCGGCCATGTTGCAGCTCCACAACACACCTGTCACATCCTCACCACTCTTCTGCCAGAAATCCACCAGGGACTGGCGCTTCAGCTGGTAAACGCGAGCAATCAATTCCTCCTTGGGATTGAGAATGGCTGCAACCCGCAAACGATGCACTGTGCTCAGATATATTCAGATATGATATTGCTCATGATTCATCAGCATGGGGAAATAGAGAAATGATCCGCAGTGAGGGGGCCCTCTGAAATCAATCCAAGTCAACAAAATGGAGATGTGATCAACGCTTGAAACTTCTTCAGAATCTTCCTCACTGTCACCGCTTGCAATTTGGATCAGTTTGGGTCTCACAACATATCTCAAGAATATGTGTTCTTTATTTTCATCATGTTCACCGTCTGTTCACCCTTTTTCTATGGCAATTTCTGGGTATCCCGTGGCCCCCCCATTGACCCATGTCAGTCCTGGAGTCGCTTCCAAAAGCGAAAACCCCCGGCGCCAGCCGCGCCGGCCGCGCCGGCCGCGCCCCAAGCGCTGCGCTGCAGCTCGGCGAGGGACAAGGATGGCAACAGCTGCAGGACCTGACGCAGACCTAACGACATGGGATGTGGTTTACATAATCATGTTTAATCTAACGGATCTCCTAGTATAGATCTTTTAGTTGTCAACCTAAGTCCCAAAAAAAAAAACAAAAAAACAAAGTCTAGGAAATCTTCAGTCATAGACAGAATGGGTGGGGGGACCAGATGGCCTTAAGGAAATGCAACATTTTGCGTATTTTTTACCTCAAAAAACAGTCAAAAGGCTTCAAACATGCTCACACAGCATTCAAACATACTCAAACACGACTCGAAACAACCCAAAATTATCCAAAATTGATAGAATCTTCTCGGCCATTTTTTGAGAGAAATTGAGAGGCCGCTTTCGGATGTTGAAATCTCAAATTGTAATAATCTCAAAGAGGCTCAATTGCAGCTGTAACAGTCTCAGGGTGAACTCAACAGGACTCAAATGGGTTGTTTAACCACTAACATGATGATAACACTTTTGCCCCAAAAATATACTCATATTGGCTCTCAGACAACTCATTTAATATCAAGCCCCAAGATTCTGAACTCGACGTTTCCTAGCGGCCATTTCCTCTCCCCCCCCTGTTGGTCTATGATTCAGCTCGCCCTTGCGCTTTCGGCCTCGTTGCAAAGCCTCTCCTCTAAGGCAGGGGTTGGTGACGCTCCCAGCATCACAATGGCCCACAAAAACTTTGGCACCTGACGTGAAGACTCCTGTCCCCTTCAAATGGAAGGGAACTAAAGCCCAACTGTTTCCAAAAAGGAGTTCCAGAATATATGAAAAATTATGAAAATGATTGCAGAGGAGAGTGTGCCGAATGTTCCACATATCTTGAAATGGAGATATTGGGGCATCCTACATCCAGCTCCAACGCCTGGGCTCCCAAGGGTCTCTCCACCGCCTCCAGGCTCGAGCGGGATCCAATAGAAAAAACTGGATGATCATTATATATTATATTAAATTATATTATATCATATCATATGATATTATACTATATTATGTTATGTTAAATTATATTATATTATTGTTTACCCATGTTTACCCCTAACAACCATGGCGTTCTTAGCATTAGTTACTATGTTTTTGACTTGGGAGTACATACTTACCTGCATGATGTGGATTGTGACACGTTCTGCTATGTTCTGAAAGCATGGAACCACATTTGCGGTGGTCCAGAATCTTCACACTGACTGGAACAAACATGTTTGACGCAAAGGAGGCATACTGCGGCATACCCCATTAACTACTCACCCAGCTCGACTACAGCCACAGCCAAAGGTGCCTCTAAGCACATGGGATGGATGACACCCGCATCATCCACGCACAAGCTTCCCAAGAGATACAAAAATGATGCAGGAGACCTGACAAAAATCCATGCAAAGGCAAGGCAATGCATGGATATAGTTGACATGGCCCAGATGCAGCCATAACCATCCATATATGCCATAACCATCCATATATGCTTCACAGGTGTTCTGGCAAGCATCACGGACGATGTCTCTGACACTACTTGTGTTCCTTTGGTTCGGTGCTCAGCTGATGGCACGATCGGAAATAGGTACCGTACGCATGTTCAATCCCTGTCCTTTCCAAGGTTAAAAGAAAAACGAAACAATGAAAACCACTATTCCCAATAACAAAAATCAATAACCAACCATTTGGGGATCATGGTTAAAATTAGTTAAAATCATCCCAAACAGGAGGTATATACCCAACATTACCCAACCCCTATCGGGGATTGTTTTTTTTCCGGCACCTCATCGGCTCATCCCACTCAGAATCCACAAAGAGCTCCAGAGCCTTCGGCGCACTGCTCGGCATCACAACATGAGAGTTTCTATCTTGTGCTTGATCATGGTTGATTAATTATTCATGTTGGTTATTCCTGTTCAATTTTTCCCCATGTTTTCGTGGATTGGGACACATTGGGACTATATTTAATTGGTTCATGATGTTCATGATGGTTCCTTTGGAGCTTCACTGTGTTCACCTTTTTTGGACAACCCATCGTGGACGCACAGCCTTGGCCCAGTTGCCGGAGGTCATGCAATTCAGGATGCAGGTGTCCATCAGGACTTCATTTGGCTCCTCAGCCAGGTGCAAAGCCCAGTTCCAGGCGCACAGGGCAGCGGCTGCGCCTTGACAAAGAACCTCAGCCAAGGCGCAGTCGAAGCTCGCAGATTGGGTACCAATGGGCACAAAGAGGCCGTCTTCGAGGCAATGATGCCAAAAGGATAAGGCAACACATTCTTTGGACCATGGCCGATGACTGGCACTAAATCAGGGTTTCTATGTTGTATGATTTAGTTTGAAACCATGTTGGTTTAGTTCCCACTGTGTCACGTTGGATCGTAAGGCAAGACGCGTTTTGTTCCAGCTGCACCGTCGACATTTGCCCCAACAATCCCAGCGCCGCCTGCATGATCGACAAACCCAGTCCATTCTCGCGAGGGAAAACCCTTCAACCAAGAATTGATCGAAAATATGGAAATATGGAACACACCCCAGCTGTACAATGTTACAAGGTTGTCCCCCCCCAGTTATAAGTTGAGTTATGAACCATAGTAAGTATAGATATATCTACCATAAACCATAGTTATTGGAGTTATAAACCAACCTAGCTAACTATGGGGCACCACCTTGTAGCATTCAACATGGAGCTAAGTTTTTTCCACATGTCCACTAGGAAAATCATCCTATATCTGGCAGGATCCCAATCAACCCGGGCCTCCCAGGTGCGGCTGATGGCAATGCCACCACCAAAGCTGATGACATCAACGCGAAGACCTGCGAAGGAAGGGATTTGCAGACTCTGAATGGTGGTTTGAAGCCCCAGGAATTTACTGAATATCATTTCTTCAATTTATTCCAAAATATTCCAGATGGAAATGCAACATCTCCGAAATGACCAGCCGGTACCGCTATCCCTCCTGTAGGCCTGCTTCAGTATGCTTCAATCTGAAAGGAACTTCAACGGGAATCGACCTCTCTTGCGGGATCTACCTGGTACCCATCTACTCTGGCGCCGCCTTTTCGCGCAGTCTGGAACAAGAGCATAGCCACAGTCCAGTGCTCTTTGCAGGCAGCAGTTGCCTAAGTTACACACGACGCAGCAAACATGGTCCAAAACCCTTGTGGCACACAATGCGAAGTGGCTCAGTTGACCAAAACAACGGCATGGTCCAGTGGACTCCAGGGCACCCAATCAATCTCACCAAGATGATTCCAAAAGGACCCTCTACCCTCTGGTAAACTAAGATAACTATGGAAAATCACCATTTTTTATGGGAAAACTCACTATAAATGGCCATTTTCAATAGCTATGTTAAATTACCAGAGGGTAAGGATCCCAACTGGGTCACCTCAATGGTGTACTCCGAATTGCAGTTGAGCCACGGAGCTCCAACACACCACATTCGAATCCAATCGCTTCTGAGCCATCGAAGAAAGCCAGGACAGTGCTACCAACCAGCTGGATCTCAACATCCCCAGCACCTGGCCACTACCTTTGGCTGCCATGGCAACGGAACCTCCTGTGGATTGAAAAATGTTGGAGAAAAAAAACGAGAAAAGTGGTCGCGTGGCGCGATGGTCAAAATGGTCCCGTTGCAGAAAGCCACTTTGAAGGGTTCCACACTCATTTTCAGGCGAATGATGGTTGTAATATCAAATAATCACCATGATTTCTGCTGGTGAATGACTTTTGGTTAATGAAGGGGAGCTAATGACTCGCAAGCAATGCTGGTTAGACCCTTTCCTCATCTGCCAGGGTGCTTCGCGTGTTGGGTGCAAACTTCAGAACTTCGCAGGCATGGCGCCAGGGCCAAGGTGCTGAGAAGCTGCGCAGCAATCCTTGGTACTATTTGTTCGAGATCTTTGGGAGAGGATACGAAAGGATACAATTACCGATAATATGATATGCATATGATTTATATGATATATACCACCCAAATATCTCCAATCCCTTCCCCCTATTACTAAGCCCCCCAAATAAAAACTAGGGTCCGTCTCCAATTTTGGAAAATTTGAACTTGGCCAATTTGATTTTAATTGATCCCCTTTAGAACACAATTTAAAAATGAAGCTACCATTTCAGAGTTTCACACCCTAATAATAAAAACTATAATAGTCAACCCCGGGGTGTTTTTTATTAGGGACCGTCTTTTAAGGTCGAAAAAAAGAAAGCATTGTATATTAAGGTTTTTAGTTTATAATATTGGGGGAAAGCTTCGAAATCCAATTTTTGGCACTATTTTGATTTGAAAGGAAATCTAATCGATTTTGAAATAGAAAAAATAGTTCTTTATATTACGGTTTGAAATATTTTAAATTTAGTATTAGGGGGGAAGCTTCGAAATCCAATTTTTGGCAATATTGCATTTAGATTTTAAAGGAAAATAGGGAAATCTAATCGATTTTGAAATAGTTTTTTATTTTTTTTGGGGTTTTAAATCTAGTATTAGGGGGAAGCTTCGCACCCTAATCTGATGTGTTCAATATTTGGGGGGTGGTTTTGTATTAGGGGGAAGGGATCGCCCATATCAAAAAAACATACCATACCTGAACCCTTAGGCTACCAAGATGGATGACTGAAGGTACAGCAAACCGACCTTGCACCAGCCCCAACAAAGGCTGCCCAGACCACCACGGAACTCGTACCCGTACCATCCGCCGGTGGAGCATGGTGGAAAAATGGGTGATATGGTGGATGGAAGAAATCCTGCACCACCTTGGATGGAACAAGTTGAAGCCCCATAAAAAATTGATAAAAATGGGATAAACTATCAACTGGTGCAGGAGTTCTTCCATCCACAGTTTCAACCCTCCAAAAATGGGAAGCTGGGGGAGCTGGGTGGTTGCCAGGTCACGCTTGCGGCTTGCCCAAGAGGAGCCACAAGGAGCTGAAAACATCCTGAACCGGAGCCAATGGGTCAACGCCCTGGAAGAAGTGATATAAAAACATATAAAAACATAGCCCCCAAAACAGGGTACAGAAATATAAAAACAAAATAAAACACATCCTATTTACTGGTAAGGCCCCTTCATATTCTGTTGGATCTGTTAGAGGGTTACATAGGGGTTACTATATCATGTATATCAATTCAGCTCAGAGTCTCGTGCAAGGCTTCTTTCCAGCCTGGCACCGAAGTGCTCATGAATTTCGAATCCCATTCCCCTTGACATCAGTAGTCAGTAGCCCCCAAAAAGGTAGTAGTAAGTCCAAAATGATCATTATCTAGTTAGATTTAGTCGATGTAGGTAGTCATGAACTCCATTCCTGGCATTAACCACATCAATCCAAATTTTGGGAGCCCCAAAATCCAGAACAGTTTCCCTCCTGAAGTCAACCAACATTTGAGAAAGTGTATGATGTGTTTCAAACTAGCCCAAAAGAGTCCGTGGCCCATGATGTCCCAAGACCGTGGTCTTGGTGAATCGTAAGAACAAATTTGTAAGGATAGTTTGGATCTTATTGGTGGTTTCCATCAAAAAATAATCATCCTCTTCAGGAGAGGAAACAAGTTCGGGCATTGGTCAAAACCTTTTACTGCTGGTTTTCACATGTGCTTTTCACACTTGCAATCATACTTGCGTGATGTATGCTCATCCTTCCAAATATGCAAATATATAATATTATATATATTATATAGTCGAATATATGCCAAGGTGGTGTGCGGCTAATACTATAGTTGTCGTGGGTTTCAACCCACAACTCGCAGTTTTGGTTCCAACCCCCCCCGGCTCTATCCATGTGACGCGGCGGGAGCTGCGAGCTGGCAGGTGGATGCCATGGCTGCAAGGTCATACGACAATGCTGGTTGGTGGTATACCAACCCCTCTCAAAAATATGAGTCAGTTGGGATGGATTATCCCATGATTATGATGGAAATTAAAACTCATGTTCCAAACCACCAACCAGCAATGATACAATGGAAACGCAGATGAAAGCATACTTCGTGATCTTGATAATGAAATACATGTGAACATTTGGACATCACCAGCTGCGCTTTGATGCACGTTTAAGATCGTTTAAGTATCTTTAAGTATCTTTAAGCCACTTACATGCTTGGAGCTGATCGGATTGCTGCTCCCGAGGCCCCAGCTGCAATAACCAGCTCCACAAACGCCTAGCAGCTGGTTTGTTCATCCAAACCCCATCCGGATAGGATTTTCAATTGCTATGTTTGACTACCAAATGGATCCAAATGGCAATAAACATTGGGACAATGACAATGATCATTAAGCCAGTATCAACAACAAATCGCAAGATTTGATGGGGGAATTACACTGGGTATGCTATTTTCAGAGAAACCCAAGATGTGGCATGGTTTAGAAAGCATCAGACAGGTGGGCGTCCCCCCTTCTGGTGAAGTCGCCGGTGCAGCCTCCTGACAAATTCTTTTTTTTTTCTTTGGAGAAGCCAAGAATATCCTCCATAGTGACGTCGACTTTCATCTTCTTCCGAAGAGTTTCTCTCTTCAAGCGTTCTTCTTGTCTCATTCGTTTCTGCTTCAAGGCTTCCAAGCGTCGGCGCTCTTCTCGCTGTTTCTTCCGCTGCTGCAGGAATTTACGACGCTCTTTGTCAACCACCTGGGCCTCCTTTTGCAGAATGCGTCCCCATCTTGTCAGCAGTTTTCTCAAAAATTGCATGTCGTCTCTAGGAAGTTGAAGTTGATTGCACCTTTTTTTGCCCGTCTTTGTTCGCAAATATTTTGGGCGGTGCTTGTTCTTGTCCTGCATGGCCATATGCTGCCTCTCCCAAAGATGCATGTGCCTTTCACGTAGATCTGTGCTTGACTCATGGCCTGCGCGAAACTTCTGCAGAACTTGCGTGCTATCCACACTTGCAAGCTTCCATGCATCAACAATTGCAGTTTGAAACCTTTCCCACGCATCTTCAAGCTGGGGCGGGCTATACCACCAATACATGCTACGTGACCCGACATTCTTGGCATACTGCCGGAAGGGTTCCAAGTGACTCCGCAGCTGTCCCAATTTCTCCACGCTGCGAACCACTGGAGACCTGACCTGCAAACCAGGCCCGAGGAAGAAACCAGCAGATTGCAGAACAGCAAATCTGATGTTCAACTGGCCATAGTCTCTCCCCTGATCCTGAGCAGAAGATAGCAATGCTTCATGCAAGCGCTTGTCAAAACTGTCGCGTTGGGTGGAACGATCCATCATTTTCTGCTTCACTGATGTCAGAATCACCAAGATTTCCAGAGCAGTTGGTAAATCACAAAGTCCACTGTACATTTCAACCGCATCGAATTTAATCATCGCAATGTAGCCAACATCCTGTCCAAGCCCACGTGCGTGGCATTTCTTGATGCACCCAGCGACATCTCCAACTCTCTTCTTGCGACCTGCACCGGCCTCGCGCTGCGGGCCAGGCTTTGTGCGTGGAAGCGCCAAGGCGGTGCAGCTGCCATGCGGCAGGTCACCCGGCTGGACCAAATCCAGCATCGCCTCTTGCTTCCAGGGCCTTGCAGCTGACGGCTCAGCTGAAGCATCTGCTGCATCTACCATCCATTTCTCCAGAATCAAGCGCTGCTTCTGTGAGAACTCCTTGCTGAGGGCCTCATTCCTCACATCTCGAGGCAAACGTTTCAGAAGATCGCGGATCTGAACCAAAAGCCTCGTTTGCAAAGATTGAGGCGATTGAGGTGATTGAGATGCCGTACTGCCGTTTTTCTTGGGGACGTCTGGCTGTCTTCGATGTGACTCTGTGGCCGATGGGCCACGTCTTTCCGCCTTCCTTCTCCGCTTCGCAGACTGTGGTGCACCTTGTGCACCTTGTGCACCTTGTGCGCCTTGTGGCTTGCTCAGGAGTCCATGGTCATAGCTCTTGCGTGCCAGCGGGTCAGCTAAAGTCTCAAGTGCTTGGTACACCAAGTGGAAGGCCTCCTTGCTGCCACCTTTGTCTGGATGCACCTGCAAAGCACGCTTTTTAAAGGCCAGCTTGATCTCATCCAAGGTGGCATTCCGGTCCACCAGCAGCACATCATACAGGGACTTATGGGCCATGCATGTCCAGGGGATGTTGTGAAATTATGTGAAATTGGGTCTCCCAGAAAGCTTAGAGGCAGATTTCTAGTTGAAGCTAGCTGAAACACAGAACCAAATAGGCTTGCTTTCGTCCAGACACCCGGTAGCTTTTGCTTGGTGTTGCAAACAAGCTGATGCCGCAGCTGACTTTGCTTGTTGAACTGAATGATCCGAGTGGCAGATCTTTGCTGCCTGATTTTAAGCCATACAGCTGGGAAGGGCCATGAACCAAGGGCTACCCAGCTTGATAGCCTGACTCGTCAACTTCAGAGCTACAGCATTTCGCACAGCCCTGAGATGCTGAGGGGAAGGCTTCATCGAAACCGGTCACAGGGATGAAGCAATCCCATCCGTGTGAGGTGAAAAAAGCTGCAAACACACACACACACTTGAACATGGAAATGGGACCGAACCAGCATCTGGACTCATGGCATAGAGTCAATTGCATCGGTTGTGCAGCTGTATGTTGTCTGAGATTGAAGTTATTTTTTTGTGTGCCTTTATCCAAATCTGTTCCATCCTGAAACCCGGATCTTGTGGACTTAACCGATTTTCTTTGAATGGCAACGGCAACCCTTGATCATTCTGACACTTGTCCGTGCATCTCCACTATGGCTATGCACTTCTTTTCACCTGAGGAATCGCAAGAGAGTGTTCCACTGGTGGGTGAAGCAGTAAAATCTCAAATATAGGGGCAAAGGTAACTGTGCAGCGATCTCCTTCATGGCAGCTTCCTTAAGGCCAAAGCGAACCCAGTCATGGCCAGCCCTAATCAGCATCAACCCCTGCAACAGTATCCCACCATTTTTTTCTAATCCCACCATTTGGGGAAAAATACCTTCATCCAACTAGCAAAGTCCAACTGAACAAGCCCCACATACACAAAGTTCGTCGAAATTCAATGCATCCAAGCTGATCATTTCAATATCCTTGAACAATCTTGAACACCTTTGAAGTTAGTGGGCATTGTCGCACACCCGATGCACAATCAGACTTCCACTTCCTTTGCTAAAATCGTCCATTTGGGGATGCTTAAAAGCAGCATACAACTCCCCAAAAAAAAGTGGTTTGTCTCCATGTTCAACCCCAAACCTAGGATTCATATCCAAAAAAATCCCAAAATTATGTGTATATATATATAGATGTTTCCCATTTCCCAGATCCAAATTCTCCCCGCACCAAGTCTCAATGAGATCTTCCGCTTCCTGCTGCAGCTGCGCAGCCGCCCCGGAGGCCCCGGAGCTAGGCTCCGCTGGGCGTCTCCAAGGGATCTCAGCGCGCCAAGCCTCCAGGAAGTTCAGGGCCATGACCCATTCCTGAAACGCAAAATGGATGTTTTTACCCTCTGGTAAATTAACATAGACCCTGGCAGATAGAGGTTGGAAGACTAGTTTCCATTAAAAACTGGTGATTTTCAGGGTCTATGTTTTTTTACCAGAGGGTAAATGGGATAAAATGGGAGGAGTCACGTTGGGAGGGAAATTTGATGGAAATCCAGGGACATCAAATTTAATGTTCCTACGAGCTTTCTGCCAACGACATTTAAGCCAAATTGCCAATGTGAAGCAACCAAAAAAAACACGCGTCGAAATTGAAATGCCATGGTTTTTGCACATCGAGATGCTTGACAGTTCGCTTCCAAAGCTGTTACCCTCTCAGCACTGCCAAGGGAAAGCAAGTCTTTGGCCTTCTCCTAGTGCGCGCGTGTAGTGGAACTGTCTTGGATACTAATTAGTGGAATCAGAAATTATTCGTAGTGTGCGATTGCCTGCAAACGTGGCACCATTTTGTCAGTAAAACACTGCAAAGATCTTCAAAGTACAGTAACTGAGTAATTCATGACATCGCTTGTAAATATACAAGACAAATCAAATCACCAAGAAAAATACGTGTTATGACATGTTTTATATGCTCCGCTGAGCGGATCCTCGGAGATGTCAAAAATCTTCAGCGCCAAAAGAAGTTCAGAGCTACCTGGCTCAGCTTTGCTGGGCCGCCTCAGGGTAGGTCCAGCCTTCGCCGATGGGTTGCGCCCGTGTCTTCGACGCAGATCGGCCAAGGTGTAGTGCAAAAGTTCGGCCCGGGCCGGTGTATCAGGGAATGGCAGTGGGCAAAGCATTCCTTGACATGGATTCTCTGGAATCACGAAACCATAGCAAAATAGCAGTTGCTCATTGTTGTGCTCACCATAGCATACACACACTTCCTCCTCTGAAGTAATGTCACGGCTGGCAATCATGGACATGCTACCGTCTTTGTTGTCAGAGAACTCGGCATTTGCCAGCGCGTAGGTTGGCGCATGGTTTGCAATGTCTACCTTCCTTTGCTCAAAACCATCCGTCAAGACCAAACAGTAGCATATCATTGCCTTTAATTGAATATCCTTAAAATTCAGCCATGCCAGTTCATAAATCACGCCACTAAGCTGGCTATATCATAGCTATACTCTGTGGAACCTCCCTAGCATGGCATGCATTTAGAGGGAACCCAAAACAAAGCAAATCCCTACAAAATTCCAATAATTCCAAGGTACAATGGGTATCAAGAGAAGTCGATCGCTGTCTTTGGGGACGTGAAAAGCTCGGCTCATGATGACGGCTTGTGCCCATACGCACGCCTCCCAAGTGGCTTGCTTATCTTTGGCAAGCTCCAGTTCAGGTTTCACTGCCTTCAGCAGTTTGGATCTCAAGGACAAGGTGTGGTTCAAAATGGAGGTTCCTTTCAACAGCTCCTTGGCATCTTCAGATGGCTCCGATGACACCGAGCCAGCAACCAAGCGCAAGGGCAGGCTGTCGGGTGGATGCATGGATTGGACGAAGGGATCAGGGACTGGTGCCTTTAAAGCTTCCACCAGCCGTCGCCGCAAGGCCGCTGAAGCTTTGGGCAAACTCTCTCCTGCCCATGTGAATTCGCGAAATTCGCAAGGCTGGGGGAACCGTATATATAGAATGACCATGAATTGCCACTATAAGCAAAGTCTTGGGGAAGTCACTCTTGTATACTTTCTTGTTTGTTGTTTGTTTCATCAGACTTTGAATCGCATCTTTGGTGATCTGCTGGAATAGTGGCTGAAATTAGTAAATGGCTGATAACTTGGGTCACTACATATCGGGATATTATGAACATAACGTGTTAGATATACTGTATATAATTATTATGCATTTGTATATATATATATTATATATATAATATTATATATACATACACCAAAATAAACGAAATGGGATATGACACGATATGATTCGAATAAGCAAGCAGGTCCTAACTTCAGGCACCATCCCAGTACCGCTCCTGGCGCCAATGGCTCTGCAACCTCCAAGGATTCGGACTCATGTGCCACCCAAAGCAGCTGCGGAGGGCTTCGCACCAGCACCGTGCCAGCAGGGACCAGGGGCGCCCCTGGTTGCAGGCACAAGGCCCAGCCCCTTCCCGGCAACTGCGTTGCGCGCAAACTTGGGTGGAGATAGCCACCACCTTTCCTGGCTGCGGCCATCACTTGGGGATCATCATCCCAAAGGATCGAAAAAGACATGAAAATCATGTGATAAAGATAGAATAGAATATACCTCCAAGTGGGACCGCTTGTACCACCCATGGCCCATTTCTGGTAAAGCTGGGGATGGTTTGTGGTTTTGGGTTGGCCAAATCCCAAAACGTTAAACATGTGAACACCAACCAGCGTCTTGTGCCATTCTAAGACCTGGTTTGGATCGTCTCCACTTTGCCTATAGAGAGCCGAAAGATCCTCACACCGCACCAGTTTCTTGCGTCGCTTGCCATCCATCAAGCCAGGACTCAGGATGCCCACAACAGCCAAAGCCCTCATGGCGCCAATTTGCGGCCTGTTGCTGTGCTGCAGGTTGGTAGTAGTACGGAGGAAGTAACTGCAGTATGGAAGAGTGCTCCTTACACTTTGCCCCATGTTCTGCATGCAGCAAGCAGGTTTCTCGCAGGTTTCTTGTCTCAAAGTTTCAACATGGTCTAACATGTTTCAACATTTTTTACATTCATACGGCCAGGGCCAACACTAGACCAGTCATTGACTGCTGTCAGCGACTATAATTCCGCTGTGCTGTTCTTTCTGCTTAGATGATCTTGGATTGTCAGACAGCTGCGCCGTGACGCCGTGACCATGGTGAGTGGGCGTATCCTACTCTACCCTCTGGTAATTTAACATAGCTATTGAAAATGGCCATTTATAGTGGATTTTCCCATTAAAAATTGTGATTTTCCATAGTTTTTTGTATGTTTACCAGAGGGTACCTTGAAACATACTTCCAGCCCTATCTTGACTGCACTGCATGCGGTGTCCCCCAGGCATCAACGAAGGGTACAGACTGGGACCCATTTTTTTTCCAGTACCGGACGCAGGAAACGTCCCGGCAAAGCACAGGTGGGCTGCAAAGATTCTGAGCAAGTCACGTGGATTTCATGGATTTCATAGAGTCTAGAGGTTCCTCATCCATCTGAAATAGGAGGATATATAGGTGGTCTTTATTTTCATGGCAATTACGAGCACGACCAAATGAATATCAAATGAATACCAAATGCAGTGTGGCGCTTGATGTTGCAAGTGCTCACAAACTTGCCGCAGCGACATCTGTGCGAAAATTCTCCCCCAGCCCTGCACTTGAGGCCTGGGACGTAGCTCCTCCACCAGTCGAAGGGTTCCTACATATCCTACATGGTTCTAATATTTCTAATCATCATTTTCTAATATAAATCATTCAAAGACCTCACCAAGTGAGATAACTCTCAGCATGGCTCATGCTTTCACCGCAGTCACGACCCACATTGGATTGGACTGCCTCAGATACACAGAGATACACAGGGCAGCAGAGCAACGGCTTGAAACACCAATGGCGACTCTGATATCGACCTGTGGACAGCACGGTGTCTTGCTGATATCGACCGATTGGATGTCCTTCCTTGGGCGCCATGGATGCCATGGATGCCATGGGACGAACATGGTAACCGTAACCGTAACGGGTTGAGGTCAAAGCCAGCCAGCTCCAGGGTTAAAGTGGAAATAGTTCCCAACCTCGATGGATCCAGATACAGTATGGTACAGCGTTCTGGAGAAAGCATACAGGTTATTCATGGTTATTCTCAACCTGATTTTTTTCAGGCTACCTGGCACCTGCGACAAGTTACCGATATATATATATATGTATGCATATAATTATATATAATTCATATTACATTCATAAACATCCATCAAAAATGGATGGACCACCAGGCTCGCTGCAATCTGACAATGACCTGGACCATCACCTGGGAATCGCAGCAGCTTGACAGGCCTGTTTGGTTCGGTGTAGACTGGAGAGCAAAGGTAACACAAAAGCACTGGAGCACCGTTCCTTTTCTTTTTGCAGCCAATGCTTCCGAAGGTTGGCTGGGTAAAATCACTTAAACCGTTAAACCTATTTCCACTGCAGCTGTCACAAACATGGCAATGACAGTACTTCACATTGATTGATATTTGCAAGACTTCCCATCTTAAGAATGTGTTTCGCACAGTTTGGCTTTGTATGCAACTCTTCCTCCAATGTCTGCTTCACTGCAATGTGATGCGAAATCATAGCGTTCTTTTGACGCGGAGTTCCAGAAAAAATATGGATGTCCCCTTCGAAGGATCCGGACACCGGATCAAGACGCATCAAGCATTGGTGTTGCCTGTATCTCCCAGCCTGCCTGGAAACGGACTTGATGTTTGGAAAAACAAACCACAAAAGAAACATTCTAAATTGGATTCGAATCCTATCTTGGATTCCCTTCACTGGTGACGCTACAGACGGCTCATGGCTCATCAGCTGGAGGACAGGTACACCATCATGGACCACTTGGGGATATTGATCATGATCTTTCCGCCGTCATCAGCCTTCGCCTCCGGCGTGCTGCTTCCCTCCCAGCCCCCAAACTCCTTGGACTGCGAGCTCAACGCCAACTTCCAGGTGCGTCCTCCTCCCCAGCCGGTGTTGATGCCGTAGCTGTCGTTTTCCCATTGCTGTTCACCAAAATGGGCAACGCACAGGGCTGCAAGGTCCTGGCTCCAGCGCATGAAGGCCAAGATGGTGTTGTTGCCATCTTCGTGCACAAACTTCACTTCATCCCTGGTCAAAACCTCACAGGAGGTGCGCAGCTTATTGGAGGCCGCCACAAAGGCCCTCATCTCCATGGTTTGAGGGTCAGCACCTTCAACCAAACCCCAGTTCATCCGATGGTGGGGATCAACGTGCCACCAATCTTCTTGCAAGTTCTCAGTTCCCATGAAAGTCATGGGTAAACCCTTGCAGCAATTCTGGAACCCAAACCAAGCCCTGGTTTGTGCCCTCGCATGCCAATTGCCTTTACCACCCAGGCGGCTCACGTAGTAGCGATGGGTCCCGTGCCCATCCTGTTTTCCACCATGTCGATCACCAATCTGATCGTGGGAGCCAAGGACGGAGTGGACACCACCGATATTTCCAAATCCATGTGGTGCCACCATATTCTTCAGCATCCCAATTCGTTTGTGAGGATCTCCCCCACCATCTGAGCCCTTCATGATCTTCACCGAATCAAAGTGTGTGGCATGCAGCCAGCACGAGTGAAAGCCTGCATCATTGAGGACCGATGGATTCTCCGGGGTGATCTCAGCAATGAGGACCTTGTTGGAATAGTGGGCCTTGATTTCATAGGTCAACTGTTGAAGCAGCCACCAAGGCATGTTGTGGACCGAGTCAAATCGCAAACCATCCACCCCATACTCTTCAATCCAGGTCCTACACGCCTGCTTCAAATAGTCCTGCACCTCAGCCTTGTGGAAGGCAAAGCGCTTGCCCCACGGGGTATCTTTCTCACCCTCAAAGTAGATCCCACCACAATTGTCAGGACCAAAACCATCCCAGTTCCAGAGCACATTCATCTTCGAGGAGCCATGATTCAACACCACATCAAAGAGCACTGCCATGCCCAAACTGTGAGCCCGCTCCACCATGGTCCTCATCTCTGCTGCTGAACCCCAAGGTCCATGTGATGCCAACAGCTGTCTGGAGTTGTAGCCCCAGATGCCACCGAACTCGGCGGTGGGCATGAATTGAATGCAGTTGAATCCCAAAGATGAGATGTGCTCCAGTTTTTCGGTGGTGGCGGCAAAGGCTCGCTTTTCATCGGCTTCCGACACGAAGCTTCCGACGTGAAGCTCATAGATCACCAGCTCGTTGAAGTTTGGAGCAACGAACGGCGTCAAGGGCTGCAAAGGTGGATGAAGGATGCACCAGGCCGAGTTGAAATCACACTCGCGAGCACATGGGTCCCGCCGAACCAGTCGGGCCCCTTCCTGGTGGAAGCAATCGTTCCAGCTGGAGCCCATGGCGATCCGATAGCGATCCCCTGGTGCGCAACGAGCCTGACCGGTCCAGAAGTCGCCTTCACGGACAAGTTTCACCTCCTGGACCTCCGAAGCCTCAGCACCCTGCAGCTCCACCGTCACGTCCTCTCCATGGGGTGCCCAAACGCGAAAGGCACATTCTTCCGCAGAGAGCCACTCTGGCCCGCAGGCATGAGCCAACTTCCATTTGGGTCCTTCCATGGCCATGGCAGAGGCTCCAGTCAAGACTGTGGAAGTGCTGATCTGTTTCACGTGTTCTCATTGTGGCATACAGAAGGAAATGGCTCTCGCATTTTCTCAACAACTTGATGGGAAGTAACTTAGACACCATCGGCTGCCATTGGAAATTAATGGAACTGCAGCCAAAATGGCAGCGCCGAGATGTCGTGATCCAACCTCCCACCAGATCACCGCTCGGTCCAAAGGAGGACGCTGCAGCGTCCCGATCGCTGAGGCTATGACTCATATCTGCGACCCACATGCCAATCGCCTGGACAAGCGACAAGGAATGCTTAGATGGCATGGGTGACATGAAATCCATGGAATATGGGACCTGATATAGGGAAGGTATCGTTGTCATACATTTCTACATGATATTGAGGCATAATAGTATGTGGAGAGAGATATATGATATATATATATATATACTCATACATACATTACATACTAAATATAGTAATATATATAGTCTAATCAATTCTAATTTCTAATCACATATAGTGTATCACGAACCGTAGAGGCCTATGAGGCCAAAAGTTCAACTGATGTGAAGATGAGCTTGCTGGCTGACTATTTTCAAAGTTGCGCGAGTAGCTTCTCATCATTTGGCTTCCCTGAGTGTCAGGGTTTACCTCAAGCTACAGCTGTAGGGCATTCGCCCACCTTCCAATGAAGGAATCTGCAAAGAGAACTGGCTGAGCTTGGCGGTATTTACATGTGCCATGCTATGCCATGCTCGGCCAGCGCAACTCAGGAAACACCATCTCGCAGAGCCCATTTCGGCTGAGCAATGGTCAAAATTGGACCGCTGGCAGGTCACCAAAAGTGCATGGATGACTGTCTGCGGGGATGTCTTGCCTTGAGCTGGGATTGGTGGAATACAGTGTCATTCTAAGTAGACCTCCCCACCTTCTTCCAGTCTTTAGGTACCATGTTGGAAGCCCTCCACATGCACAAATTATGGCAGTGAATTAGTCGCGCAGCTCAGCCATCGCGCCCGAAAGATCGTCTGAGACCTGCTATGCTTTGATCAACTCCGTCTTGGACAGCACCTGCCAGGCTGGAAACCAACGGAAACCAATGGAAACCCCACGAAAATCACGAAATCCCAAGGGCCCAGTGCTTGAGACGAACGAAAAGAGCACCGTGCCTTGCAGGTCCAAGGTGTGGCATGCTCTGGTGGGTCTGCAGGATCAATACCAGGAGTGCAGCTGGTCTTGCAAGAGGCCCAGTACTCGTTTTTCTGGAAACCTGCAGTTCTGTCAGATGCTGTCATATATGTTGTCCTGGTGTCACTCATGTCTGCGTTCTTAACCTGTCTGTCACCTCTGCGTCTCTTGCGCTGTACCAACATGATCAAGCATGATGAAGAAACTGCTCTTCCAAAATAGGGCAAGCCAGAAGACATCAACAAAATTAAATACTTAAAATACCAAATCCAGACATGTCAAACAGGATTTGAAAGGATTCACAAGATCAACATTTGATGCGAAAACGCGCGAAAAAATGTGCAAACACATGTGTGAAAACATGTAAAAACCATCCGTTGCAAGCTCGGACATCTTAGACATGAAACATTTGGCACCCAACTCGTTGCAACACATCGTCTCAGAGCAGTCATCCGTGGAATCTGAACATTGCCCTGGAGGAGGTGTCGTCAAGGCCGGACATGGCGTTGGCAGATTAGTGGGCATTTCCTCACCTCGCAACATTGCCCTCAGGAAGTGTCCGGATTCTGTCAGCTCACCTTGGTTTTCAATGGTTTTCAATGGTTTTCAATGGTTTTCAATGGTTTTCAGCTGCCCACTACTAGTATATATCATGAGAAAGGGTGCGAAGCGGATAAGGATTGATAAGGTCACAGTGAAAGCCTTTTCAAAATCGCTTTCACAATTCATCTGCCCACTGCTGGGCCTATGCTATGCTTTACCTATCAGATACCTATCCTGAATCCGAGTGGCAGTCCTTCCAGCCACCCTCTCCGCTGGCACCCGGCAGAAGCGCGGAACAAGCTTCCTGCTTGTCGCTGACCGCCCAGTTGGCATCCGAAATATTCAATTCCTTGAAGAAGTTCAGCCTCGGAGTGTGCTCAAGCCATCTCAGCCTTCAAGGCCCTGCTTCCATTCTCAAAGCCCTCAAAGCCCTCAAAGCCAAAGTATCAGCATCACAAGGATATGACAAGATATAAGACAAACCCATGATACTCTATGCTCTCTATGCCACCCCCTTTCTTGTCTTTCTTTCTGAAAGCTTTGACTTGGACTGGGTCATTCCGTTCACAACATGAAGCGCCAAAAGCCATCAAAAGCCAACCAGCACGAGAGAAAACCGGGGAACCATATCTTGGCCTCCTGGAAGTTCAAGGTACCATCCCCGTCGGCGTCACAAGTGCCCCACTCCGTGGCAAAAACGGCAACAGATTGGACTGCCTTGGTGACTTTGTCCCGAAGCTCCTGGACGAACAAACAAAAAAGCCAAATTTCTCCCAAAACAGTGATACAGTGTTGATTGGAAGAGACCGATTCATTAGGTCACTAGATAGATCCGAATGCGAGTTGCAACATGTTTGCCACGAGTCCTGCATGTGGGTGTTGGCATAGAAGTGGATGGTGTACGCCAAGTTCTCTCCTTGTACCGGATCTTGTGCTGCTTCATCTACATCTTGAGACCACGTCCTAGTGCCCAGCACAATCAGGTTGGAGGAATACTTACGAATGACTTTCACGATCCTCTCGTGGTATGGCTTGATTGTCTGGTTCCAATCTTGCGCGATCGGCTCGTTGTAGATCTCGAAGATGACGTTGGGAAACTCGCCATATTCTTTGGCCATCTCTCGAAAGAACTTGGTTGCTTCTTTTTCATGTTTTTCCGCGTTGTGGTCGTGCCAATCAATTATCACCTCAAACCAAATTGGTAGAGCTGGTAGGGTGTGGAAAGTCACATCAAATATCATCAAATGACATTGAACTTGCCTTTCATGCTGGCGTCACTCAAGAATGCAATGGTGGTTCAAACATGCTCATGACTCATGATATTCATGAAATTATGCAGGACTCATGACTGTTTACGAAGGCTGGGGGTTGCAGGTCATTGCAATTCCTTTCGCTGGAACCTACTCACAACATGTCAGGACAACCAGCACAATAAAACACGCGCAGTTTAAAGCAAACGGGCATATTTGAATATGATCAAAGCAGGTTCGGCTGTTAATGCCAAGTAACGTAAATGCCAACATCAATGGCAGCATCCACCACTGTCTTTACCTTCTTGAGTTCCGCTTCCTCGTTGGTAAGATAACCACCTTTTTCTACCGCCATGGCTGCACGGATCAGAGTCACTCCCCAGTCTTTCTGCAGCCATTCTGTGGTACCCTTGGTCCAGAACTGTGGCTTCCATTGGGACCAGAAGAGAGACATCCCACGCAGCCGAACCGGTGCACCAGACTCATCCGTCACCTGGTTCCCCACCACTTTTAGGAAACCATGCTTCTTGACCACCGACGTCGTGGACGTTTCTATGGAAGCCGTAGTAGTCGGTGCGGAGGTTGTCGAAGTCGATCCGGAAGTCGACGAAGTGGTAGCCTCACTGGCACAAGTTGGCACAAGTAACACAATAACACAAGTTGAACTTGTAGTCCTGGCATCTATTGGCCATCACAATGTGACAATGGGCAGCGAAACACAGCAAACTATGATCGAAGGAAGTTTAGAAGTCAAACTTCCGACAATATGGACAGATGAAAAGCAGAGCAGGGCAGAGGCAGAGAGAAGAGGAAGATTAGTTTAGAAGAGAGAAGATCAGAAGAGAAAGAGTCAGAAGAAAGAAGATACAGATGCGCGAAAAGGTAGGAAAGTCGCGAAACACTGTGTTTTTCCAATGATGTGTGGCTCCGGAGGGTCGAAAAGTAGGCTCGCTAAAGCGGCGGGTGCGGACCCAGCTGGCCACAGGAACGATGAAAAATTGCACGCCGTTGTGGCGCGAAGCACATTTCCAAGTCAAAATGTACAAAACACACCAGGTTCGGACCACTTTTGGAAGTTATGATGTCGAAAAAGTGCACGCCGTTGTGGCGCGAAGCACATTTCCAAGTCAAAATGTACAAAACACACCATTCTCGGACCACTTTTGGAAGTTGAGATGTCGAAAAAGTGCACGCCGTTGTGGCGCGAAGCAAATTTCCAAGTCAAAATGTACAAAACACACCATTCTCGGACCACTTTTGGAAGTTGAGATGTTGAAAAAGTGCACGCCGTTGTGGCGCGAAGCACATTTCCAAGTCAAAAGTGTCAAAAACTGACGGTCTCGGACCACTTTTGGAGGTTCAGATGTCGAAAAAGTGTCGAAAAAGTGCACGCCGTTGTGGCGCGAAGCACATTTGGAAGTCAAAAGTGTAAAAAAAGTGAGGGTTTTGAGCCTTTTTTGACGTGCTGATGTCGAAAAAGTAGACACTGATTAACTTAACTAACTTGACTAACTTAAGGAACTTCACTAGCTTAACTACCCTAACTTCGACGACAACAGCAACAACAACAACAACTACTACTACTACTTCTACTACTACTACTACTACTACTACAACTACAACTACAACTACAACTACAACTACAACTACAACTACACAACAACTACAACTAGAACTACAACAACTACAGCTACAACAACAACAACAACTACAGCTACAACTACAACTACAATAGATCGATAGATGGAGAGATAGATAGATAGATAGATAGATAGATTAGATACATAGATAGATAGATAGATAGATAGACAGATAGATAGATAGATAGACAGACAGACACAGAGAGAGAGAGAGATAGACAGATAGATAGATAGGTAGGTAGGTAGGTAGGTAGGTGGATAGTCAGAGAAAGAGAGAGAAATAGTGGGAGACCTCAAGCACCTTTCGGTCCATCAGTGGCTTCGCTCTGCCATCCCTGATTCACAACCACCAACCTCTCCTATAGGTTTCCTATTTTTGAAACTTCCGCCACCGCCTTGTGCGGTACTACTGGTAAAAAGTAGGCGGGAAAAAACACACATAGTAAGATATAGCAAGTAGGTGAAGAGATATATATATATATATGACATGACCAAATCATCACAACATGACACAACAAACCGAACACACCGTTGGACATCCTCTGGCCTCTGTCCCAGTCTCTCCGCTGAGCACCTGCCACATGGAGCTACGCATAATTAGCTATGCAAACAAATGTAACAAGACTGTAGCTGCCAAAGAAAATGCCATAAAATGCCACAAACTTGACGGACCTTACAGAAATCCGTGAATGAGTGAATTCCCAGAAGTCGAAAGAACATTGGCGAATGATTGCGAATATACACTTACGAGTGGAAGAGTAAAGAATGTTGCAGCAGTCAAACAATTTGCAAGTCATTGATGTTGTGCATGCTAACGCCTTGCAGGTCCAAGGTGTCGCATACTCTGGTGGGTCTGCAGGATCAATACCAGCAGTGCAGCTGGTCTTGCAAGAGGCCCAGTACTCGTTTTTCTGGAAACCTGCAGTTCTGTCATGTGTTCCATCACGTGTCAAGTGTCAAGCTATTAAGTTATTTGTCGCATCACCGTCCGTCCAGTGTGTGATGTGTGCAGCAATGTGTGTCACGTGTCCGCACTTGTTCCAACATGATCAAAGTTGATCAAAATTGATCTCAGAATCTAGGAATCATGCTATGTATATACTATGTATATAATATATGATCACAATCATCTCATATGTCTGTATGTGTGTATTGCTCTCATGCAGCAATATGGCTATGTCAAGCTATACCAGTATGAAATGTATGAAGCTAAAAAATGTGGAAACATTTAGAAATACATAGAAATACTATCTGCTGATATCTTCTGCAAGCTTTGACATAGACGTGAAACATTTGGCACCCACTTCGTTGCAACACTTCGTCTCAGAGCAATCATCCGCGGCATCGGAACATTGCCCTGGTGTCGTAGACGCAGAAGTTGTCGAAGTCGATCCGGAAGTCGACGAAGTGGTAGCCTCACTGGCACAAGTTTCAGCAAGACTAAGTGGTGGTGCAGGTTGCAGTAGGTTAGTTACAACATGGTTTGGATGATCCGAAAATCAAAAAAACACATTTAAAATCATATTTATCTTTTTTTTCCGCCAGAAAAGAGAAATAAAAAGAAATAAAAAGAAATAAAAAGAAATAAACAGCAATAAACAGAAATAAAAAGAAATAAAAAGAAATGAAAAGAAATAAAAGGAAAAAACCGAAATAAATATACATTTAAAAATAAATAAATACACATAACAAGAATTAAATATACATAACAAGAAATAAATATACATATAAAAAAGATAGAATTCACTTGATTTTACTTCATCCTGTTTAATCTGTTCAGGCTGAAGCCTATCAAAACTGATTTTGTTTTGACAACGCTGGCCACGCGGTCTGACAACAACTGACAAAAAAGGCACATCAGTCACATCAGGAACCAATGTCGTTTTTGGTCACGTGTAGCAACGTACCTCATCGATCCATCAAAACAAAATCAGCACGATTCAGCACGGGTAGGGACAAGCAATGCAAAGGCCGGACCAAACATGGACGCAAGGAAAGGATTCATTCCTGCCATCATTGGGTCGACTTCTCGATGACGCTTGGCCGTACGGGCCAAAGGACCATTGGCTGAAGACGACATGGGTTTTCTGAAATTGAAATGAAAGCGGGCAACTGACCACACAAGACTCTGGGATCCAAAATGCCACCAAAGCGCAAAAAATTGTAGAGTTTTCCGCAGCACATCGCGCCAGGAACACCCTTGCAGCACGTATATGATTTCCTTTTTTTCTTGAAAAATAGACACATTTGTTCATTATTTTCATATTTTTGCATTTCTTCGTCAAAAAAGAGCAAAAAAAAAGAGAAAAAAAAGAAAGAAAAAAAGAGAAACAAAGAGAAAAAAAAGATTGTTGACCTCAAGAAACATTTTCTCAATTGAAAACCAAATGCAGGTTATCCCACTGGCGCGAAACCCAAGAGAAAAAAAAAGAAAAAAAAAAAGAAAAAAGAAAAAAAAGAAAAAAAACAGAAAAAAACATGTCACCGTTTTGCAATTTGTACCCAATCACCGCTATGCAATGCATGTTTGGAAAATTGTTCCCAGAAATCATGCTGTAGTGATCTGTAGTGACATTTTTTCACATGTTTATGATTCATGTCGTTTTCACATGTTTATGGTTCATGTTGAACGGTCTGGAGCGGTTTTGCCATTTTTTTGTAGGGGTTTCTACTCAATCACCGCTACCCAGTTTATGTTTGGAATATGGTGGCCTCCAATGTTCACATATCTTTATCATGCGTTGTGCGTTTATTGTTTTCATTCATGGTTTATTTCATTTCCTGGTGCCTTTTAATGTGTTATTTTATTTTCATTTATGTTCATTTACTTTCATTTATTTTCATTTATTTTCATTTCTTCTTATTTATTTTCATGTCTTTTCATTTTTGTTCATTTCCTGTTTTTTTTCTCTCTTGAAAAAACCATTACCAATCTAAACCACTTGCATGTCGACCCACGACTTAGTTCTGCTAAAAGTTGGCACAAGTAACACAATAACACAAGTTGAACTTGTAGTCCTGGCATCTATTGGCCATCACAATGTGACAATGGACAGCGAAACACAGCAAACTATGATAAAAAGTAGGTGGGAAAAAAAACAATATGACAAAATTATCACAACCTGACACAACAAACCGAACACACCGTTGGACATCCTCTGGCCTCTGTCCCAGTCTCTCCGCTGAGCACCTGCCACATGGAGCTACGCATCACTAGCTATGCAAACAAATGTAACAAGACTGTAGCTGCCAAAGAAAATGCCACAAACTTGACGGACCTTACAGAAATCCGTGAATGAGTGAATTCCCAGAAGTCGAAAGAACATTGGCGAATGATTACGAATAAACACTTACGACTGGAAGAGTAAAGAATGTTGCAGCAGTCAAACAATTTGCAAGTCATTGATGTGGTGCATGCTAACGCCTTGCAGGTCCAAGGTGTGGCATACTCTGGTGGGTCTGCAGGATCAATACCAGCAGTGCAGCTGGTCTTGCAAGAGGCCCAGTACTCGTTTTTCTGGAATCCTGCAGTTCTGTCATGTGTTCCATCACGTGTCAAGTGTCAAGCTATTAAGTTATTTGTCGCATCACCGTCCGTCCAGTGTGTGATGTGTGCAGCAATGTGTGTCACGTGTCCGCACTTGTTCCAACATGATCAAAGTTGATCAAAATTGATCTCAGAATCTAGGAATCATGCTATGTATATACTATGTATATAATATATGATCACAATCATCTCATATGTCTGTATGTGTGTATTGCTCTCATGCAGCAATATGGCTATGTCAAGCTATACCAGTATGAAATGTATGAAGCTAAAAAATGTGAAAACATGTAGAAATACATAAAAATACTATCTGCTGATATCTTCTGCAAGCTTTGACATAGACGTGAAACATTTGGCACCCACTTCGTTGCAACACTTCGTCTCAGAGCAATCATCCGCGGCATCGGAACATTGCCCTGGTGTCGTAGACGCAGAAGTTGTCGAAGTCGATCCGGAAGTCGACGAAGTGGTAGCCTCGGCACAAGTTGGCACAAGTAACACAATAACACAAGTTGAACTTGTAGTCCTGGCATCTATTGGCCATCACAATGTGACAATTGACAGCGAAACACAGCAAACTATGATAAAAAGTAGGTGGGAAAAAAACATAGTAAGATATAACAAGCAGGTGAAAAGATATGACATGATATGACAAAATTATCACAACCTGACACAACAAACCGAACACACCGTTGGACATCCTCTGGCCTCTGTCCCAGTCTCTCCGCTGAGCACCTGCCACATGGAGCTACGCATAATTAGCTATGCAAACAAATGTAACAAGACTGTAGCTGCCAAAGAAAATGCCATAAAATGCCAAAAAATGCCACAAACTTGACGGATCTTACAGAAATCCGTGAATGAGTGAATTCCCAGAAGTCGAAAGAACATTGGTGAATGATTGTGAATAAACACTTACGGGTGGAAGAGTAAAGAATGTTGCAGCAGTCAAACAATTTGCAAGTCATTGATGTTGTGCATGCTAACGCCTTGCAGGTCCAAGGTGTGGCATACTCTGGTGGGTCTGCAGGATCAATACCAGCAGTGCAGCTGGTCTTGCAAGAGGCCCAGTACTCGTTTTTCTGGAAACCTGCAGTTCTGTCATGTGTTCCATCATGTGTCAAGTGTCAAGATATTAAATTATTTGTCGCATCACCGTCCGTCCAGTGTGTGATGTGTGCAGCAATGTGTGTCACGTGTCCGCACTTGTTCCAACATGATCAAAGTTGATCAAAATTGATCTCAGAATCTAGGAATCATGCTATGTATATACTATGTATATAATATATGATCACAATCATCTCATATGTCTGTATGTGTGTATTGCTCTCATGCAGCAATATGGCTATGTCAAGCTATACCAGTATGAAATGTATGAAGCTAAAAAATGTGAAAACATGTAGAAATACATAAAAATACTATCTGCTGATATCTTCTGCAAGCTTTGACATAGACGTGAAACATTTGGCACCCACTTCGTTGCAACACTTCGTCTCAGAGCAATCATCCGCGGCATCGGAACATTGCCCTGGTGTCGTAGACGCAGAAGTTGTCGAAGTCGATCCGGAAGTCGACGAAGTGGTAGCCTCACTGGCACAAGTTGGCACAAGTAACACAATAACACAAGTTGAACTTGTAGTCCGGGCATCTATTGGCCATCACAATGTGACAATGGACAGCGAAACACAGCAAACTATGATAAAAAGTAGGTGGGAGAAAAAAAAACACATAGTAAGATATAACAAGTAGGTGAAAAGATATGACATGACCAAATCATCACAACATGACACAACAAACCGAACACACCGTTGGACATCCTCTGGCCTCTGTCCCAGTCTCTCCGCTGAGCACCTGCCACATGGAGCTACGCATAATTAGCTATGCAAACAAATGTAACAAGACTGTAGCTGCCAAAGAAAATGCCATAAAATGCCACAAACTTGACGGATCTTACAGAAATCCGTGAATGAGTGAATTCCCAGAAGTCGAAAGAACATTGGCGAATGATTGCGAATAAACACTTACGACTGGAAGAGTAAAGAATGTTGCAGCAGTCAAACAATTTGCAAGTCATTGATGTGGTGCATGCTAACGCCTTGCAGGTCCAAGGTGTGGCATACTCTGGTGGGTCTGCAGGATCAATACCAGCAGTGCAGCTGGTCTTGCAAGAGGCCCAGTACTCGTTTTTCTGGAAACCTGCAGTTCTGTCAGATGCTGTCATATATGTTGTCCTGGTGTCACTCATGTCTGCGTTCTTAACCTGTCTGTCACCTCTGCGTCTCTTGCGGTGCACCAACATGATCAACCATGTAGAAACTGCTCTTCCAAAATAGGGCAAGCCAGAAGAAACATCAACAAAATTAAATACTTACTGTAAATACCCAATCCAAACATGTCAAACAGGATTCGAAAGGATTCACAAGACCAAGATTTGATGCGAAAACACGTGAAAAAATGTGCAAAAACATGTGAAAACATGTAAAATCCATCTGTTGCAAACATTTGCAAACTCGGACAACTTAGACGTGAAACATTTGGCACCCAACTCGTTGCAACACATCGTCTCAGAGCAGTCATCCGTGGAATCTGAACATTGCCCTGGAGGAGGTGTCGTCAAGGCCGGACATGGCGTTGGCAGATTAGTGGGCATTTCCTCACCTCGCAACATTGCCCTCAGGAAGTGTCCGGATTCTGTCAGCTCACCTTGGTTTTCAATGGTTGTCAGCTGCCCACTATCATGAGAAAGGGTGCGAAGCGGATAAGGATTGATAACGTCACAGTGAAAGCCTTTTCAAAATCGCTTTCACAATTCATCTGCCCACTGCTGGGCCTATGCATGGCCTATGCTTTACCTATCAGATACCTATCCTGAATCCGAGTGGCAGTCCTTCCAGCCACCCTCTCCGCTGGCACCCGGCAGAAGCGCGGAACAAGCTTCCTGCTTGTCGCTGACCGCCCAGTTGGCATCCGAAATATTCAATTCCTTGAAGAAGTTCAGCCTCGGAGTGTGCTCAAGCCATCTCAAGCCATCTCAGCCTTCAAGGCCCTGCTTCCATTCTCAAAGCCCTCAAAGCCCTCAAAGCCAAAGTATCAGCATCACAAGGATATGACAAGATATAAGACAAACCCATGATACTCTATGCTCTCTATGCCACCCCCTTTCTTGTCTTTCTTTCTGAAAGCTTTGACTTGGACTGGGTCATTCCGTTCACAACATGAAGCGCCAAAAGCCATCAAAAGCCAACCAGCACGAGAGAAAACCGGGGAACCATATCTTGGCCTCCTGGAAGTTCAAGGTACCATCCCCGTCGGCGTCACAAGTGCCCCACTCCGTGGCAAAAACGGCAACAGATTGGACTGCCTTGGTGACTTTGTCCCGAAGCTCCTGGACGAACAAACAAAAAAGCCAAATTTCTCCCAAAACAGTGATACAGTGTTGATTGGAAGAGACCGATTCATTAGGTCACTAGATAGATCCGAATGCGAGTTGCAACATGTTTGCCACGAGTCCTGCATGTGGGTGTTGGCATAGAAGTGGATGGTGTACGCCAAGTTCTCTCCTTGTACCGGATCTTGTGCTGCTTCATCTACATCTTGAGACCACGTCCTAGTGCCCAGCACAATCAGGTTGGAGGAATACTTACGAATGACTTTCACGATCCTCTCGTGGTATGGCTTGATTGTCTGGCTCCAATCTTGCGCGATCGGCTCGTTGTAGATCTCGAAGATGACGTTGGGAAACTCGCCATATTCTTTGGCCATCTCTCGAAAGAACTTGGTTGCTTCTTTTTCATGCTTTTCCGCGTTGTGGTCGTGCCAATCAATTATCACCTCAAACCAACAAATTGGTAGAGCTGGTAGAGTGTGGAAAGTCACATCAAATATTATCAAATGACATTGAACTTGCCTTTCATGCTGGCGTCACTCAAGAATGCAATGGTGGTTCAAAAATGCTCATGACTCATGATATTCATGAAATTATGCAGGACTCATGACTGTTTACGAAGGCTGGGGGTTGCAGGTCATTGCAATTCTTTTCGCTGGAACCTACTCACAACATGTCAGGACAACCAGCACAATGAAACACGCGCAGCTTAAAGCAAACGGGCATTTTGGATTATGATCAAAGCAGGTTCGGCTGTTAATGCCAAGTAACGTAAATGCCAACATCAATGGCAGCATCCACCACTGTCTTTACCTTCTTGAGTTCCGCTTCCTCGTTGGTAAGATAACCACCTGATTCTACCGCCATGGCTGCACGGATCAGAGTCACTCCCCAGTCTTTCTGCAGCCATTCTGTGGTACCCTTGGTCCAGAACTGTGGCTTCCATTGGGACCAGAAGAGAGACATCCCACGCAGCCGAACCGGTGCACCAGACTCATCCGTCACCTGGTTCCCCACCACTTTTAGGGAACCGTATTTGTCCACCACTGTGTCGCCAGTTTTCTTCTTCACTATCGCCTTGTGCACGTGGTGCACGTGCTTGTGTTGCAACATGTAGAAGCCCTTGGTCTGGCAACTCTTACACTCTCCAGCCACCAGGGGCAACAAAAGTAGCCATGCTGTCCACATGGCCATGCCTGAGCGGCCTTTGCGGTCACCGAAACTTCCTCTGGCTGCGATCAAATGGCTGCAGATATCAAGACGTGGTGCGTTCATCCAAGACATGCGCACCAAACACGTCATTGCACACAACGCACTCCAGCAAGCCAACATTGCAACGGACAATCACCAGCATTTGCAGACCACGTCGTCCAAATTTGGGATGCCTATAGCTGCTACGAGTATAGCCTGTGAATACAGCCTGCATAATCTATAGCCATAGCCAAGTGAAACTACCTGAAAATTGCAACAAATTTGGCCCATGCCTTGGTGAAGAAACAGCGGTTGCTGAAGGACATGATGGCAACACCTTTTCAGCTTTTCGGAGTCCCACCCGGTCCCACCCGGTCCCAGCGGTCCCTGGTGACATCCGGCCGCCTCCAGGCTTCAACACCCGATGCATTTCCTGAAACACCTCGCTACGAGGGGCGCCAGGGCCAACCACGGTGGTCCCAGTGACGCTAGGATACGCTAGGTGCATGTCACTTGGTCCGAAAAATGGTGTCCGTTGTCGTGACATGGTGTAACATCACCCAACAAGGTACAAAATAGATCAAAATGGTTCAAATATGTCAAAATCTATGTGCCAAGAATTTTGCCATTCCATCCTGTCATAAGTCATAAGCCACTTTCTTGGATTTGCCGATCCATGCCTGTCATTATTTATACCTCCACTGCGGCCAAATGTTCCTGAAAATTTAATGTGGATATGGATCAACAATTGTCAAAAAATGTCAAAAGTATCAACTTCAAAAAAGGGATGGTTTAAATTGGTTTAATGAATATTTACTATATATTGGTTTAATGAATATTATATATATATAGCCTAAACTTGACCAACCAATTGTGGGTCCATTCATTGGTGCCCCCCGACCTGTGGGTCCCACCTCTTGTGGCTTCACCAGGTAGTCCATGCTCACCACGTTGGTCACAAAGTCAAACTCGCCGTCGCCATAGGGCAGCTTGGGATTCTTGTTCAAATCTGCCACCTGGGAAATTAACGAGGTCAGTTTAGACCTGTTCAACGTTCGTGATACCTTGAGGTCCCCACTGCGTGCTCTGTTGCTTGCTTGTTGGCAGCGAGCTCCTCATGAGCAGTCTGATCAATCTTATATGCAATATATAACTGGCCACCAGGTAATCTATGCTACAATTTCCCATAATTATTCACATTTACAGATGATTCATGATGATTCTGCTTCAATTTCCCACAACATTTCTGGTCGGATTGACACCACGGATTCCCTCAGTAGGGGTCCAAGGGATCTCCTCCTCGACCATCCCGGTGATGGCCACACGCTTGGCCTTGAGATCCTCGGGGTAGTGGCCTGAAGAAACTCAGGCCGGGTCAACTCTCCACTGCCCAAAAAATCACCGGCTTTAAAATGTTTTTGGCCCCCAAACGATCAAAAAAAGTTGGTTTACAACTCCAATAGCTATCAATAACTATGGTTTATGATATTTGTCTGTATATATTTGTAACTTACAACTTACAACTACTGTATAGTTCATGGGGTTTCTACACCAACTTATAACTGAGGGGGGGCCACTTTGTAGCTGCTAATTACCTTTTTGAGCGCAGGGCTGATCCAGGAGCTGCAAATGTCCAGCACGCTGTACTCTCCTTGAGGTGCCTCACCATGGAGCTGTTGCCAAGAGGTGCGAAGGTTCAGCGTCAACCATGTCTTCACCAAACCAACCCCCCTGCAGTTAATTTGTAAGAACAAGGTTACCTTAACCACTTAACGACTTAGGATTGAACAACTAAGATTGATGTGATTGATCCACGATGTCGATCGATGTCGTCCTCCGCTACCTCTGGTCCCACCAGGGTCCCACCATGTCCCCGCCACCTCGGCAAACTGCAGCGCATAGAAGTTGCGGATCGAGTCGATGGCGTCCTTGTCAATGTGGGTGACAAAGCGCGGCCTTGGCCCAGATCCCCGTTGGAGCTGCGAAGGCAAGAAACAACAGTGGTACAGTGGTATCAGCATCAACCATTGGGCGAAACTTGGGCGCACCCCCAAGATCCAGGGTAAATCAGTAAATCATCATATATTATATACAAATTATATCATTTTTTAATCACATTGTAGAGCACACAAAGCCTAAAATGCCCCACGTTCGGACAAATGCCTCAACGAGAGGAGAATGTTGGAGGCCCTTTATGCTTCATCATGCCTATGTTGCGTGGATGCAGCTTCGATTTTGGTGCTGCCCAGTTTGGAGACAACCCCAAACAACGCAAAAATTGCGCAAAAACAAGACAAGCGATGGGAAGCTATGAAGAAAAACGATGAACAACCATGAAGAAAAACGATGAATAACATGAAGAACTATATGAAAAACCAGCACCTTGCCTGACCCAAAACATCAAAACCACCGTGGCCGGGTTGCGCATTGTAGAAACCCTGATCATCGCTCTCATCCTGACGCCTGAAGTCTGCAGCCGTGTAAGGCCTCAGCGACGATGGGGAATTGACCCCCCATCCAACAGAAATTGGGATTTAGCACCATTTGAAATGCATCATGTGTGAATCAAGACTAGGGATGTTTTAACGATCAACATCCATCAGCAAATTGGGATTTAAGTGGCTGATCCCTGCATATTAGTTCATTGATGTTCATGGATTCACTTTTAACAATTGGTTGAAACCCCTGCTATTTCTGTTTGTGTTGCAGTGCTGGACCGCTGGACCTGACTGGAACACTGTAATTTGGGGGCCCGAACAAATCAAGAGATCATGTGAACCAACTCCCCTTTTCCTTCCGCAGGTCTGCGATGGCTGTAGTTCCACCTGATTCAAAATTCGTTGAATCAAGTTATCCAAGATTATCTGTACAGCTTCAGGACCTTGAGAACTCAGCTTTCCCTTCCGCAGGTCTACGATGGATAGTTCCACCTGATTCAAAATTCGTTGAACCAAGTTATCCAAGATTATCTGTACAGTTTCACGATGGATAGTTCCACCTGATTCAAAATTCGTTAAACCAAGTTATCCAAGATTATCTGTACAGTTTCAGGACCTTGAGAATATTCAAGCACTGTCCAGTAGCATGAAAACATGCCTTGCCAACACCAGGCGCCAAACTTTCAATTAGGAAAATGCATGAAAATGCATGACAATGCATGAAAATGCGCCAAACTATATGCAAAGAATCATGCATCGATTGACAGGGCGCTCTGACCTCAAATCGAAAAGGAGTCAGAGTCGTACTCTTTGACTTTGTCATCTTTGACTGTCACTTTGACTTCTTCCACGGCTTCTACGGCAATCGTTGGTGAACTTTTTGGCAATTCACGTCTGAACCACACACATCTGCGATCCAGGAGGCAAAATCCAAGTAGCAACAGGACAGCAAACACCATCAGCGGAAGCCCGCTGTCTGAAGGAGTCCGGGACACTGAAACAAATGTGAGAAGACCGGAGCAAAGCGTTGTGAAAAATACCACAGCGGCCGCGATGATTTGGACTGAGATATGCCAGTTTTGGCTATGGCACCAAACTATCCTGCTTGCCCATAAGTACACCAGCATGCTTGGGAACACCGCTGCCCACTGTAGCAGATCATTGGTCGCAACTAAGCATGACTGCAGTGCCGAAGTTTCCTGCTCCGCGAGTCTCAGGGCCTTTGGGATTCTCAAAATCAACATAGGTGTGTTCATACTGAAGACAACACAAATGAATAGGTCAAGAGGGATCATCCGTGAGCCCCCGCAAGCCTGTAGGATCTGATCCCGGAATTGACGTCTAACAGCTTCATTGAAGCTTTCAAGTCCAGACTGCATATCCTCACCTTTTTTGCCATACCATGAAAGGAAACTCTGGTAGATCAGCGCGCGGTCACATGGCACGGTCTCTCCACTCTGCGTCATATGGCCTTGTGAGCAGCACGAGCACTTGGCTTCTTGGACTTCAAAGCGACCCAGTTTTGTAGTGAGACCCTGCAAATTTCTTGTCATCCGCGTGCCAGCATATTGTTGAAAAGGATAGGTGATGAAGAACAGTGAAAGAAGACATATGGATACCAAGACGATTCTTGGATTTTCGCTTGGCATCGTCGTCTCCATATGCACGTACACCAGAGTGGACAAGAGCCTGACTGCAAACCACCAACCAGAGTGCACCAAAAGCAACAATGGAAGGTCCACAGGGATGGCATGCACTGGCCGCTTTCCACCATGAAGCCGCATGAATGTCGTCAACTCATAGATACACCAAATTCGGTCAATGTATGGCTCAGACCACAAAATCAAGAATTGCCGGGAGCAGGTCAGGAACCCTGCCAATCCAAGAATGCACCTCTCTTTGACTTCCTCATCTTCCTGTGGTATGGTGAACTTGTCCAGAAATGCAAGCCTTGGTCTTCGAAATATGTCCCGAAAGTTTTGCCAAAAGAAGAGGAAGATTACGAAGGTCAGGTAGCCGATGGAAATGGCCCAACGAGGAGGGGGCAGCACTTCATAGTGATAACTCAGGACCCCCCCAGTCACACTCACCAACAGTGTTGCAACCGCTGCAGGCTTGGCATTGAAGAATAAAAGCAAAGATGCATACTTCAGCCAGCGGGCTGTTTTCCAGTCGTGACTAATGAAGGTGTCAAAGAGCAAACACCGTCTCAACTGATTGCGCACTCTGTCATCTGTGGCATCTGCACCTGACGCAGGGACTTTCAGAGATCGTCCTGCTCTAGCTAAAAGGCAACGCAATGGGATGCCTCGGATGAGATCCTCTGGAACATCTTGAGACAAACTTCTTTGTGATGATGCCTTTGCTGAAACTGGCTCCAGGTCGTCGCTATCACACTCATATTCGCAATCTTGATTCCCTCCATTTCCATGGCTGCTGGGCATCATATAATACCACACCTTCACAAAAAGTAGAAGCAAAGTAGCTGCAGCTCAGCGCACCTATATACAACAGGTCTTTGAGCCGCTAATGCTACCTGGTCATAATTGAAGTGCTGAGCAATTGGCCCTCGAAACAAACCCGTTCCTCTTGTGATAATGTCAAGATTCAAGATGATTCAAACCTTTTCAAACGCATGCTGCACCGAATGGCAACCTAAGTCACCAAGTCACCAACCACTTTTCAGGCCACTTGGGTTCTTTCAGCGCTTCACCTTTGAAAACGGCATGACAAAGCAGTGCTCTGGATGATATGGTTGATGATGATGGGTCAATTTCCTGGTGCCTTTCATCAAAACTGGAATTGGATGTTCATGAATTTTATGGTTTAACGTTTTTATGATATTGTTTTATATAGTTCTATGACATATGTTAATGTTGCATCCTGATTAGTAGCTAGCTTCGCTATTGTGCCAAAAAAACTCCAAATTATTCTGAGCCCATGCATTGTTTGGCAGTTTCGCTATTGTGGCAAGAGGTCTTGGGGGGGCAATTGTTTTTGTCCAAAAGGATGTTTGTGTAAAAAAATCTGAACATTTTTTCTGAAAAAATCTTGCTTTTCTCCTTGTCCCAAAAGAATCAGACCGCTTATTAAACCCCTATTAAAGAACAGTTTTCCACAAATTTCCAAGGCACTGGGCCATGAGAGGGCCCAATTCACTTTAATTTAGTATGTTTGTTCTCAGGGTTCACAATTGCAGCAAACTTTTCCAAAGCTGATGCTGGAGGGCTCAGGGATCACTTAGGGCACCGGAAAGTGAATCACTTAAAGCACCGGATCACTTAGAGCACCATGGGATCACTTAGAGCACCAAAAACAAAGTGGATCACTTAGAGCACCAGAGAATCATACCTTTAGGGTAAAACTTGGGGACACTGGGCTGGGACATGGGGTCAGGCACAGCAACCTCATCATCTTTCTTGCTGTCCTGTAGACACAGGCGCTGCACTGCTCTTTCATGATCAGTTACCGGTGGGGTGGGGTGAGGTGGGGTGGGGTAATAACGCTCATGTTCCTGTGCAGACACAGGCACAGCAACCTAATCATCTTTCTTGCTGTCCTGCAGACACAGGCGCTGCACTGCTCTTTCATGATCAGTTACCCATGGGGTGGGTGAGGTAATAACATTCATGTTCCTGTGCACACACAGGCAAGACATTCCTGCTACGTCGTAACATCTTCGTCAAGTGACTTGCAAGACGTTCCTGATACGTTGTAACATCTTCTTGAAGTAACTTGCAAGACGCTCCTGATACGGCGTAACATCTTCGTCAAGTAACTTGCAAGATGCTCCTGATATGTTCTAACATCTTCGTCAAGTCACTTGCAAGACGTTCCTGATACGTAACATCTTCGTTCAAGTAACTTCCAGGACGTTTCTCATACGTTGTCATATCTTCTTCAAGTAACTTGCAAGACGTGCCTGCTACGTTGTAACATCTTCGCCAAGTAACTTGCAAGATGTTCCTGATACGTTGTAACATCTTCTTCAAGTAACTTGCCAGATGTTCCTGATACGTTGGAACATCTTCTTCGAGTAACTTGCAAGACCTTCCTGATACATTGAAAACTCTTCTTCAAGTAACGTGCCAGCTGTTCCTGATACGTTGTAACATCTTCGTCAAGTAACTTGCAAGACATTCCTGATACGTTTCTTTGTCAAGTAATGCCGAAAAGCGGATCGCATCGAATGTTATCGTGTGCTTCAGCGACATATGAATGCATCCGTTTATGTGTCTATATGGCTCTGCGCATATATGAAACTCTAGCGCTATGATGCGCTATGTATCTCTTATGTCACTTTTCGGCGTTCCAAGCGATCCACTTTTTGGCACTCTAAGCGATCCACTTTTCGGCGCTCCAAGCGAACCCCCGACCATCCTGGAGCCAAGAGAAGAAAGGTCGGCCTTTTCCACAAGCAATTGCCAAATTCAAAGTCCAAACCTTTCCCAAAAGAATCAGACCGCTTATTAAACCCTTATTAAAGAACAGTTTTTCCACAAATTTCCAAGGCACTGGGCCATGAGAGGGTCCAATTCACTTTAGTAGGTTTGTTCTCAGGGTTCACAATTCACACTTGCAGCAAACTTTTCCAGAGCTGATCCTGGAGCCAAGAGAGGACAGAAAAGCCTTTTACAAAAGCAACCTGTTCTCTATCTTTCTCTTTCCCTTTCTCTTTTCCTTTCTCTTCCTCTTCCTCTTCCTCTTTCTCTTTCTCTTATTGCATGGTTCATTAAGAAAAAACTTAAGGTGGAAAAAGGAGACGCAATCAACATGCTGAACCCCACTCACTACAAGTACTATAAGTACTACAAGTATTACAAGTACTACAAGTACTACAAGTTCATCGGCAAAAACAAAGATTTCAATATATTTCAATGGTAGCCAATTGAAATCCTTAGTTAAATGTTTTTCTTTTCCTGGGGAACCGCCTTTTTTGCGCACAACTCTAAAGAGGGTATAGCTATTGTTGGTTGAGGGGAAGGGGCCTTACACTAATCAGGACGAAACATTAAAACATTTAACTGGCTTTTGACCCATACCCTAGATCGACACCTAGTCTCATATCGAGCTGTAGCCCCTCCGAGTGCTGGTACTCACCGGGCTGTTGGCGATCGCAAATGGCACCTCCATCAGTGGCTGTCGGTTTCTGAGTGGCGTAACTTGCATCTGGTTTTATACAAAATAACATCTTCCCAAGTCCCTGTTCTCCATTGAAACATGTCTCACATTTCTGCCTCATCAATCCCAATATATTCAAACCCTTCAAAGATTGAGGCAGTTGAGACAAGCTGCAAGGCAAATATGCTGACGACCGAGCCTTCAGCGTCTGGCCGTTCCAGCCAATGAGATCCATGCCCTTCACCACCTCGGGTAAGATCGCTGTCAAGATTGGGTGGCGACAACATAGGATGGTCAATCAGGTATGAGAAATGACATCATGGAACATTCCCTGCAAAATTTGAATGATATTGAATGCCTATGCACTCTTGAGGGGTTGGGGAAAAAGAGGGAGGTGAGGTTTTCGCTTTTGAAGCCAAGCTAAGGTATCACCGACCGGTCAGTGCCATAGCCCTGTGTTGCCCTGTGGCCTCGCGAAAACTCACCAGCTCGATGTCAAAGCTCAAGTCCTCATGGTGGCGAGGTGGCGAGGAGCCACCTGGGCGATCCAAAAATCCCCGATCAAAAAAAAAATGCGTCAGCAAATTTGAGAGCATCCTATCTTTTCTTCCCATTATATTGGCCTGTCTGAAAAGATAGGATGCTCTCAAATTTGATGTTTTAGAACAGGTGCCCAAACGCCAATATGATTTGATATATCTCTTAATCTATTCATATCTATTCATCATTTTTCCTTTAGATGTATATGTATGTAGATGCACAAATCCATCTTTCCCATGAAACCACCATGAACCTCCCCGCTCCTTGCCCGCCAAGGGATGGTTCATGTCCAGCATCGCTGAGCCATCCGAGAGGATCTGCGGCGAGTGCATCAACAGAGTGTTGCGGCAACAGGTGAGATCAACAGCTGACAAAGGGATTGCCAGTGTGACAATCATACCCCTATCAAAAAAATAGATCAATTGTGTGTTTTTGATATACATAGCCATAGCCCATACGACAACTTAAGTGACTACCGTTCATGGTGATGAGCCAATGGGCACTGCTCGGCACACATGCATCATGGTACGCCTCGCCTGCTTCACTTTCCTCAAGTGGCCGCTGCAGACACGTTGCAACATTTTGACCAGTTCTTAAACCCAAAACTATGAAAACTCAGATGCATTATGAGATTGACTGCCTAGGTCTTGTCGTGGCCACCTAGAGGTGGTTCTAACCCGCTATCAAAACAATTCAAGCACTGCAAGGGCTTCCCCAAGCCTCCCTCCAGCTGCTGAGGTCACTGGCCCTGGAATCTTTTGGGAAGGGTCGCCCAACATGATCTGCATCCCTTCCTGCCGTTGCCCGGGTGAAAACCGCTGTTGCTGCTACGGGGATGAGCTGAGCACCTCTAGGCCAGCTGGCACTTGAGCAGCAGGGATGGTCATGATCATTGCCTCGCAGAACTGGAGCTGTTTAAAAATATTTTATGTTGAAAGCACATGGGCGTCTCCCTGCACACTCCATCTCCATTTTTTGGGGTGCTCTATATCTATCTATTATATACTTATATAATCTTATATATATATTTTTATATTTATTTATTTACATATTTCTAGGTCACACGTACAATCACATAATTATCACATATTCATATTACTATATATTTATAATTGATTGGATGGTTTGCAAATTCTTGCCAAAACAGACTCCGAGGCTGCAGCATCAGAACGCTGGCCATACGCATCCTGCCAGGGACGCAGGGGGCAGAGAGCAGCTAATGTCTTCCTCAAGGTTGTCTCCATACGACTAATATAGAACAGTATGGTGAAAACATGTGAAAACAATGAAAATAAATGAAAATAATAACAACAGGCATCATCACCATCACCATCACCATCACCATCAGCAGCAAGTGCCATGCAATTTCAATAGTGGACATGCCATGCCTCAGCAGGGATGGTTACTGTTTTCTTCTCACCAACCTGGTTGGACGTTGGGCAAGGGGGGTGAACTCTCACCCTGCACACTCTGTTTTTCCAAAGGCCATCCGCGTGGAATACTGGTTTTGGATGGTTTTGGATGGTTTGGGGATTTCCTTGCAACATTGATGGGCGCTACTCTACATTCTTTGGACTGACATTCCCACACCAATCAGAAAATAGTTGAGAAAATATGAAAAAATCATAAAAAATCCATGTTAATCACAATCGGCAGTGCATCCCTGCTAAGTCTCCAGCTTTCAAACCTCTCACAGCTTTGTCAAAGCCAGGCACAACCTGTCGCGAAAAAGACGACATCGGTGCTTCACTACAATGACTATCTATCCATGAGTGCACAGCAATATGTCCACAGTGACAGTATGAAATACCTGCATTCAACTTTTCGCCGGGCCACTTTAGATTATTGGATGTTTCCGGCTGGAAAGCAATTGCAGCCATTCCTTGGGCCCTTCAGAAATGGCGAACAAAGAGCCTGTGTCTGGGTTGGAGTCCCCTACGAAATACGAGAACAAATAGCCTTGTCACAGTGATGTTCAAATCTGAAGCAGAAACTCGACCTTGATTGATCGTTGTTGTAGCAATGCAGCATAATGTCATAGCTGTTGACGAGTAAAATGTCAGTAAAGTCTTCAGAAGACCCATCCTTCTACACGCCTTGGGTGACGGGACAAGAGTGCATGATCACGACATTGTCCAGTAGTCTGCCATTCTGCCTGTGACCTTTCCTAATCCTTTTGGGCTGAACAAATTACAGCATGGACACTTCTGTCAAATCCACCGAAGATCATCCATAAAGCCAGAAAATCGCATCCGTTTGCTATGCGCTTCTCTCCTCAAGCGCTGTTCCTCTCGCAGTCGCTTCTTGCTTTGGATTTCCAGGCGCCTGCGCTTCTCTTGGTCTTTCTTCCGCTGAGCCTTCTGCTGTTTCAAGAGTCTACTATGCTTCCTGTCCAGCAAACGGGACTCTCTTGTAAGGATGAGCTCCCATCTCACAAGCAGCTCTTTCAAGCGTTTCAGTGTACACAACTTGCTCGGTGGTTTTCTCCTCGGAAAACGTTTCTTTCGCAAACGATATCGCACTTTCCTTGACTGATGCTTGTGTTGGTCTTCCGTGGCCATATGCTCTAGCTCCCAGGTCTGAAGGTGCCTCTCGCGAACGCTTGCATTTGCCTTGTACGATTGGCGTATCTTGTGCATAAACTTAGCGTTGTCCACTCCTGCAACTTCACATGTGTAGGCTACTGCACGTTGAAGTTGCTCCCAAGCGTCTTGGAGATGGGTGGGACTGTACTGCCAAAGCAAGTTCCTCCTTGAGGCATGCTTGGAGTACTGGCGGAAAGGTTCCAAACATTGACGCATCTTTCTGAGCTGTTCGAAGCTGCGCACTGTGGGGGTCCGCAAAATAAGGCGTCCAAGAAAAAATCCGCAGGCTTGCCAAATGCCAAAACGAATACTTAGGTCGGAAAAATCAATTCCATGATCTTCTGCACATGAAGCCAGGGTTTCCTGCAGGCGTTCCTCAAAACTGATGGCGTCATTTGCATTTGCAGGGTCCCGCATCTTTTGCACCACAAGGGTGAAAACCACCAAGTAGTCAAGAGCCACCGTCAGATCTACATTTGGCGACCACATGCAAACCGTATCAAAACATATGCTTGCCCTGTAGCGAGAGTGGCACTTGATGACGCAACCTTGCAAAGTCGTGCCTTTCGCGTTCAACTTTTTCTTCAGACTCTCCGTTTTGTGCTCAGAATACTGAGCCACAGAATGGGACATTGGCATGGCCGTGGCTGGCACCGGCAAAGCATTGCAACTGTGCTTGTCTGCCAAGCCAATCTGAGCTTGATCCATTGCTGCTTGAGCACGTTCAGTGGCTAAGGCCACTACGGCCTGTGACTCCAATGGGGCTTGTGGCGAGTTTTCCACCATCCATTGCTCAAGGATGAGCCGCTGCTTCTGCGAGAACTCTTTGGTAATCACTTCGTTCCGCACATCTCGAGGTAACTGCTTCAAGAGGTCGTGGATTTTCCTCAGGAGCTTTGCTTTGCGGGACAGTGTTTGAGGTGCTGCTGGAGCTGCTGGATGCTCAAAATCGCTATCCGGCCTAGGCATCCTGCTGAATTTGGCATTCTGCGGCTTGGGACAGCTGGCCTTTGGCGCCGCAGGGCCACGTTTCCGCGTAGTGTTCTTTTTGTCTCCAGAATTTGTCTGCTCGCGTCCTGGTGCAGCCATGTGTTTTCTAGCAGTGATTCCAGAGTCATACTTCCTGCGCGCCTCGGGGTCGGTTAAGATCTCCAGTGCCTGGTAGACCAAGTGGAAGGCCTCCTTGCTGCCACCTTTGTCTGGATGAACCAGCAGCGCGCGCTTTTTGAAAGCCAGCTTGATCTCATCCACTGTAGCATTGCGATCCACCCTCAGCACGTCATAGTAACTGGACGACATTGCGGCCTCCAGCCTACATGTTTCAACATGGGCGCTTGCTTCGCTTGATACCTGCAGTGAAAGAGTCCTCGCACGCGTATGTGTGTATGTGAATGGTCCTTTTTGGGGGGGTGGTTTTGTCATGGCTTTGAGACAGAGTAAGAACTGAACATAATTTAAATTTAATAAATCACGTATGTTTACTATACGACACCACCCTTCGCCGAACTCAAATGCGAAGGCATTTCAAATCACGGTTGCGTTCTTTCTTGTTTTTTTGCGTCTTGTATGCAGCTGCTTGAAAGGGTGTTGGCAGATTTTCCTCATCTTGTCGCAAACATGCGTTGGCTCCAGAATCGCAAACTAAGCAGTAACATGCAGCAACTAGAAAGCATAAATGGAGAGTTGTGCAACGCCGCTTTATGATCTTACGGTGCGGCATGATCATGCTGAATACAATACAAGTCTAAGGTGACTACTTCACACATGCTCCCTGGGCAGAATGTCCAAAAATCACTTGGATCCCAGCCACCGAAAACACTGCCATACGGCCATACTCAGTAATCAATTAATTAGTTGGGGGCCAGTGCAACAAAAACTTTGCAACATGTTTCATAGTTCCAAGTTCCAACTGCTTTTTCAAGATATCTGAGCATGTCCAAACATGGTGCATAGTTGCCGGAGCCATACGGTTATCCATCTCCCTGTGTGCTTACACTGCTACAAATGCCAAAGTGGATTCTTTTGGTATCTTGAAATAAATATCAAGTGTCTCCAGTCTCCAGAGTAGATTGAGAGTGGATCCATCTGCTTATAAAAACGCCTTTTTGCTTCATACTAATATGTGTTTTTCGCTGGTGAGCCCAGAAAGCTCTTGCCGGTTTGAAGCTTGTTCCGATCACTGCGAAGGGCTCTGAAGCAGCAGAAAACTGCATCCTCCAACTGAGCACATGGAGTTCAAAGGTGAAAGTGCGGTGCCATACTGCTCTTCTCAAGAGGCTGGCCGACGGCTCAGTTTCTCACTCCACCTTTCAGACTTGCTGTCGGCCAAGGGACGGCAAACACACCGCCAATCCATCTCTGACTGTTTGACGGCAGAGCAATGTGTCACGTTTGTCCTCAGGCTCTGCAACTTGGAAATCAAGTCTGAAAATGCATAGAACATCTCCATTGGGGACCCTATATCCATCGCAAATCGTCCATGAGACCGGCAGATTTCATTCGTTTGCGATGAGCTTCTCTCCTGAGGCGCTCTTCTTCCCGCAATCGCTTCTGCTTCTGCATCTCCAGCCGTTTGCGCTCCTCTTGGTCCTTCTTGTGTTCTCTCAAGACTCTCCGATGCTCTTTCTCCAGTGACTGCACCTCTCTTTTCAGCAAGCGCTCCCATTTTGCCAGAAGCACTTTCAAAGTAAACAAATGGCCTGATGGATCTTCGTTGGCCATACTTTTCTTATAAGCACTACCTCGCATCTTTCTGGGTTGATGCTGCTGCTTGTCATACATGGCCATTTGCTTCCGCTCCCTGCCTTCACGGCGCCGGCTGCTTCGCTCTTGCAATCGCTTCGGCCGGTACTCGTTCTTGTCCTGCGCGCCCATATGTTGCCGCTCCCAGCGCTGCAAATGCCGCTGCCGCAAACAGCTATTCGCCTCGTAATGCCCACGGAGCGTCTGCATGAACTTGGTGCTGTCAGCTTGGGCAACGGCCCATGCATCAATCAAGGCGTTTTGATGCCTTTCCCAAGCATCTTGAAGATGAGCTGGGGTATACTGCCAGAGCAGACTTTTTGCCCCTAAATTGAGCGAGTATTGGCGGAATGGTTCCAGATGCCTGCGCATCTTCCCAAGCTGCTCAATGCTGTGCACTCTGGGGCTTCGCACTTTCAAGCGTGGGCCAATGAAGAATCGACAGGCTTGAAAAACACAGAAACGGAGGTCCAGGTCACCAACCTTGATTCCATGCTCTCGCGCACATGAATTCAGGGTGTCCTGCAAGCGGTCCTCAAAAGTGACTGTCGTGTCGGTGTTGTCCTGCAGCTTCTGCTTCACAAAGGTCAAAACCACCAGGTAATCCACGGCGGTTTGGAAATCAGTGCTACGCGTGTAGACATGAAGAGCATCAAAACAAATGTCTGCCCTGTACTGGTCACTGTAAAAAGACCGTACAATAGAGCCTTGGCCCCTTCTCATCTTTTTCTTTGACTCTTTCTTTTTGCTCTTGACCTGGCGCTTTACTGACAGCGGGACCATCATTGTGGACTCGACACCTGTGCCAGGCACCAGAGGAATACTCTGATCGTCTCCTTGATGCAAATCTCGCTTCAAACCAGCGGCTTCATGCTCTGGGGCACCCTCAGTTCTGGCCATGGATAAGGGATAGGCTTTCGGAGCTGTTTGTTGCAAGGGATTTTCCACCATCCATTTCTCCAGGATTAGCCGCTGCTTCTGAGAGAACTGCTTCGTAAGCACGTCATTCCGCATGTCTCGAGGAAGCTGTGTCAATATGTCACGGATCTTTAACAACCACTTGGTTTGCTTCGACTGTGCTGCTTCTGGTTCAGTGCGTGCCCTTGACTTGCTGCTGGATGGTGGAGGTTTCTTTGGCCGTGCTTCCATTGGTGCAGCGGGGTGACAACCTTTCCTACGAGTTTTCTTGCGCCTTATGCCGCTCTGCTCAGAGACAAGTCCTTGGTCATACTGCTTGCGAGCTTCTGGGTCAGCCAAGGTCTCGAGTGCCTTGTAGACCAAGTGGAAGGCCTCCTTGCTACCACCTTTGTCGGGATGAACCTGCAAGGCGCGTCTTTTGAAAGACAACTTGATCTCATCCAGCGTGGCATTGCGATCCACCCTCAGCACATCATAGTAACAGGACGACATTGAGGTAGGCAGCCTACCATGTTTCACATGGGCGCTCGCCTCATTTGGTCTATGGCGATTGTGACACGTGTATGACAGAGTGAGTTGGCTTTGATTAAGCCAGTCTTGTTGTCAGCACCATCCGTCACTAAAGACAACTGCGACGCCAGCTTTGGACCCTATTTGATCACATCCTGTTGATGTCTGTTGACCCCTATGCCAGAGTGGCAGTTGTCCCGTGCTCCTGTTCCAATTTGGTCTTTTTTGAGTTGCAAAAAACAAGCTTGAACCGCATTTGGGATATCAAGCATCACATTCAGGCATCATTCAGGCATATCACATCTTGCTTGCAAAAAAACGCTGGCAACATTGCTGGCAGCCCAATCTGGAATGGAATTGAATGGATCGAATGGAATGCTTTTGGCTTTTGCAATGCCACCAGCAGACTACCAAAATTTACCAAATACAAGGCAACTGCATGCAGCTGCCAATCCAGACCTGGCCAGTGCCCACAGTAAAGCACAATGGTTCTTTTCCTGGCAATCTGAGGGACGAAGTTTCTGAAGGAGGCATCAGCACATTGTGAATGAATGTCAATGAATAATTGGTGTTGTGGATTGGGACCGCCCTTTGAGATAACACATCAAAATCGAATCATCAAAATCAAAACAAATCAAAGTGTGTAAAATCAAGTGTTCAAGTAACAAGGCCCCAGGACATGGGTGACAATTGCCCACCGTTTGAAAACCAGAAAATTGTGGGGAAATGTTTTCCTGTACCTTACCAAACGAGGTCATAGGATCGGCGACACGTTAGCCCGACTCCAATAACGTCCTGAACCAACTGCACCCACCAGTCAAAGTATCAAAATGCGAATAATTGCGGCACAGGAATTATATAGAATGATTGTGGTATGCATTCTCTACTCTACTCTCGCAAGATGCCCGCCCTCACACCAGCATAGGCCACCCAATGATTGCCTTTCCGGCTGTCGAAGACTGTGCCATCCTTGGCCGTTTTGCAGAACAAAAAGCTATGGGACTTGGAACCCACAGCAAGAATTCCGAAAACATTCCTGTTCCGAGGGTTTGTGCAAGCAAATACGACATCCCAGGACATGAACTTGCAGAAAGGGAAGGAATCGAAAGGGCTGCCCCCGCTGTTAAAATGCATGAGCAAAGCAGCGGCCTTTTTCATTCTTTCTCAATCCCCTCTGCTGCTTGATGTTTGAACTGACAGACCGGCCAGGTCGTGGCTTAAGTCTGAACCCCCAAACTCTTCAACCCCATAAACCCTGCCATCATCGCATATCATCATGCACCACCACCTCGGGCTTGATCTGGTGGATCAGCTCGGCAATGCAACCTGGAGGAGGTTGGCACAGGTTGTTATGGGTGCCGGCATCAAGAGTTGATTGAAGATGATTGAAGATTGTAAGAGACCAACAACACCATGGTTTTGGGGATCTCAAACCAATCCTACCCAAGTAGCCTCATTGGATGCGTTGACTTTTGTATTTGAACTGCAAAAACGGCCGAGTAGACTGCCTCTTCCAACAACAGGACGATGCTCAAGACAATTTGATTCTGTTGGGAACCCTTGTTCTGTCGCATACATCTCATTTGATTAACTATAGACCTAATTAGAGATGTTATATGACAGGGAAGGGAAAAGTAATGAAAAAAAACAGGTTGAAGAAAAAGTCGAGCAACTGGTGCATGTGCTCTTCCACGGTCTCGCGAGTCACGAAGCGCCAGACGTGAACCTCTGCACGTTCCTGGCCAACCCGCCGAACACGAGCCAAAGCCTGGCGCTCGTAGGCCACTGCAGAGCTCAGGGTATCGGCATTCATCGGATGGACTAAGATCACGTGATTGGCAGCCGTAAGGTTGGAACCAGAAGCCGCGTGCTCCAGGGACAGCAACAGAACAAAGGCCTCCTGATCATCAAAGTTGGGCACGGGTTCCAAACATTGTATATATATATATATAGGTATCTTTCTTTGTCAGATGTTTGTGGGTGTCTGTTGGCGCTTTCAACCAAAGAGAGGATCCTGCAAGCCATCTAGAGTGTGACATACGGTCTATGATCTTTACATATCTTTACATACTTTTACATAATTGCAAAATACCCCACAATATGTTACAACTTACAACTTTACATATTAATCATATTATTTACCTTCAGATGCCCTTGCAGCCCCTATACCGATTTCTAATGATTTCTACTTCCCCCTGCGCCTCAGAGGTCGTGAACGATTTCATCACTGTGGCCATCTCTCTGCCGGCATTCTTCCCCCGTGGCAATTGAAGGACTGGAAGCCCATGGCCCTGGAGTGCTCGTGCCACCTGCCAAAAGACTTATTGGACTCTTGTTGAAATATAGTTAGATGGTGAAAAAGTGAAAACGGTGATGCATTGGGAGCTGCAGTTTGGCAAAAAAAATGTTTAAGCAGCGACCTTTCAGCCTAAAATTGCTCTTGTATACTCTTGTGCTCATGACGCCTATGGGCGCCAAGATGAAAACTCCAAAAACAAGAGAAGCAAACACCAACCCTCCTCCCATGTCCCATGTCTCACAAGCCTTCCCATCAACCCCACTCTCCAATGAGTGCATTCCAATATATATATATATATAAAAAACATATATATATATAATATATAATTATATATTTATAATTTATAATTTATATTCATTTTATATATAATACTATATAATGATTTAACAATTATATTTTTAAAAACCAACTCTAGAATATTCTATAGTATATTGTTATGTGTGTGTAAAAATCGATCTATCTAAACTATGTTTTTTTAATCTTTTATGAGCATTCTAAGGATGCTCAATTTTTTCCCTATGGTATCTGAGCACAAGGGTAGCATCCCATCCCAGCCGCAACGGCTGGGAACGCCTTGTTCTCGAGCTCCTGCCACTGCACGAAGACGATGGCCTTCGCCTTGGGATCCTCGGTGCGGATCTTCTGCAGGCGCCGAGCCACCGCCAGCAGCTTGGAGCCGTGTGACCGCAGCTCCGCCGGCAGCGGCTCGGCCGCGGAGGTGGCCACTTCCACCTGGCACGGGCTTAGCGGCAGGCACATGGAGGTCCATGGGAACTCCCCGAGGTTAGAGTTTACATTGGTTTGCGGCATTTCAATCCAAAAGAACAAAGAATGGATCTGAGCAGAAAGAAGATGTGAGAAGATTCCATCCTGGTCTGTTCTGTTCTGTTCATTTTGGGCGGGAGGCGTTCATTGGGTTGTTCCTCGGGGTTCCATGGTTTGTTCACACAATCTTGTGGATTGTTTTGTGCCATTGTCATGCGGTCGCTATCCAAAACACAGCTGACCAAGCTCGCCTCAAGTAAAACCGATGACATGGATTTCTTGGGCGCGTGAGCGCGGCAGTATGGGCACTTCGGGTTTGTCTCCAATGCCGAGCGAACGCAATCCCGGTGGAAGATGTGTGAGCACGGCAGCATCACCAAAGCTGCAAGGTCATCCTTTGGCGTCAAGCACACCGAGCATTGCTCATTGCGCAGGCTCTCTATGTCTGAGAGGCTGCGCATTTGCCCGGTATAGAAATCCAGGCTTCGGTGGGCTGTGTCTAGAAGATTTGCTAACACTTGGAAGCCAGCCGACATGGCCACCGGCAAATGCTGAGGATCGCGGCAGGGAATCTGAGCACACACCTGCCTTGGATACCGATGATATTTGAGAAAGGCTTGATGTTCATTGATTTTCCATGGGTTGGCTCTTTAGGCCCGGCTTTGGGATCAAGTTGTTGCAAACCAAAAATATGTTGTAAGATGTTCCAAGTGATTGATATGTTTTCCATCTGTTCGAAAAAATTCGATGCATATGTCGCAAAGGAAAGCAGAAAGGTCTTGGCTTGAAAATGGCCAGGCTTCAATTGCGATAGGAGCCGCTCAGCACGCGGCTCACTGTGCACACACTTGCGAGCCACCGCATGCTGAACCAAATGTCGAAAATTCAAACGCGGGTAGACATGTGCATCTCGAAATGGCTGCTTGAAACGAACCTCAGGCCGAAGGCGGCGTTCTCCGTTTTGGTCGTAGAGGACAATCTGCATCTCGAAGCTTTTCTTCTCTGGATCTTTCTCTTTCCAAACCTGTTCACTGGTCTGGTACACTTCGTGAATGAATTTCTCGGCCTCTGCATGCTGTGCTTTGTGTGCCAAAAGGCCATGCTTGCAGCTTTCCCAAACTGAAAGGTGTGCCGCTCTGCACGCTTCCAGCTCCAGTTGCTGCTGCAGCTGTTCGATGTGTGCACGTTTACGACGTCCCAGAAAACGCACAGCTTCGCCTGCATCCCCCGCGTCCATTTCCAAACAAAAGTGGGCACATCGTTTCAGTAGAGCCTCACGGGTATCAACACTCGCACCCTCATAGGCCAGCTGCTCAACGAACATCTCGTGATCATGGCAAGCTTGTCGATAGATGAGCCGTTCTTGAGCAGTGAACTGCACGAACTCCTCGTGTTCTTGCACTGCGATGGCCTGCAACAGACCAACCCTCACAGCACATCTTCCAAATTGATCTGAATGGAGTTGAGTATCCCGGATCCCAAACCCAAACTGAATTCATAAGCAAGATGTTCAAACAGCTAGCCAACAAAGCACAACCCCGGTTTCCACGCAACACAGTGCAGGGACTGGAGATGACTGGAGAGGACTGCAGGCCCCTTGCAAGGGCTTTGCAGCATTTTGCAACAACCTGCACTACTAAACCAGCTAATAATCAGCGCACTCCCCGGGTGAACCATCAATCAATAGCGGTTTGGGTGACGCAATCAAACTCTACACAGCAACCGGGTTCCTCCACCAACTGGGAGCTGTTTTGCCGCACCACATCTCGGATCATCGCTTGACATTCGCCCTCGGCTCTTCAATGCTCTTGAGGAGAAAAAAAAACTGGCATGCAGGCATGCAGATCATGCAGTAGCTTTGAAGCAATCAACCCTGCCCCCCGATTGAAATCAAGAAAACATACAGGACACAAATTCGGAGCTATTTCAGGCAAAGCTTCGTGTATCTTCTGCTTGTTCTCCTCATCTGCCAGCCATGTTTTGGAATCTTGCTTTCGGGATTTCCTGTGCTTCAACGCTTCACTCATGAAGGGTGCAGTAGCATCTGTGGCATACCACAACAACTCCGCCACTTCCAGGACGGCATCTGTGGTATCCAACGGTGGAGTTCCAGAGAGACCCCAGCGGTACGTGGCCCCCAGAGATTTCATCACTTCTCGCACACGGGTGATCCAGGACTCTGACTCATGGAACTCATCCAGCACCATCCTGCGGGATTTCTGTTTCGGCACAGGTTTTGGTTAACAGGCCGCCATGGCCCCAACATTCCAATCTCCATCTCCTCAAATGGATCGGCAATGTGATCTTAGATCATTCCGGTGCTCGATATGCACTGACATACGAAAATCGAAATAATAGTGATATTATGACGTCTCCCACTCGAACCCAGCCCTGCTCCCCGAACCTAATCCCAAACCACCCTAGCACATGACTTGGCCCCTGAAACCTTTCCCTGTGTAGGCTTCAAACAAAGGATTTGCAAACGACCGCGGCATCCTGTTCCACCACATGGTCTCCAACAAGGTAGGGCTGGTGGCCAAAGCAGCCCGCAGAAAGCTATCCTTCTGATGCCATTTGTCAACGCATTCGTGCAGCATTTTCTGCCGAACACTCATCGGTTTGCCGTCACAAAGCATGGACTGACTCTTTTCGCCATGCCAGCTGCAGACAACCTGACTGACATGCATCATGTGACGCTCTGAACCCAGAATGCCGGTCGAAACCAAGACAACATTGAAAGGCTCAGGCGGAAGCAAATCCTTGAGCCTTAAACGGGCAAAATCCTTGCTGTTCGCAATGGTCAGAATGCGAAAAGGACCATCGCCTCGGAAAGGTTCGATTCGAGGCTTCTTCTCCCTCCTCACGGTGACTTGGACAGTGCATCCTGGGCGGCAATTTTCATCGAGAAAGTGTTGGAAATTCCAAGTGGCGGTTCGCGTGCTTGATGCCCGCCTTTCTCCACCGGAGTCCTGACGGGGTGGCAGGACGCCTAGCATGTGCAGAGTCTGCATCCAAGTTATGGAAACGGCGAGACAAGAAAGAAACATTTGGAAAACCACCATGCTTCCTCTGTAACGAAAAAATACCCTGGCGGAAGCTGAACCAGCAGGCTCTCGATGTTGTCACCCTCTTGCAAACGTTTCTCGGGCGTGAGCCGTGCATTGTGGTGATGCACTTCCTCGCTGAGCTCCGAAAGATCTCGAACATCTACTGTGAACAGCTGGGAGCCAGTGAAAGGGATGGGCGGAAGTGCCTCGGTTCTTGGCTTCAAACAAGTCCCGTCTTCAATGAGCGCAAGTTGCTTGGCAGCTTTCAGGACACAACCATTTCATGCTATTTCCCTCTGGGATAATAGATGACAATAGTATCTTGAATATCTTGAATGACTGGCTGTCAAGCTGCCAAGGTCTCCCTGTCCTTTGCTTTGGACGGCGGCGTCGGGCGAAGCAGCTGCACTTCGTCACCCAGAAATTTGAAGAACTCACCTTCCCACTGCTCCACCAAGTGAGGGGGACACAGGATCAATGTTGCTGGATTCCTGACAGGCGTTGAAATTCTGAAAGGGATGGTGAAATGGATGGTGAAAGATCCCTTCAAACACTCACCTTGATCAATTCACAGAGTCATTCGCAACAATCTGCAATTGAATGATGTTTGAACATGTTTCGAGTATACAATGTTGCATACCGCCCCCCCCGGTCCTAATGTACCCACTTGGCCGCTCATCTGGCACTTGGCCCGGCTTCTCAGATAGCATCCCAATGGTGGTGGCTGTTTTGCCATAGCCCATCTTATCTGCCAACATGCCGCCCTTGAAGCCGTCTCTGCAAGCCTCTCGTGAATACATCCATGCCAGGGATCTCAGCTGCTCTTCTCTAAGAGGATGGACCTTGAAGGCCTTGGGGTTTGGAGCCACTGACCCCGCATTGGCTTCAAGTTGATAGCCACCCTCCTGGCGTAGCTCGTTGCACCGACGGCGCTTGGCGGCTGGAAGGGCAAAGACCTCCGGTTGATCGACCTGCAGATGGTTTTTGAGGTCAAAACATGTCAAAACTTTGGGGCCTCGAGGCATTGAATTTCATACCCAACATATCCCAAACTGCCTGGACAAGACATTCCCGCATCTTTCTTGGTTCCTTCACGAAATTCTGTCAGACCCAACTTGACAACTTCATGCAGGTTCGGAAACGATGATGCCATGTGATGCCAACGTTTGAAAGCACTTTTTAATTCAACTCCATCGCCTGGCTCGAAGCTGCTGCATCCACCACCTCCGCAGGACCATCTGCCAAAGCTGCCACAGGTGCCTCAGGCGGCGCCTCTGCTGCCACATCCTGGACAAAGCAATCCTGCACGTCCTGGTCCTCTTTGGATCTCTTTGGTATCATTTGCAAATCAAATTGTCCATCAGACTGAATCAAACTGGTAGACCCAACTTGGCAACTTCACCCAGGTTCGGAAACTGGGAAGCCAATGTTTGAAGGCTGCGAAAACATGTTCACTGACTATGCCTATGTGACTACATTGCCTGGCTCGAAGCTGCTGCATCTGCCACCTCCGCCGGACCATCTGCCACAGCCGCCACTGCCGCCACAGCCACAGCCGCCACAGGCGTGACAGGTGCCACAGGCGCTGCTATGGGCGCCACAGGCGCTGTGCCCGGGTCGCAGCCGATGAGCTCTTCCAGTTTGCTGGTGCGTTGGAGCAGCGGCCCAGCAGCTGCTGATCCCAAGCAGCAAACCTCCAGGTGCACCACTCGAGCCACCAATGCCCCGGTGGCTGAGGAGCCAATGACCTCTTCAAGTCGTGCCACACGGTCAGGCAAGGTGGCCATAGCTACTGATGTTGCGATGCAAAACAGTGCGAGAAAAGAAAATATTCACCTAAACATGGCAAAGGATGCTTAGCCCACCTTGCCATTGCAATCATCATACTTTTTGACTGCGCCAGTTATTATGCTTGCGGCTCCCTCTTATTTCCATCCATTTCCAGAGTATCTTGTCTTTCTTTTTTCCTGTGTCTTTAATGATCAGTTGTGTCATAACATTTGCAACATCGCTTGTGCGGTCCATCATGTCTGTTAAAGCTGGGAGGAGCAGCAGCGGCACCAGGAATGGCTTGGAAACGTTGTGCTTCCCACAGCATCAGAACAGAACGGGGATCAGATAGAGTCAGCTTAACAACGTCACCCCCTGCAGCAGCAGAAACAAAAGCAGCATGTCTTTTTCGTTCTTGAACCCCTTCTATTGCTAGAAATCCCCTTCTGCTGCCAGATGTTTGGGTTGCGAACCCATGGGCCAAATCTAGAATTAAGGCCAACTATAGGCTATCGGTCCTACAGCTCAAGTCTGAACCCCCAGACTCTTCAACCCCTAAAATCTCATCATCACGCACCACCAGCTCGAGCTTGATCTGGTGGATTTGCTCGGCAATGCAACCTGCAAGCAGCCGTGTTGGCACGTGTCAGCATGGATGCTGACATCATCCTTGCCATTCCCCAAGCAGCCCGAACAAGAAAAATTGTCAAGATTTTGTCAAGATCTGGTCAACAGAGATCTCTTTATGCAGGATCTTCGGGATCCTCAAAGTTTTACAAGGATTTCTTAGGGGAAGCGAGTACTGGAGACCCAAGGGCGTTGGCACGATCATCGCAAGAAGAATCCTGATGCGAACTGCCTGCGACATATAATATATATATAGAGTAACAAACAAAAACTTTCAGAATAAGAATGAATAAACAATTTAAGAATGACAAACATGCAAAATTGTCCCCAGGCAGGGAGGACATTCACCAAGACGATTTCAATGCCAAGGTGATTCCGTGCTGGCAAACGATGTGTGCAGTACACATTGACTCCATGTTTGAACAAAAATTGGTAATCCACATTGAAGAAGAAGTCGAGAAACTGGTGCATGTGCTCTTCCACGGTCTCACGAGTCACGAAGCGCCACACGTGAACCTCTGCACGTTCCTGGCCAACCCGCCGAACACGAGCCAAAGCCTGGCGCTCGTAGGCCACTGCAGAGCTCAGGGTATCGGCATTCATCGGATGGACGAAGATCACGTGATTGGCAGCCGTCAGGTTGGAACCAGAAGCCGCGTGCTCCAGGGACAGCAACAAGACAAAGGCCTCCTTGTCGCACACTTTGCGCAAGGGTTCTAAACAACGTGCCGGGTATATGTTTGGTTTTTGATCTGTGGGTGCCTGTGGGTGCCTGTAAATGCCTGTGGGATCCTGCGGGGCATTCAACCTACACGTGAATTTGCGAGATTGCTACTTTGGGCCAGAAGCCTTCAAACAACCAAGCCATCTATGCAACCTGTCTGGTCTTGGGCCAAGCATTGATCTTGGTCTGCAATTTTTGAAGATGCCTGTGAGCGCTTTCAACCAAAGACCCCCATGGACAAGAGGCATACCGATTTCTCACACGCTCCTCAGAGGTCGTGAATGACTTCATCACTGCGGCCATCTCTCTGCCGGCATTCTTCCCCCGTGGCAATTGAAGGACTGGAAGCCCATGGCCCTGGAGTGCTCGCGCCACCTGCCAAACTCAAACTCAACCGACTGGCATCAAACTAAAACAAAAACGGTTAACGGTTAATGATGGTGCTTGTGGACACCATCCTCATTCTCTAACGATTCTATAAATTCAAAGTATTTCAAATCTATATGGCGCATTCATGCGCATTCTAAGGATGATTAAAGAGGATCAAGTTCTTCCCAAGGGTATCCCAGCAGGTGGCATCCCAGCTCATCCCAACCGCAACGGCTGGGAAGGCCTTGTTCTCGAGCTCCTGCCACTGCACGAAGACGATGGCCTTCGCCTTGGGATCCTCGGCGCGGATCTTCTGCAGGCGCCGAGCCACCGCCAGCAGCTTGGAGCCGTGCGACCGCAGCTCCGCCGGCAGCGGCTCAGCCGCGGAGGTGGCCACTTCCACCTGGCACGGGCTTAGTGGCAGCTCCATGCGGCAAGTCCCCGAGGTCAGAGTTTTTCGAACATTAAAATTCACCTAAAAGATCCGATAAAAAAGAATCTGCAAGGAAACTTCTGACGTCATGCCTTGTCTCTCTCTCTCTCTCTCTTTAATTTTGAATGACTTTTTGGCTGGACCAAGATATGAAATATATCAAAAGAACCCACAAGATTTACAAGATGAATAGGCAAAGGTCCCCACATGTCCCCACACAGTTCAGAGTCCACAGTCTGATTTTATTGGCGGGGCAGCGTTCCCGATTAGATTGTCCTGACTGAGACATAGCTGCAGCTGGCCAAGCTCGCCTCAAGCAAAACCGATGACATGGATTTCTTGGGCGCATGAGCGCGGCAATATGGGCACGTCGGGTTTGTTTCCAGCGCTGAGCGAACGCAATCCCGGTGGAAGATGTGTGAGCACGGCAGCATCACCAAAGCTGCAAGGTCATCCTTAGGCGTCAAGCACACCGAGCATTGCTCATTGCGCAGGCTCTCTATGTCTGAGAGGCTGCGCATTTGCCCGGTATAGAAATCCAGGCTTCGGTGGGCTGTGTCTAGAAGATTTGCTAACACTTGGAAGCCAGCCGACATGGCCACCGGCAAATGCTGAGGATCGCGGCAAGGCATCTGAGCACACACCTGCCTTGGATACCGGTGATATTTGAGAAAGGCTTGATGTTCATTGAGTTTCCATGGGTTGGGTCTTTAGGCCCGGTTTTAGGAGCAAATTCTTTAAAGTCAAAACAAGCGTGAGGCTTTGAGATTCTCTGAATTCCAAGCCATGCTTTTGTTTTTCATTGTTCTTCCATACGTTGCCAAAGAAAGCAGAAAGGTCTCGGCTTGAAAATGGCCAGGCTTCAATTGCGATAGCAGCCGCTCAGCATGCGGCTCACGGTGCACACACTTGCGAGCCACCGCATGCTGAACCACATGTCGAAAATTCAAACGCGGGTAGACATGTGCATCTCGAAATGGCTGCTTGAAACGAACCTCAGGCCGAAGGCGGCGTTCTCCGTTTTGGTCGTAGAGGTCAATCTGCATCTCGAAGCATTTCTTCTCTGGATCTTTCTCTTTCCAAACCTGTTCACTGGTCCGGTACACTTCGTGAATGAATTTCTCAGCCTCTGCATGTTGCGCTTTGTCTGCCAAAAGGCCGTGCTTGGCGGTTTCCCAAACGGATAGGTGCGCTGCCCTCGACGCTTCCAGCTCCAGTTGCTGTTGCAGCTGTTCGATGTGTGCACGTTTACGACGTCCCAGAAAAAGCACAGCTTCGCCTGCATCCCCTGCGTCCGTCTCCAGGCAAAAGTGGGCACATCGTTTCAGCAGAGCCTCACGGGTCTTGACACTTGCACCCTCATAGGCCAGCTGCTCATCGAACATGTCGTGATCGTGGCAAGCTTGTTGATAGATGAGCCGCTCTTGCGCAGTGAACTGCACAAACTCCTCATGCTCTTGCACGCGGATGGCCTGCAACAGAGCAACCCGCCGGCCTGTCCCAAACCAATATTGATTTTACGGCCAACATGTTCAAACAGCCGGCACACCAAGGACGGCCCCGGCTGCCACGCAACATGCTACATGGACTGGATGATACTGGATGCAAGCCCTGAGGATTTTGAAACAACTCGCGCTATATACTAATTTACACGAGCCAGTTGGCAATCAGCACAGTTCCAGGGAGCACCATCAATCAACAGCGGTTTGGGAACATGTTTGGTGGCGCAACCACTCAACTCTACACAGCAACCGGTTCCTCAACCAACTGGGAGCTGTTTTGCCGCACCACGTCACGGATCATCGCTTGACATTCGTCCTCAGCTCTTCGATGTTCTTCAGGAGGAAGGGGAAAACAGCTAGCATTCAGAAGCTACGAACCCGGTCCCCGTTCGAAATCAAGAATACGCACGTGAAACAGGAACTATTTCAGCAAAGCTTCGCGTACCTTCCGCTTGTTCTCTGTTTTTGCCAGCCAAGTCTTTGCCGATTGTTTCTGGGATTTCCTATGCTTCAACGCTTCACTCATGAAGGGCGCGGTCGCATCTGTGGCATACCACAACAACTCGGCCACTTCCAGGACTGCATCTGTGGTATCCAACGGTGGAGTTCCCGAGAGACCCCAGCGGTGCGTGGCTCCCAGGGATTTCATCACGTCCCGAACCCGGTTGGCCCAGGACTCCGACTCATGGAACTCATCCAGCACCATCCTGCAAGCTGGATTTTCAGCTGCATGGGCGCATGCATTGTAATTCATGAAATGGCGGTGAAATGAAATATGCATCCCCTGATAGCACACGCACGTTTATTAACAATGTTCAACCCTCATGAGGCGAGGCATACGGCATACGCATTTAGAGCCTCCAAAGAGATTGAATGTTTGCAACGACACGAGGTCACCATGCTAGTTTTTAGATCACTGCACATGAATGGAGTGATTATGAATGCTGTCCACACAACAGCAGCGTGTGAAGCATTGTGCTCCAGTTTGCTGTGAGCTGTGCGGGGGAGACAAATTCAACTCTTCCCCGTGGGAGTTCCCCCGCTTCACTGCAAGTTCCCTACACATAGCTCTGCACATGCTTGCGTGTAATTAAGCGTGCTTTTATTTGGGGGGATTGGTTGTGAACAGTTGCCGCTCAGTCATGAGAAGGATCCATGGCAACGCCCCTGCAGCTGAGGACGGTACCTGAGTATGAAACCACAAAAACGATGTTCGATGATAAGCACCGCAACTGATGAGCAGTGTTACAACGAACTGCATGCAATGACGAGCTTATATTATATTATATTACTGATGCCTGATACGTGGTATAGACTCTTATATGCGTGGGCCACTGGGATCGCTCGGTATATATCTTTAATATTCTTTAATTGTATCTCTTTAGTACATGCTTTCCCTGTGCAGTTTTGGACTTCAAACAATGTGATTTGAAAACAACACCCCGGCATATCCCGGCATCCTGTTCCACCACATCGTCTCCAACAAGGCAGGGCTCGACCGCAGAGCAGCCGCCAGAAAGCCATCCTTCTGATGCCATTTGTCAATGCATTCACGGAGCATTTTCTGTCGAGCACCCATGGATTTTCCAAGACAAAGCTGCCCCTCTTCACGAAGCCAATTGTTCAAGGTCTCGGTGAGACGTTCATGGTGATAGTTTGCGCCAAGGATGCTGGTCGAAACCAGGACAACGTTGAAGGGCTCAGGCAAGAGCAAATCTTTGAGCTTCAAGCGCCCGAAATCGGTGTTGTTCGCAATGGTCAGAATACGAAAAGACCCCTCACCTCGGAAACGCTTGATGCGAGGCTTCGTCTCTCTCACCACGATGACTTCCACAGTGCATCCTTGCCGGCATTTCTGATCAAGAAAGTGTTGGAAATCGTAAGCTTTATCAGCGAAAGCCGTTCTCGATGTAGTCCTGATTCCACAAAGCTCCTGGTAGAGTACTGAGTACTGCAACACATCCCACAGGTATTGAAAATGCCTTTATGAACAAGTGCCTTTATGAACAAGGGTAACTTGAATGAAAAAGAAATCTTGCGAAAAAATGCTACCACGACCACCACCACCATCCACCACCCAATCTCCGTCACGAAGACTTGCCCTGGCGGAAGCTCAACTTTCAGAGATTCGATGTAGTCACCCTCTTGCAATTGCTTCTCCGGTGTGAGCCTGAGCCCAGCATTGTGACGACGCATTTCCTGGCTGAGCCCCGAAACCGCTTGACCATGCACGGTGAACAGCTGGGAGCCCGTAAAACGGATGGGCGGAAGTACCTCAGTGTTCGGCTCAGACAAAAGTGTTGTTTTTTCGGTTGTCTAGAGAGCGACAGTGAGTTGGAAGAGCGTGTGAATTTCCATGAGTTTCCCTTTGAACCATAATGACTCGCAATAATGACTTGCATGAAAGGTTGTCAAGCTGCCAACCGCTTCTTCTGTTTTGCCGGCAGTAAAAACGGGCGAAACAGCTGCACCTCGTCACCCAGAAACTTGAAGAATTCGTCTTCCCACTGCTCGACCAAGTGAGGGGGACACAGGATCAATGTTGCTGGATTCCTGACACGCGTTGAAATTCTGAAAGGGATGGTGAAATGGATGGTGAAAGATCCCTTCAAACACTCATCTTGATCAATTCACAGAATCATTCGCAACAATCTGCAATTGAATGATGTTTGAACATGTTTCGAGTATACAATATACAAGGTTGCATACCGCCCCCCCTGTCCTAATGTACCCACTTGGCCGCTCATCTGGCACTTGGCCCGGCTTCTCAGATAGCATCCCAATGGTGGTGGCTGTTTTGCCATAGCCCATCTTATCTGCCAACATGCCGCCCTTGAAGCCGTCTCTGCAAGCCTCTCGTGAATACATCCATGCCAGGGATCTCAGCTGCTCTTCTCTGAGAGGATGGACCTTGAAGGCCTTGGGGTTTGGAGCCACTGACCCCGCATTGGCTTCAAGTTGATAGCCACCCTCCTGGCGTAGCTCGTTGCACCGGCGGCGTTTGGCGGCTGGAAGGGCAAAGACCTCGGGTTGATCCACCTGCACATGGTTTTCTAAACACACCCCAAGCTCTTGGACAAAACAGTCCTGTACATCCTGCTTGGTTCCGCTTCCCAAAGATATCTGTTGCACCCAATTTGACAACTTTGCAAGTTTGAAAAGTGTTAGCCAATTTTCGAAGGCTGCAAGAACATGCTATATAAACAAATCTGAACAATTACAAGCGCCCAAGGATGCGACTCCGTGGCCTGTGTTGAAGCTGCCGCATCAGCCACCTCATCAGCCTCCGGTGCAGGCGCTGCATCCACCGCAACGGCAGCCCCGTCCCCTGCGGTGCAGCCGGTGGCCTCTTCCAACTTGTCGAGGCGCTGCGGCAACGGCCCGGCAGCCGCGGATCCCAAGCAGCAAACCTCCAGGTGCTGCACTCGAGTCACCAATGCCCCAGTGGCGACCGAGCCCAGGACAACCTCTTCGAGTTTAACCACTCGTTTAGGCAATGTGGCCATGGCTACACAGGCTGGATGCACAACAGTGCCGATAAATCTAATAAAGTTACCGAATAAAATATAGTTAGCAAAGGATGCACATTCCACATTGCGACTGCAATTGTGGTAGTTGCAACTCCCTATTTCTAGAATTCTTTGGTAATTACTGGTAAGTCTGGTCTTCCATTTGTATCCATTTGTATTATCTTGGGTGATCAGTTGTGCCATGACATCACAAATTCGCACGTGGAGTCCGTCATGCCTGTCAAAGCTGAGAGGAAGAGCGGCAGCCGCACGAGAACGGCTTAGAAACATGTCTTCCGACAGCCAAAAAAAAGAACGGATATCCGAAAGAGTCAATTTCGCTCGGGCATGTGACAACAACGTACAGCTTCACCTGTGCAGAAGCAGAAGCGAAAGGAGCAGCTCTTTTTCGTTCTTGAACCCCTTCTGCTGCTAGAAATCCCCTTCTGCAGCTACATGTTTGGGTTGGAAGCCCATGGATCAAATCCAGAAGACCAACTATAGGTCCTACAGCTCAAGTCTGCACCCCCAGACTCCTGACTCTTCAACTCGTAAGAATCCTAGAACCCCATCATCACGCACCACCAGCTCGAGCTTGATCTGGTGGATTCGCTCGGCAATGCAACCTGCAAGCAGCCGTGCTGGCACGTGTCAGCATGGATGCTAGCATCATCCTTGCCCTTCCCCAAGCCGCCCTCACAATAAAATTGGTCAAGATTATGTCAAGATCAACCAGAAAATCTCTTCATTTCAGGATTTTCCGGGTCCCCAAGTGACCCAAGTGTTGCAGAGATTTCTTGAGGGAAATGGGTACTGGAGACCCAAGGGTGTTGGCACCACCAATATATGACCATGGCAAGAAGAATCCTGATGCGAACTGCCTGCAACATGTTAATAAACAAACACATACAAAAACTTTCAGAATAAGAATAAACAAGTTTCAAGCATGCGAAATTGTCTCCAAACTACCACAGAGGACATTCACCAAAACGATTTCAATGCCAAGATGATTCCGTGCTGGCAAGCGAATGTTTACAGTACAAACTGACTCCATACTGACTCCATGTATAAACAAAAAACTGGAATCCACATCGATGTGTGCACATTGATTCCATGATATTCATTGACATTCCAGGTATAAGCGACATATTGGGAATGCACTTCGATGGAAAGGTCGAGAGACTGGTGCATGTGCTCTTCCACGGTCTCGCGAGTCACGAAGCGCCAGACGTGAACCTCTGCACGTTCCTGGCCAACCCGCCGAACACGAGCCAAAGCCTGGCGCTCGTAGGCCACTGCAGAGCTCAAGGTATCGGCATTCATCGGATGGACGAAGATCACATGATTGGCAGCCGTCAGGTTGGAACCAGAAGCCGCGTGCTCCAGGGACAGCAACAGAACAAAGGCCTCCTGATCATCAATGTTGGGCACGAGGTCGCAGGGGTTCAAAAAAAAAAAGCAAGTGGTGCCCTACACACCTCACAGGAAGACCCTTTTGCTAGGCAAGGTCCCCAGAGAGGGGGTGCTACTTTCACTCAAACAATGATAGACTGATAGACTTTCAAAAGACAGGCCATGCCAGCCTATGCCAAATCTATTGGAAAACACTTTTTTTGGACCTCGTTACATTTCTTTTGGACCTGGACACTTTTATTGGACCTTACTACAATTCTTTTGGAGATGGCTACCCTTCTTTTGGACCTGCACACCCTCCTGCTGGACCTCACCCTTTCCTCCTGCTCGGCCTGGGCCATACCCCCTTTCGGTAGATTCTCCAGTTTCTGTCCGGGTGCGTCTGCATCGCAATTCTTCAGACAGTAGGGCGCTAGAGCTGCACTAGCATGCAACTGGGCAGGAAGTGCCATGTAGTGTTGTCCTCACAGTTTGACCCGACTTGGACACTCATCCTGGGTCACTGGTGAGTTCGTTGCTGCTTGCGAGGGGTATAACCAGTCTGGGGGCCTTGAACTCCAACCTGTGTGACAGGAATGACAGCTCATCAAACTTCTTTGCCATGATGGTCTTCGTTGCCTGTCCATGATGGTCTTCGTTGCCTGCAGCCGATGTGGGTTCAATGTCTAGGCTTCACCCGTCATCTCTCAGCAACTTATTGCGCTCATCTTGTTTTAATATCTAACTTTCTCTTCCCCCAATGTGCCTTTCAACTTCCTGCATCCATTTGGTTTCATATGTCGGTTTCCCCCCGTTGGCCTCTCCACAACTTCTTGCCTTTATGCTGTTTCAATATCCAAATTTCTCCTGCGCCCCTGTGCCTCTCAGCAACTTCCTGCATCCATTTGGTTACAATATCTTGGCTTCCCCTGTCTCTCAACAACTTCTAGCGCTCATCTGGTTTTAATATCTAACTTCCCCCTGTGCCTCTCATCAAACTTCGTAAACTTCTTGCATTCATTGAGTTTCAATATCTAATCCCCCGTCGCCTCCCCATGACTTCTTCCGTTCATTTTTGTTTTAATCTCTAAGTTTCCTCCCCGGTGCCCCTCAACAACTTCCTGCGCTGCATTCATGTTGCGTCAATATTCCCGGTGCCCCTGAGCAACTTCCTGCATTCATTTGGTTTTATATCTGGTTCCACCGTGGCCTCCTAAAGTCCCCCCCACCTGTGCCCCCCACCCTATGGAGGCAAGGTCCACGAAGCAGGTGCACGGGTCCAAAAAACAGAGACCGAGCTCAGAAACAATTAATTTGGCTGTCGAAAAAAAAAACCGTGGGTCCAGAACAAATACATGCAGGTCCACAAAAAATATTCCCACAGGGTCCGGAAAACACACAGGCAAGTCCCCCACATTTTTTGTGACCCTAGGTCCAAAAAAAATTGTGGTTAGGTCCAAAAAACATGTACAGGTCCAAAAAAAGGTGCCCAGGTCCAAAAAACATGCATCCCAAGTCTATTGCAGCCCCTGAGAGGACGACACGTCGTGCCCTTTCAACCCTGTATGGACTCGAGGACTAAAGGATCTACTGTAAAGGCTACAAGTCATGGATTTCTACTTTCACACGCTCCTCAGAGGTCGTGAACGACTTCATCACTGCGGCCATCTCTCGTCCAGCATTCTTTGCACGTGGCAATTGAAGGACTGGAAGACCATGGCCCTGGAGTGCTTGGGCCACCTGGACTCAAACTCAGCCGACTCATCTGACTCTGAATCACACATCAGGCTTGGCAGTTGGACACTGATGATTGAACACCATCGTTATAAAATGTTGTCCATGTCAGCGCCGGGTGTGTCCGAACCAACACCTTGATGAAGTGTCTCGAATTTTCTCGCCAATTTTTGCATATTTTTGCAACAAAACGATTATTTTCTTCATGAAATGCCAACCCCAAGTGCTACCCATCCCAGCCGCAACGGCTGGGAAGGCCTTGTTCTCGAGCTCCTGCCGCTGCACGAAGACGATGGCCTTCGCCTTGGCATCCTCGGCGCGGATCTTCTGCAGGCGCCGAGCCACCGCCAGCAGCTTGGAGCCGTGCGACCGCAGTTCCGCCGGCAGTGGCTCAGCCGCGGAGGTTGCCACTTCCACCTGGCACGGGCTTAGCGGCAGCTCCATGCGGCAAGTCCCCGAGGTCAGAGTTTTTTGAACAGTAAAATTCACCCAAAAGATCCTGTGTAAAAGAATCTGCAAGGAAACTTCTGAAGTCATGTCCTCTCTCTCTCTCTTCAATTTTTGAATGACTTTCTGGCTGGACCAAGATGTATATCAAAAGAACCCACAAGATTTACAAGATGAATAGGCAAAGGTCCCCACATGTCCCCACACAGTCCAGTCCACAGTCTGATTTTATTGGTGGGGCAGCGTTCCCGATTAGATCGTCCTGATTGAGACATAGCTGCAGCTGACTAAGCTCGCCTCAAGCAAAACCGAGGACATAGATTTTTTGGGCGCGTGGGCACGGCAATATGGGCACTTCGGGTTTGTCTCCAATGCCGAGCGAACGCAATCCCGATGGAAGATGTGCGAGCACGGCAGCATCACCAAAGCTGCAAGGTCATCCTTGGGCGTCAAGCACACCGAGCATTGCTCATTGCGAAGAGTCTCCATATCCGATAAGCCACGCATTTGTCCAGTATAGAAATCCATGCTTCGATGGGCTGTGTCCAAAGAAACTGCTAAGACTTGGAGGCCAACAGACATGACCACCGGCAAATGCTGAGGATCGCGGCAACAAATCTGAGAACACACCTGCCTCAGAGACAACGGAGATCCCGGGGAGCAGTCGTAAATCAAATGTCACAATGATTTGCAAGCAAAGGGCATCCATCTTTGAAGGACCAGTCTAGAAGCTTATATAGTTATTGATCTTGATTTGCCCGGATATTTGCCCGGATTTGGCTTGAAAGTCTGGAATTGTTCCACCTATCAATCAAGGCCGCTTAAAGTCCAAGCTTCAGTTCTGATAGGATCTGATCAGCACGCGGCACACATCTGCGAGCCACGGCATGCTGAACCACATGTCGAAAATTCAAACGCGGGTAGACCTGGTCATCTCGAAGAGGCTGCTTGAAGCGCACTTCCGGACGGATGCGGAGGAAGCCGTCCTTGTCGTAGAGTTCGATCTGCATCTCGAAGCTTTTCTTCTCTGGATCTTTCTCTTTCCAAACCTGTTCACTGGTCCTGTACACTTCGTGAATGAATTTCTCGGCCTCTGCATGCTGTGCTTTGTGTGCCAAGAGGCTATGCTTGGCACTTTCCCAAATGGAGAGGTGTGCCGCTCTGGACGCTTCCAGCTTCAGTTGTTGACGCAGGTGTTCGATGTGCGCACGCTTGTCACGTCCAAGGAACCGAACGGCTTCACCAGCATCCTCAGCATCCATGTCCAGGCAAAAGTGAGCACATCTCTTCAGCAAAGCCTCCCGGGTGCTGACATTGGCACCCTCATAGGCCAGCTGCTCGTCAAACATGTCGTGATCGTGGCAAGCTTGTCGATAGATGAATCGCTCTTCAACACTGAACTGCACGAACTCCTCGTGCTCTTGCACTGTGATGGCCTGGAATGGAGCATGGACACATAACAAATGTGACAAGGGGGTTGCGAAAAACCGGATATGTTGAAGCGGCTGGTATTAAAGGGGATTCCTTGAAATATGCTGAAATCAATTGACAACATACTGACATACTGCAAACCTTAGCGACATCATTATACCTGGAGTGCAGGAAGTCAAGAGTTGTAGTTTGGCTATGGCGGCTATGGAATGTTTTGGAACAGTTGCAACCACATAACCACACGCGTACAATCCCTCCTCCACCAGCTGGGAGCTGTTTTGCCGCACCACGTCGCGGATCATTGCTTGACATTCGTCCTGGGCCGAAGGGGGAAAAAATATGCATTCTACCACTGCATATGACTGTATAGGAGAGGGGGAAAAACACCCACTTCAAAGAAATCAGAAAATACCGTACAATACTAAGTACACAAAAGATCACAAAACGGAAATGATTTGGGGCACAGCTGCATGCAGCTTCTTCTTGTTCTCCTCATCTGCCAGCCAAATCTTTGCCTCCTGTTTCTGGGATTTCCTATGCTTCAATGCTTCACTCATGAAGGGCGCGGTCGCATCTGTGGCATACCACAACAGCTCGGCCACTTCCAGGACTGCATCTGTGGTATCCAACGGTGGAGTTCCCGAGAGACCCCAGCGGTGCGTGGCTCCCAGGGATTTCATCACGTCGCGAACCCGGGTGACCCAGGACTCCGACTCATGGAACTCATCTAGCACAATCCTGCCGCATCAACTGGTAGATCTGGTAGGTACACATTGGTACACTCAGTATCTGAATGGACTGGATTCACAAAGGCATCAAGAATGAAAAATTACATATTATATGATATTGTGCTCAACTGTGATGATGGCAACGTTGGAGACGCTGAGAATATGAGAACTGTGATGAACGTTTCTTGGCACTCGCGAGCCAACCAGTAGAAGTCATTGATGGCAGTGATAACCCTGCTGTCCAAGTTTGGAATAGATCAACGCACGTGATTGAGTACATGAAAACTGCGTCCTGTTCCACCACATTGTCTCCAACAACGCAGGGCTCGATCGCAAAGCAGCCTTCAAAAAGCAATCCTTCTGATGCCATTTGTCAACGCATTCGTGTAGCCTTTTCTGTCGGACACTCATTAATCTGCCCGAGACATTGCCGTATTCTTCACGAAGCCAATGGTTGAGTGTGTCTCTGAGACGATCCATGTGTTGTTGGCAGCCGAGGATGCCAGTGGACACCAGGACTACATTGAAGGACAGCAAATCTCCTAGCTTCAAACGTACCCAGTCACTGTTGGTGGCCATGGTCAGAATGCGAAAAGGACCCTCACCTCGAGAAGGCTCCATACGAAGGGTTTTCTCCCTCTCTACAACAATGTGCAAGGTGCATCCCGCTCGACTGTTCTCATCAAGAAAACCTTGCACATCAATTCGGTGGTGTCTGCTGTTGAAAGACACCGTTTGTGACAACTCTTCTCGGCCGAAAGGATCCTAGCTGGTGGTGAAAAACGTCCAACACTTGAAACATCTCGAAAGATGTAGCTGAATCAGTTGCACAAGCAGGGGCGTGTGTATATTTATGAAATGAAACACAACCGAACAGATTTAAAAAAACAAAAAACGCAAAACAAAACAATAGTCCAACCATACCCAATTGTAGCCAGGCTCTCTCACAAAATACTCCCCTTCCGCTAGTTTTATGGTCATGCTGTAGACGTAGTCGCCCACTTGCAAACGTTTCTCCTCTTTGACCTTGGCTTGTTGACGATGCATACTTGCTTTGAGCTCGGAAATCGCCCGGCCAGCTACGCTGAAGGGCCAGGAGCCGTTGAACTGGATCGGCTGAATTGCCTTGGTCTCAGCACAAGCCGACTTAGTGAGTGATGCTTTTCCAACTTCGAGGCAGTGAATCTACATCAAGCTGCCCAGTGAGAAATGATTGTAAGAGAAATGTATAGTATAGGAAGTGATGAACTATGATGAACTATGATGAACTATGGGGAACCTGGGAAGTTGATGTAAGTTGAGGACTGCTGAGGTCTTGGGTCCGAAGAATCTGTCTGCTCTTTGGTTCCCAGACCGTCAGTCGATTGTCAAGTTGCCACACGCTTCCTGTCCTTTACTGTGGAAGCCGGAGTGGGGCGAACCAGCTGCACCTCGTCACCCAGAAACTTGAAGAATTCGTCTTCCCACTGCTCGACCAAGTGAGGGGGACACAAGATCAATGTTGCTGGATTCCTGACATGGGTTGAAACGGATGGTGAAAGATCCCTTTGAACACTCAATTAAAAAATTCATGGAGTCACTTGCAACCATTCCATCTGAATGATGCTTGGAAATGTTTCGAATATACAATATATACAATGTTGCATACCGCCCCCCCTGTCCTAATGTACCCACTTGGCCGCTCATCTGGCACTTGGCCCGGCTTCTCAGATAGCATCCCAATGGTGGTGGCTGTTTTGCCATAGCCCATCTTATCTGCCAACATGCCGCCCTTGAAGCCGTCTCTGCAAGCCTCTCGTGAATACATCCATGCCAATGATCTCAGCTGCTCTTCTCTGAGAGGATGGACCTTGAAGGCCTTGGGGTTTGGAGCCACTGACCCCGCATTGGCTTCAAGTTGATAGCCACCCTCCTGGCGTAGCTCCTTGCACCGACGGCGCTTGGCGGCTGGAAGGGCAAAGACCTCGGGTTGATCCACCTGCACATGGTTTTCAAGGTCAAAACATGTCAAAACGTTGGAGCCTCGATGCCTTATAGGCCTTGAATTTCATACCCAACGTAACCCAAACTCCTTGGACAAGACGTTCCTGCACATCCTCTTAGTTCCTATTTTTTTTAAAAAAAAAACTTATCAGACCCGACTTGACAACTTTATGACAATAGGCTGATGACTTCATGCAGTTTCGACAAGCGTTGGATTTGTGTTCCTGGCTTGAAATGAATGCCAGTAGCGAAGCAGCTGCACCTCACCTGGTTCGAAGCTGCTGCATCCGCCACCTCCGGTGCTGCAGGCGCCCCATCTTTCACCGGTGCAGGCGCCGCCTCCACCGCAACGGCAGCCCCGTCCCCTGCGGTGCAGCCAGCGGCCTCTTCCAACTTGTCGAGGCGCTGCGGCAACGGCCCGGCAGCCGTGGATCCCAAGCAGCAAACCTCCAAGTGCTGCACTCGAGTCATCAACGACCCGGTGGTGGAAGAACCCACTGCCGCTTCGAGTTTTACAACGCGCTCAGGCAAGGTGGCCATGGCTAGTGATGTTAAGATGAAGAAATGACCGAACAAACATTGGCCAGGGATGCCTGCCGTGGGTATTCCACTTTTTTTGCAATCTATCTTGGTTCCAAGTCCTTCTTCTAGATATCTGGTGACGTCATGTGACCGCTGCCACACCAATAGGGTCTCTCATGTCCGTGTGCAGCACTCAGATTGCTGAATGATTATTCTGCCATCTGCTCTTGCATTATTTTGAACTTGAACTCAAACAAATCGGCAATGCCATGCAGTGCCCTTGGAGGGTGTTCCAACCTTCACCAAACGTCTCCTTTCAAAAGCTGCACTTGCTTCCACTCAGAACTGGCACATGCGATCTGTGAATCGGTTGAAGAGAAGTCTGCACGGTGCAGGAAGGCGGTGACAGAGTCACTGAGTCTCTCACTTCAAGCCTGCCCTCGTAGGTCACATAGATCTGTGAGCCACAGGGTGCCACCGTTTGCAAATAAGTGTCATGGAAGAGGGAGGTGATTGGGAAGAAATAGGAATGAAAAACTGGAGGGTGTTCTGAATAAAGTGATCTTTGCAAGGTGCATTGCCAGCTTCCAATTGGGAAGGCCCTTTGACAGAACATCAACTTCTACAAGGAAGCTACCTCTGTAGGAACAACCATGGGTCGTCATATGTATATATATATGTGTGTATATATATATATATATATGGCTCTTCATATAGGTTACATCTTTCAGCTTCCAACTGGAACCACCTCATCGCCAGCTTTCACTTCTCGAGTCGCGGCACTCACTGCCACAGCTCCTCAGTCAGCAGATTTCCTAAATATGGTGGCCGTCTGTCCAACAACCATCAATTCAGCCACAGCAAAATTCCAGTAGCATGTCCAGCACTCTCCAGCATATAGGAATACTACATCTTATATTTTACTATATTTTACTATATCTTACTATATTTTACTATATTTTATATCTAGCGGAACTTTCAGTATATGGGAGTGTCTCCAAATGTGAAACTCCAGAATCCCATGGGTTTCTCATCCGTAGTCCCCTGTGGTCCCAAAAAAAAATCTCAGGCCTAGGCCCAACGCGCTCTTGTTGCGACGTGTTCCATGGGCCAAGCCGGAGCCCTGACCATGGGCCATGGGAGATGCTGCTCACAAGAGATGGACCTTTTGTGGCTATGAATAACCCTCCAACAAAATAGACAAGTAAAATCCTACTAGTAATTAATATATATATATATATCAATGTATGTATATATATATGTATATATGTATGTATGTATGTATGTATGTATGTATGTATGTATGTATGTATGTATGTATGTATGTATGTATGTATGTATGTCTATGTATCTATGTATCTATGTATCTATGTATCTATGTATCTATGTATCTATGTATCTATGTATCTATGTATCTATGTATCTATGTATCTATGTATCTATGTATCTATGTATCTATGTATTTATGTATCTATGTATCTATGGATCTATATATATATGTATTATGTGTATGTATGCATGTATGAATATATGAATGTATGAATGTATGAATGTATGAATGTATGAATGTATGAATGAATGTATGTATGTATGCATGCATGTATGTATGTATGTGACTGTATGTGCATTATGTATATATATAATATATGTGTGTGTTTGTGTATTCTAAATAATGGCAAATGACTGTTCCATCTTTTTGGGAGTTACTATGAGGCAAACTGCGAAGCGATGACAATAATTCACGATGGAGATGAGGAGGCGGATGACGATGACAATGATATGATGGCCATGTCAATCACTGTCACTCTGAATCTGGGGCCATACACGCCAACTTAGTGCAAGTTTCGATCAAGACTCACGCATGAGGTGGCGGCTAGGACTACAAGGGATGGTTTAGTGTCTATGCTTGTTGACTTTAGATGACTTTAGATGTCTTTAGTATGTATCCAAAACAGTCACTGAGATCTGGGCGACCATTGCAATAGCCATGGTGGCGTAGCCCCAGCGTGGCTGTTTTGACCTTGGAGCACCCCCAGTGTGGCCCCGGTGGCCCCGGTGGGGCCCAGTGCCACGTCTGGGGCTAGGGCCGTCTCCCTGCGAAGGGAACAACTCGAGCCCGGGGTCGCACCTCATCAGCCACCGGCCATCTGTTGCACATGGAAATAGTGACATTAGATGCATTAGAACTGAGTGATACTGAGTGCATGGTTTGATATAGTTAGTATGGGTTGTATCTCGAAGAAGCCAAGCATTTGGAACCCCAGGAATCTGATTTATAATGATTTATAAGTTTATGATATTGATTTAACTTGCCCAATTGGAGTCTTTTGGCACACTTGGTGAATTTGCTGGCGAACACATGGCAATGGATTGATGTCAACGGACACCGAACCGCTCCCAAGTCCCCCACGCAGGGCTCAGCCAAAACGTGTCGCGCCAGCAGCGATGCACGTGCTGCACCAACCAGCTCCGCCTCAGCATTCACCGAAGATCCAGGAAAGATGAAGATCGTTGAATTGTGTTGAATCATGTTGAATCATGTTGAATCATGTTGAATCGTTGATCACGATTTTGAACATGTTTGGTTGAGTTGATTTAGAGATTGGCGTAGGCATCACAGAAGTCCTTCTGGGCCATCTGGGGTCCAGCAAGGCAACTGAGGATGCATCCATTCGAGGAGGCACTGAATCTGTGTCACGACAAAGGTTGCTGCAGTGCTCGTGAACTCCAAACTCTACTGTTACCTTCTGGCCATTTCTGGGCAATTCGGGATGTGCCATTTTGCAACCCAGCTTCATCTTGAGAATGTCTGGTGTGATCTTTCACTTGATGATCATGACTTGAGCCAAAGCTGGAGACACGGAAGTCTGCAGAGCTTCAGAGGGGCCCTGAGCCCTAGAGAAACTCAGCTGCGAAGTGAGTTTGACGATATTTCAAGCGCACCACACTGGAAAGCAAGTGGATTCTAGCTGCCACTGCCACCCACTGTGAATATACTATGATATATTTGGATCTTATGTGTACACATATTGTATACTGTCCTTGTCTTGCCTTGTCCATTAGGAATATGATGACTTCAGTTTCTCATTACAGCAATGCTACCAGAGCTTTGCCGCGTTTTCTTTGCCGTGCATCCAAGTGATGACATGCGCCTTGGGTGCGTGTCGTCGCCCAGGTGAATTCGCCAAAAAACAGCGCGGCTTTGACCAGCGGCTTGCTGTGCCTTGCACGTCCAACGATATGTTGCTTTTTATCCAGCTGAATCATGATAAAAGATGATAAAAAGAAATTTGTAAATGATCTTTTTTTTGGAACAATTTTGAACATATTGTCCTTGAGGAGGTTATGTTCTATAATCTATAGCTGTATGCGTAAATATAGGCAGTAAGTTCATTTAAGTTCAGTATGTTGAAGTCATACTTTGTCATCGTCATAGTGGCAAATCGCAGCATTGGTTTTCGTCTCAGCCCTGTCTGCCAACTCTCGAGGAGCTTCTGCCTGCGGGGCAAACTGGGTCATGTGCTTTAACACTGGAAAGTCAAATCTGAATATTTCCTCTGTAACGTTTAAATTTGCTAGATATTCATGGGAAATGTCCAATGCCAATTGCCCTGCTTTTAGTGAACCATACGGAGTGGTCATCGAAAAATCATCGTATCTAGTGGGGCACAAATTCTCTTTCCACCCGATTCCACCTGCCCTGAGGTGGACTCCGGACCCGACAGCCCAGCATTTCGCCCTTTTCGATCCGCACGCAGCGTGTTCGATTCAGGCGATTCAGGATCCACAAGCGCTGCACTGGGCAATTTCGACGCCCAAAACACTAACTACCGGCAGGTGCGCGCCATTCAAAGCACACCATGTCTCTAAGTTGGGTGTGTCAAAACTCTCGCGTTCACTTTCTGTTGTGAAGATTTGTGAAGAGCAGGTTATAGAGCAGGTTGGCACTGAGGGTTTCACCATATTTTTTTCGACACACCGTAGGGAACTCAACATCGGCTGTCACCAAGCTCAAACCCACTGTTGCCAGCCGTTGAACATCCTGGCCACCAAATCATCTGCTTACACCCATGAGATCCCTGAGTCATGATACATCCCTTTCAAGTAATCCCTTCCAAAAAAAAAAGAGGCTAAAAAAAGTCAGTTATCGCCATTTTAGTGGGACTTTCCTTTTCTATCTTCTTTGCAGGTTTGATGCTGATAAAACCCATCCAGCACCAACCCCAGGGCCCCAGTCTTGCAGAGTTGTGAGAGGTCGCTGGCGTCGTAGATCAGCTGTTGCACATGGGCGGAGACACCCAGGTGGCCGCTGCTGCCCAGCAACTTGTCCTTCACCACCACCACTGCGCGTCGCGCAAAGTCGTTCCCATCTTCTTCCTGGGAATGCTGGGGTGACAGCTCACAGGGAAGTGCCCTTAGAGAAATGAACTGAAATTCATGGAATAGAATGGCACAGACCTATCTGCCAAACGCAGAAAGCCTATTCTACCTCTGTGTCCACCGATCGTTCGAGTAATTTTACTGACCCTGTTGCTGTTCCAATGCAACGGAGTGGCTGAAAAGTCGCGAACGCCTTGCCCAGATTGATTTCCTTCACAGCAGTTGCAGAGTGGCAAACGTGCCAAAAAAAACAGGTTTGTTCCGAGCATGGCACCTTTCAGCAGGGAGAGACATGGCCCATGGCGACGTTCCAAAACTTCAACCAACATGCCATCTCCGAGTTGGACTGACGATTTGAAGCCGGGTGGTTTCATCTCACATGTTCGAATCAAACTCTGGTGATCAAAATGCCTTGTGTAGCTGGACTTAAGTAGCAGGTCCTGCTTCACCGGCTTCCCTTTGAACGTTCTTGGGCGTTAAACATGACCAGGCATAGATGGGGTCGTGCACGAACACTTCCACGACCTGCCACTGGTAGGGACAATCAATAACATGAATACTGCATATAGAAATGTATGGAAATGTTGTTGGCAAACTCTTTTAAATTCAATGTGAGCCCTGGTTGCTTTTCATGTGTTGCTTCTCTACCACCATAGTGGTGCTTGTATAATGCTTTCTGATGGTCAAACAAAATATGTTCCAGTTCTGGAGACTGTTCTTCACTCATTTGCTTTAGAGAGTTTCTTTGCATCTCTGTGAGCGGTTTGTTTTAACAACGTTCCTTTCTACCTACATGTGCCTTTTTGCAATCAAGCGTGTGTTTAAGTTGATTCAGCATCCTTTCGAAAACATCGAAAATTAGTTTATTCTTGTTGTAGCTGCATTTCTTATCTTCTTATCACCAATGTTGACAAAAATGAGTGTCTTTATCACCTTGTGCAACTATTTCACCACGATTAGTGGATAAGCATAACCGATTTCTTTCTGAACTTCCAACCATATACTAACATCCTATATGATATTGCAATTCCCTTTGCATATATGTTCTGGGGGCTAGTGTCGAGGTGTCTGAATTTGGTGTTGGAATTCAACCTTACAATCTTTAAAATCAGTTTTGGATATATTGCATTGATTTAAAATATTTAGGTAACCATGGAATAATATATGTATAAATGAATATGTAGCAAGGGTAAGAATTGGTATATAAGATTTTCAAAATAGTTGATTCGGGATACAATGCATGCTATATAGTATGCTATATAGGAAGCACCTCTAAAAGTTTGAGGAAAAGAATGGCAAAACATAGAAATGCGTTCAATTCTACAAGAAGGGAAACACTGCAAAGCAATGTAAATGTGCAGAAAGTTTAGTTGCGGCAAAAAGGAGGAATTTAAGGGAAGGGCATTACATGAAGGAAACTGATTGTGTATTTTTTTTGCTGGACAGTCGAGTGCAGAATGTAGAGAAGGAACAAAGAGAAGAATGGAATGAAAGAAGTAAGATAAGTGATCAAGAAACGCAAAGAAAACAACAAGAGGAATATATAGCAATCAAAGAGAAGAATATTCAGGTGAAAAAGACAAATAGTTCAGCAATGAGGAGAAGGATACGAAAGGCAAAAAGAAAGAAACGGAACATGCAAGATTGCATCGCACTGTATAGACCCTATAACGAAAACACAAAGAAAAAGACTCAATGATACATACATGCCGAAAAATCATCTCACTCATTGAGAAAGTTCTGAACAGTCAGCCAGAACTTTGGGAGTTTCAGCATTGTGTTGCTGCTCTATGTTTTGCCAACATCACTATATACGACAACCTTCCACCTTACAGCTCTCTTTGGTTCTTCTTCTGATGAGCTTTGCAACTCATCTTGGATAAACTGTGACATTGAATCAATGCTTGTCGGATTTCATTTTGGGACCACGAAGTAATCACCACAAAGGGCATAGTGTTATCTTATTTATATAATAAAGCTGACATGTCTTTACAGTATATACATATAAATGTCGCAGTTGCGGTGAGTTAGGGATGAAGCCTACCACGAAGTCATTAGCAAACGCATACTGTTTGTTCCTACCCATGAAGTCGTCGTTTTAAATACTTACTTTATACCGTCCTCATCCTTGTCGTCATCATTGTATGGTTTGCATATATCCCCAAACCAAAGTCCTAACCATCAAATGTGTTGATGGTTTAGGTTGTTGATGAACAATAGCCGATATAATTAATCCGATAAATAACAATATTCCACAAAAAAGTTATGCAAATCGACCAACGTTTGCTCCCTCAAGAGGGAAGGGTTGTGCCTGGCTAGGGGAGGGTTGTCTAAGTAAATATGTACCAACCAAGTGTAGCCACCAGGTCGCTAATTCCCGACATTCCACGCTCCAAGCACTGGTTAAAGCCATCTGCGAAACGTCAATTCCACACGGTCAGGTTGGGGTACGGGTTGCATCCCAGAAATGAATGATACTAGTAGCCAATTTAGTGGTTATATTATCAGTCATATCTGATTTTAGTGTAACCTGAAATGGCCCAATCTTATGTTCGTACTGTTAGGTAGTCAATATATACCAGGCATATCAGTCATATCTTTTTGTGTGGTATCCCAAGATTGACGGACATTATACTGATAATGATAGTAGAATGGTGCTTTTGATGATTTTCCGCCAATGAGATGTCATGAGAAGGGGTTTGAATCGTCTAAGGGAACGAATCATGAGATGTCATGACACCAAGTGTGAGAAAAAGTAGGTTTTTTCCCAAGTAAAGAAAAAAAAACATATTTTCTGAGAAAAAACATGTTTTTTTTCATAACCTGAAGGAAAAACCGGGTTTTTGAAAAAAAAAAAACTACAAATTTGTGGGTTCTTGATGCGCTAGGTATAAAGGGTCAGCTGGTGTGAACTCAGCGCCAACATGTGTCAAGATTGCTTGGAAGGATCACGCTTTCGAGATTCTGATTGAAATTGTTGTCAAATGTCAAGCCCTAAAGATCGCTTGAGAGCGTCTCTTGTTCCAGAATCGGTTGAACCTTCTGCTAACCCTTTAAAAAAAGAACCGTCCAATACTTGTTTGGGGGTGGTGCAATCACATTTACCACAGAGTTGATGATTTTCAGTCGAAATGCTTCAAACTTGGGGTATGACCAACACTTCATGATTAAAGAAAAACATATCTTGCTCGGGATATGGAACCAATCGTTCATCAACACCAACCATGTGTTGTTTGCCATGAATCCCAAAATATCCCATATACCCTCTGGTTATTTAACATAGCCATGGAAAATCACCATTTTTAATAGGTAAACCATATTAAACCATCTATAAATGGGCCAGTATCCATAGCTATGTTGAATAACCAGATGGAAATTCCAGTGACTTCAAGTCATGGCCAAAGGCGGCCATTGCCCAAAGGCATCACCACTGGCTCCATCTGGCTCCCCAGGTGCCCCGGCGGCCGTGACCAGCGACCCATTCTGCCGCAGCAGGGCCATGGCCGCCTCAGCGCAGCGCCGGAAGAGGCCGCAGGTGCCCAAACAGCCGAGGCCCGCGACGATGTCGCGGGTCAGGCGGAAGGGCACCATCTCGGGCATCTGGAGGTTCTTACCCCGTTCGAAGGCGATGCCGAAGTCGATGTTGATCAATTCACCTGTCCTGATGGATGTAGAAATGTTGATGAATGATGTAGATGGCAATGGGTCATGGGCTGTATGATCATAGAAGAAGAGAGGTTGGGGAAGTGATGAGCCGATAGTGAGATGAATTTCAGACGCTGAATACTTTTGCCTCCAAGGTTCCGCTCATCAAAGAGGATGTTGTTTGGATGTCGGTCACCCAAGCCAACAATGTAGCCTCCAGCTTTGTCAGGCACTGATCCCTGGTTTCAAGATTCCAAGAAACAGTTGAACCCTATCGTTTGCCTCTCAAATCAGCACCCAGCCCTCACTCAAACCAGCTTCAGCCTGGATCTGACATTATCTGACCATCATCCCAGCATTCCATCCATTTCCACTGCCCAGCCCCGCCTACGATGGCATTCACCGCTGTGGATCTGGCATAGCCCTGCCGAGCTCTATGCCACTCTTGCGGGGAAACGAAGCGCTCCAGGAAGAACAAGTGCATCACCTCCGCAACACTCGAACATACAGGGCTCGCTAAGGGTTCACTATGTCACTATAAATGTTAAAGGGCTCACTATAATTTATTGGAAATGTATTTTTTTATGCTTCCCAAAATGTCTGAAAAGTTTATGGAAACAACGTGGGGGGAATGACGAACAATGGAGCTTCAGAACCATTCGTAGCTTCTCCTATCTGAGTATATCTGAGTCCATCCCATTTCAACATATTTCAACTATGTTCAACTCATGGTTTCCCCAGTTCCATAAGTTTCCCATAGTTTCCCCCTGTATCAACAGGTCCTGAGGTCCTGACAGGTTTCACGTTCTCGTAGATTTCCTTCAAGGCCTGCAACTTCTGCGCGTGTCCCAACTCCTTGGCATCTCCCAGCCGCTTGCGGCAGGCCGCCTGGTCCCAGTCTTGGGGCCGATACCTGGCCAAGCGGAAAAAAATTACAGCTTTTAACAGGTGTTATAAACTGCCAAAATCGGGGTACACTACACAAAAATTAGGGAGTTCCACTCTCTCATCCTGTTTTGGAAGGTTCACCATCACCTTTTGGTGGTTAAGTGCTGGTAAACCACCCTAAAAG